GGTTTGCATTGTTGACATGCTTGGCCGGGCAGGGAAGCTGAAAGAAGCTTACGAGTTCATCACAAGGATTGGTGAGCCACAAAAAGCAGGTGTATGGGGAGCTCTGTTGAGTGCTTGCAACTATCATGGGGACACAAAGTTGGGAAAAGAAGTTGCAGAAGTTTTGTTTGAAATGGAACCAGACAATGCATCTTACTATATCTCCTTGTCCAATACTTATGTTGGGTTGGGAGGTTGGGAAGAAGCTGTACGTCTACGGAAGATAGTGGAGGATAAAGCTTTAAAGAAGCTCCCTGGTTACAGTGTTATTGACGTTAGTGTTAGATAATATTTGAGGCTGTATGAGAAAAGAAAATAATATGACAACAGGCAATAGATTCCTTGTAAAATCCAAGTAATAACATCACCGTAATTGTTTAAAATCCAACTGAGGAAATACAAAAGCCAAAAAAAAAGAAGGTTAAAAGATTCTGAAACTTTTATTGCTCAGTTAATAAAAGCTGTTGGAGGAAAACGTAGAAGCAAAACTGATGAAACAACAATCAAAAGCTTGAGCAGCAAGAACCATCTGCTAATGCACTCGGAAAAGAGATCGCTGCGCAAAATACCCGAGCTCACAGATCAACTTCCTCTGAGCAAAAGCCATTCTGGAATTCGCACAATGCTTATCCAGACTATATTTTCTAAAATCCATAAACGAAATGAAGAGAAAATAAACATTTCAGAAACTGGTTCCATCAAATTTTGTGATTGATAAAACATGATTGGATTTTAGAGATCAAAAACCTCGTGGTAGTTGTCCTAATCATCCAAGTAGTAGTATGAGCCAGCTGACTTTTGCTCCCTGTCCTTGGTCGACTCTAATTTGTTGATTCTTGGTCTGAAATTGGTGGGATCTCGTCTGAATGTGATGTTCAGATGCTGCAAGGTAAAGAAAGACATAAATCGAAATCAATAGCATTAAACTTTTTTTTTTAATCAAACTTTATGTCCTTTCTATTCTGGCCCCAAACGGTATAACTCTCAGAAAAATAGGAGACTTACAGATAGGAAGAGATTCATTCCACTGAGCAGTGATTGAGGACAATTTGCAGTACAATCAATGGATGGTTGTCCTTCGTACACAATAACTCGGTCTGCCAAATAGGTCGCCATAATAAAGTCATGCTCGACCACAAATGCAGTTTTCTTTGCATGAAGAATAAATCGCTTAATGACTTTAGAAGCCACGATACGTTGCTCCGAATCGAGATATGCACTTGGCTCATCAATCAGGTATATATCCGCAGGCTGCATCGATTCACAAAATGCATGAGATCACTGAGACAAAGAAAAACAGCCATTTACTTTAGACTTCTAAAACAATATACTCACCTTTCCAAGGCACAGAGCTAATGCAACCCTTTGCAGCTCTCCTCCTGAGAGATTGACAACTTCTTGATCCATCAACTGCTCAATCTGAAGTGGTTTCATCACATCCGACACAAATTGAGGATGCATGTAAGAATCTCGAATCTTTTGATGTAGCAAGTGTCTAACTGAATTCTGAAACTTTGGGCTGATCTTCTGTGGCTTGTACGAAACATTAAATTCGGGTATCTCTCGGTCTGGTCCTTCTGTATCATCAGGTTTCAACAAACCCGCCTGCAGATATTACCAATAATACAACTTTAGGAGTACAGTACTTTCTGAAACTCTAACCATAAGAGAACCTATCATGGAGGAAGACAATACCAGCATCCGAATAAATGTTGTCTTTCCTGTACCATTCTCCCCAAGCATTACAATAATCTGAGAGTCGGTGAATTCACCTTCTGATACTCTCAACCTAAAGTTTCCTTGATTTTTGGTCATCGCAGGGTATTTGTACCTAGCGTACGACTGTATTTCTTCAGCACTTTCTTGTGGAGTCTCAGCAACCTTCAAACAACAGAAAAACCATTAAGGAAAAATATTGTTTCCCTTGGTAAGATAACTTAACTTAGCCTCTTCAGCATACAAAAAAAACAAATTACCTTGAAGGTTAGAGATTCATCTCTGAAACGTAAATTTTCTGTAGGAACAAACCCAGCCAAGAAAATGTTGATTCCTTCTCTGACAGAGAAAGGGAGAGTCACTACACCATAGGCTCCTGGTTTCCCATACAGACAGCAAATGAAATCCGACAAGTAATCAAGAACACTAAGATCATGCTCTACAACAATGACATAGCTGGAAAAAAAGGAAATAATGTCAGAAGCTAATTTTTTTATCCAATTTGGAAAAACCTTCATAAGTTGGGAAAATCAAACCTATTAGGCCTCAGGAGAGAACGAACAACTTGAGCAGCTTTGAGTCTTTGCTTAACATCGAGGTAACTAGATGGTTCATCAAACATGTAAATCTCTGCATTTTGTATGGCAACAACAGCGATTGCAAACCTCTGCAGTTCACCACCAGATAAATTCTCAACAGCACGGTCAATGACCTGGTTCAGCTCCAGATCAGCACAGAGCTCTGCCTTCTTATCTCTCTCATCCTTCTGGTCAAGGACCTCTCCAACATTGCCTCGAACAGCTTTTGGGATGTGATCGACATATTGAGGCTTAATAATGGCCTGTCATGCACAGAATATCAGAACTTGCTCAATTGAGCTGCTTAAACCATTAAATAATACTTAGCTATCATGAAGACAAATATTAAGATCGGTTTCAATTTACCTTAAGATTGTCTTCTAGAATACGGGTGAAGTAGTTTTGAAGTTCTGACCCACGGAAGTGAGTCAAGATTTCTTGCCAGTCTGGAGGACTCTGTTGAAGGGGAAACATAAGAATACATCGACAAAAAAGAGACGCAATGTCAAAGATAAAGAAACTCAAGAGAGGCTATTACAGTGAAGCGGCCTAAATTTGGTTTGAGCTTTCCAGCCAAAATTTTAAGAGCAGTGGATTTTCCTATACCATTTGTTCCAACCAACCCTAGCACCTGCCCCGGTCTTGGAACCGGGAGCCTGAAAGTACAGAAAGAGATTAAATTGTCTTAAAACTAGAAGCGGGATCCATATTTCAGGAAAATAATAGATAAACGGACCTGTGCAACTTAAAAGTGTTTGGCCCATAGCGATGGGTTGTATCTTTCTCTAAGTCTCTCGGAAGATTGATAATCTGAATAGCTTCAAAGGGGCATTTCTGCAATTGTGTAACAGCAGAAAAAATTTAGTGTCCTAGTTTTAGCAACATTTCCAGAGGCATATTCGGTACTGGAAAGAGCCTATACATACCTTCACACAAATACCGCAACCAATGCACAACTCCTCTGAGATAAAAGCAAGCTTGGAACCAACAGTCACCTCAATACAAAGTTTTCCTACGATAAAGGCAAGTCAATGCATAAGTGGCACTGAAATTTGTAGAGCCGCAACAAAAACTTCAAGCAGGAATTATAAACTAATGGCTTCACATAAACACCTAACCATCCTCTGTTTCACTAATTGACATGGCGCACATGAAACAGCCGACCAATTACAGTAGAGTGATAATAAATCCATATGCAAGACCACAAATTCAAATTGGGAATAAGAAAATACACCTGTCTTGACCACAGGACAGCTCTTCTTGCACTCTTGGCGACATTTCTTTGGCTTGCACCGGTCTGAACTTACAATAGCAATACGTGTCAATCGATCTGCCATCTCTCAATAGATCTACAAAATACATGAAATATATACTTTAACTGCCTGAGGAAGATACAACATATTCATAGACAATTTCATAGAAGAATACAACTGGTTTTAATGGGGCAGTTTACAAAAACAATTTTTTGGGGAAAATCATGAATACCAATCTGATACTAGTCTCACTTATGTTGGAAACTAAACACATAGATTCAAATACACAAAATGGGACTGTCAGGCTTAAGCAAAGGCACAAACGAAACTACATAGGAAACAATTATAGAGTAGTAACAAACAATATTAAACAATATTAAAAGATAATCCACTTACAATCAGAGCTAAAAATAGTAACTTGATTACCCCAAGATAGTAAACAATAATGAAGTAATAGTTGACATGCAAAATCTTAGAGCTACGATATCCGAAAATTCAAACGCAAATTCAATACTTGGAATAAAAAGGGTGAACCAATTTATACAGAAGAAGAAGTGTGAAATCCAAATTCGCCCACTTATCAAAACAATCGAGAGATGATAAAAACAACAAATCTAAACACTTTCGATACAATTATAAGATTTTTGAATCGATATCGTCCGTTCAATACAAGACCAGATGTAAAACTCAGCTACGAATCAATCGGGAACCAATCACCAATAACCCCAAAAATTCTTAATCGGTTTCATATCGAAAATTATCTAAGTTAAAAAATTTAAATCTCCATCGAGGAGAAAAACAAAATCGAGAGATTAATACCTGAGATAATTGAGAGATATGATTCGAGCGTGTAGGTAGATTGAGATGGAAAAGAAAAAAAAGCGTGTGCCGATTCTATATGGAACCAGCGGACACACGCACCTGGGAGAGTTATGCTTTGCGTAAAATGAGAAAGTGCTTAAAAGTTAGGGTTTCCTGAATTATCTGATTTCGTTTGACCCGATTCGTTTTTTATTGGGCTTGGGTCGGTTACGTTATTGTCTGAGCATAGCGAATATCAACGCGTCGGAAAGCCCTTCTTGACATGTCATTCAATCTTTTTTGTCGTTATGAAGTTTCCATGTCTTAAAGAAAACTATATAGTCAAAACTATTCTTCCTCATTTTAGTTTCATCAATCTTATAAGGGAATATTAACTTTAGTTGTATCTTTGTTCATTTGGACTATGCAATCAAAATGAATTTTGGGTCCTTGTCTCGTTATTGTATAGGCTATTGTTAAATTATGCATACTTTCTTTAAAATTCATTAAGAACATAATTTTATCTTGAAATACGCTGGAGTTCATAGGACCAAGAGATGAAGAAGAACAAGATACAAGGTCAGTATCATAGCAGAAATATTTTGAGAACAAATTATCGAGCATAAGAGACATTTAAGAAAAGAAGAATCCAAAACCAAACACAAACTGTCATTACAATACCAAATTATAGATAGTTTTAAAGCATCTGCTATTGAGATTTTAAAGAAACCTCTTCTGCAGAGACCATAAGGTTTATACTAGCACTCTCCAATTATTTCCTCGACCAGCAATCTCTAAACCGACATAGTTAAAATGTAATATGTTTGAAGGGGGATTATTAGAAACATCGGTCAGGTAATATAAGACTATACTGGAGGAGAGAACCATAGGGTTTTTTTTGTAGATTACTTCCACTTCTTGAATTTGCCTCCTCCTCCGAACATACCATGTTTCCCGTGCTTTCCATGCTTTCCATGCTTGAATTTGCCTCCATGCTTTCCGTGCTTGAACTTACCATGACCATGACCAAAGCCATGAGCAGGTCCATGGCCATACCCACCATGTCCTACATGCCCTGCATGCCCATAAGGGTTGTGAGATGCATGACCAATGTGGTGAGCTCCATAGGCTGCTGCGGCTGCACCAGCTGCTCCAGCTATCATGCCTCCAAGTCCACCACCAGAATGTCCTGATGAAGCAAGAAAAACGTATTACATGGAGAATTCCGAAGTAGCAGAATGCATAAGAAGAGACGGCAAAGTTGGTCATATGAAATCACACTCATTTGATAATTTGCTTCTACTTTGATCGTTAAGGTTTAAAACACCAATGTTTGTCTTAATAGCACTTCAAAAACACCAATGAAGCAGAAAAAAAGACAGTAAACGCATATGTCCATATGTTTTTGCATAGAACACATCAACAAATAAGAAACCATTGTCCTATTATCATTCAAACTATACAATACTAAGCAGGCTAATAACCTAGCAAATTAAAAGGCCAGTTCATCGATTACAAAGAAAACAGCAACGTTTACAAAAACTATTGTCCTGTTATCATTCAAGCTTCCAAAAGTTGGAAAATCCAGCAAAATTCAAGGACAATCTTTAGCTTTTGCACATAAACTATCAACATTTACAAACTAATTGTCCTATAATTCTTCAAACTAGATAAAAATCAGCAGAGCAAAACTAGAAAGGAGAGTTCTTTTAACGGGATAATACCTGAATGGTGAGCTCCAGGTGCAGGATAGCCTGCAGGAGGGTAACCTCCTGGTGCGGGAGGATAACCACCTTGTGCGGGAGGGTATGCACCAGGAGGGTATCCAGCAGGCGGATAGCCACCAGCTGGAGGATACCCTTGTGGTGGGTAACCTTGTGGCGGGTAACCACCTTGACCGGGTGGGTAATGATGTCCTCCTCCTGGGAAATGAAATCCTTTGTCTTGCTCATCATGATGCTTGTCTTTACCACCTCCCATTGTATTTACTTAAAACCTACAAGAGTTCGATACATTACATCATCAGGGTTAGCTCAAAGATCAAGCCAACTTCCAACATCATTGACTTGCTAGCTTCAAAACAAATCTGAGGCATAATAATTCCTTAGATCAATACAATCAAAACCAGCGAACATCTTAAGAATGACCATTAACAGAAAACAAAAACAGAGACAATTTCAGAAGCGAAAAGAAACGCGATTCAAACATTCAAATCAAGAGAACGATCACAGATACGACATATGGTTTGATCGATTTAGCACACTGTATACGAATAATCAGAGATAAAAGTGCGATCATAAGAAAGATTGAGAATATTTACCGATACGAATTGCGAAGTCAGAACGAAAATGGAACAGAAGAACAAAGTTAATGGGAGAGAAGTTGGATATATATTGATGGATAGGCGTGGGCGTCTGTATCCAATACTCTTAATTACTTAACGCGTTACCATTTTTGAATTAGCAAATTTAGTTTATTTTATATCTTATTACTCTTTAGGTCCTCTTATTCCTGTGACTATCATAAATCAAGTACTGTAGTCTTCATTATTTCAAACGTCTCTCAAGTCTAAATATATAATGTGGAAAACAAACAGTCATAGAATCAATTTCAATACAATCTTTCTATCACTTATGCGTTTTATGAACTAATGATGCATAGAAAAGTAGGTATTTTTTTGATATTTTGTGGCTCAAATTGGGTGTTTGAAATAACTGACAGAAGTATTGGGGTTTAAATGAGAATATGTATAAAAAAGGTCAAGCTTAGTAAACAAAGTATTTACGTCGTGGGAACGCGCAATGGACACGGAGTTCTAAGAACATGGTTAAGGAAAATATCTTTTTTTTTTCTTTCTATAACTATTTAAAGTGTATAAAAAGTCTTTATCCTTTAATTTGATAAATACCAAAAAAGTATTGGTGGTGAATAAAATAAAGTAATTGCCAATAGAATCTGGTCCTCCACAAATCATAATTAACTTTTACTTTATATCTTCTTAATTATTCAAACACATGTTGCTGTTAGATTCTCCATTACAAACAAACTATATCCTAAAAGTAATAATAACAAATGCACTGACAAGTCAATTATGCAAAATATCAAATGAAAAGGTCATAACTTTGTCCTGTATAGTGTGTATAGACATCTTTATGCACTCTATGTTCATCTCTCGCAAACAAAGTCAAACCATTCAACATAAGGTATATCGATTTATTCTCCGCATGACTGCGTTCTCCTACAGTGAAAGTGTGATTCTTCCCGTTCACTTGAATCACGCTTTCACCTGGATACTTCTTAATGTTCCTGTGTTTCATCATGCTTCTGATTCTCGCAAAACCATCCCACATACCAGAAGCTGCATATATGTTTGCCATTTCTACGTAAGGTGCAGCCATTTGCGGTTCCATGTTAAAAAGACTGTCAGCTGCTTGCTCAGCTATCTTCACATTATGGTGGATCTTGCACGCACTAAGCAATGCGCCCCATATGCCAGCATCAGGTTTAGCTGACATGTTACGGATGAGTTCTAATGCTTCTTCGAGCTTTCCCTTTCTTCCAAGAAGATCTACCATACAAGAGTAATGTTCTAACCCAGGACTCATGTTGTATTCTTGTTTCATGTTGAGGAAATACTCCCACCCTTTCTCCAGAGAACCTGAATGAGCACAAGCCTGAAGAACGGCAAGGAATGTTATGTGGTTTGGTTTATAATCCAAATATACCATCTTGCTGAAAAGTTCCAAAGCTTCGAAAAAGAAACCGTTCAAAGCATATCCAGCTATCATTGTAGTCCATGTGACAACAGTTTTCTCAGACATGTTATCGAAGATGTCTCGAGCTTCGGGTATACTTCCACATTTTGAGTACATGTCTATAAGGGCATTGCAAATCATGACATTATCTTTCTTGCACCCGTACATATCTGCTCTAGCATCTATCCATTTTCCAATTTCCAGTGAACCAAATTTTCCACAACCTGAAATGAGGGAGAGTAAGGTTACTAAATCTGGTTTCTCTCCTGTTTTGGTATTGGCATGAAATAAGGCCAAAGCTTCATCCATGTAGCCTTTCTCAGCATACGCACTTATCATCACAGTCCAAGAAACACATGTTCTGAAAGGCATTATGTCAAACAAAAGCCTCGCTGAACAAGTATCCCCAGATTTCGAATACATAGAGATGAAGGTATTGATAGCTTCAATATCTTGATCTGTACCGAGATGGATTGCATGAGAATGAATCAATCTTCCTTGTGTTAGTGTTGCGGGGTTCTGACCCGATGCAGCAAGGTTTATAAAGGTGCCCAAATCAGGCTTAAACTCTTCACGCAGCATCAACCGGTAAAGACCAAAAGCATCATATACTTCACCAAAAACTGAATATGCTTTGAACATAGAATTCCAAGACACAACAGTTCTGTCACCTCTGTCAATGGCTTCAAAAACTGATTTTGCTGAATCCAAATCACCACATTTCGCGTAAGTAGAGATCCAAGTATTTGCAACTGTAACTTGTACAGATACACCTAAATGTATCCCTAAAGCATGTATGGCCTTCAAAAGCTTCAAACTTTTTCCAAACGAAGCAGACTGAATCAAGGTCAAAACAGTCACAGAATCAGGTGGGATCTTGTGGAGTCTCATTTCACGAAATAGAGAAAACGCTTTATCTATGTGACCTGAGTGACAAAAACCAGACAGCATTGCGTTCCAAGTAGTAACATCTCTTTCAGGCATTCTCTCAAACACCTTAGCGGCATGATCTAGAGAATTACATTTTACAAACATATCAACCGTCGCAGTCCCAACGAACACATCAGACCAGAACGGAGACTTTAAAACATGGGCATTAACCATCTCACAGTACGAAATATCAGAGAGTCTAGCACACGCCTTCGCCACAAATGGAAAGGTAAAGTTGTTCGGTTCAAATCCTCCACGCTTCAATTCTCTAAACCGAAGAAGTGATTCCACCGGATCATTTCGATTCACAGCTTCTCGTATCTGAAAATTCCAAGCGTTAACAGATGATAATCCATGAACACGATTCAACCGACGCTGAATCAAGGACATGGATTCTCTCACTTGCTCTCCAAATGCCTCCGGCGGGAAAGCAGCACTTAAAGAAAGCTCCGTTTTTGTTTCCTCTTCGTAAACGTGTTGTGAGCTCCATTGCTCCCTACGTGCTAATTGGCTTGTCACGAGGCCCAGTAATGGAAACAACTAAACTGAACTACGGAACAGTAATAACTAATAAGCTCGTTAAGCTTCTTTATAAACGCACATTATACAAAGACAAAAAACCAATCGTACATATCTCTCAATCTCATTCAGACCGGAATCATAATTAAGATATAGGACAAATAGACATAGCATAGACTCAGTTTCTCCTTCGGTTGGTGCTGTATCGATGCTTACGAGACTTCTTCTCTTCTTCTTCTGATGACAACTCATGCTTCTTCTGCTTTCTACTTCTACAGTTTGAGTCTGAATCAGAGTCTGCATTCTTCTTGCTTCTGTATCTGTCAGAAAACTCTCCAGGATCATCATATGTGTCATACTCATACACATGCTTTTCTTTGCCCTTCACACTCCTGTGATGCCTCCCAGAATCAAGATCATCATATTTTGATTTCTTCTTGGATCTATGACGATTCTCAGACTCCATATCGAGGTATCTGTGTTTCCTCTCATCATATCTATGCTCTTTCTCGACTCTATGAAGCTTTCTAGACTCCAAATTTTCATGTTTCTGATTTTTCTCTGCAACAGGATCGTTATTATGCACTTGCTTTCTCTCCCTGTGATGGCTTTTGTAATCATCTTCTGATCTTTTCTTTCTACTACTTTGACTTCTATAATAATCTGAATCATCAGATGAAGAAGACGGTCTATCCACGATTTCCTTCTGCTTCTGGTGCTTCTCGTCATCGTCATGCTTTTCTCTGCGACTGATTTCTTGGTGGGGAACCTCAGATTTTAATGTCGCAGACGGATCCACATGCTTGGTGTGTCTCCTCCTACTCAGACTGTAACTTTCAGAGTCTGAATCTTCCGAGGAGAGTGACTCAGAATCATAATGCTTCTTGCTCTTCTTCTTAAGTATCTTACGCTTCTTCGAGCCTCTCTTCTCTCTACTATCTTCTGAGCCTGTTGAAGATTCATCAGTCTCCTGAACAGTACGAGATGAACGCTTCTTGTGCTTTTTGTTCTTTTTGGATTTTCTTTTCTTATCCGACGACATACTCTTAATTAATTCTAATGGGATGCTTCCCTCAAGGAATCCTGAGATATGAAAAGAAATTGGAAAATAAGTATATAAAATACAAAAAATGAGATCGGATTTGTGATAAGAAAGACCTTTAGAGAAATAAGAAATTAACCTCCATATTCGTCAAATATATCTTCAGCGACAATTTGTTGATTTGGATCGTCGAGATCAAAACCCCCACGAGGAGGACTTAACCCCGGCTTTTGTTTCAACTCCCACTTCAGAGGCTGCGAAAAGTTAGAGAGCATTTCCGGTTACTAATACATAAACCATTCAACCTTCAGTTATCCAAACATATGGCAAATAGTTGACGAAAGATTTTGAAGGATGAGGATGAAGAGAAAGTAAGACCAACCTCACTGGGATCTGTATGTGCAATGATAGCAGTCAAAGGATCATCTCTTTTCAGTCGAAGTTCTTCATTTGGCATTACTGCATCCTTTAATGGACAGTCACGATCACCGCTTTGGTGCCCAAAGTTTCCACATCTCAGACATTTCACATTACGCACTTCCACTGCAAATGGCTTTACTCTCCCAGGAATACCAGTCTCCATCCTGCACAATTTCAATCATAATATGTAATGATAATTTCATTTTTACATGTAGCAATATTTCTACATGACACTGGAGCATTTAACTATTGACATATTTAAAAGAGCAAGAAAATATGGCAATACCTTGGAGCATTTTTAAGGACGTCAAATTCTTCTTCAGTTGGAAGAGCACGCCCAAAAACATCTTTGGGTCGTGGTTTCTTCCTTTCCTGGCCTGTACGGTCTCCCCCGCCTTGTGATTCTTCTGGTCTGCATTACATTAACGAGAGAAAAGAAGTTATTTCTTATTGTCAAACTTCCTCTTCGAGGTCAAATAAATTATCTCTAACTGTCACATACTTAGAACCAACATTATCGTCCGCCAGTGGATCCTGAGTTGAAGAACCCTGACCCTTGTTTTTCTCAGCCGCGTATTCTGCTGCTTTGGCACTTTCAGGATCATAGCCAGGTGGGCGAACATACATGAAACTCACAGCTTTCATCGTTTCGATCTGCACATCATTCTCATGAATCAATATCATGTAACACAACACAAAACTAAGTAGAACCACTGCCAGTTCACCAAATCTCAATGCTTCTATACGTTTTGACATTTACCTAGATATAAAATTCCTCCTAAGAATACAGAAACCCTAATCTGAAGCATTCGAAACTACCTACGGCACTGAAAACAAGATCTGAATAGCATAAACCCTAATCTAACGAAGATAAACTAACCTTCTCTCTTTCTTTCTTCGAGATGAGAGCCGCTTGCTTGAAAAATTCCTGCTCTTGCGCAAACTGCAAGCAAATCCACGAAACAGGGAAGTTAAGAAAAGACACGAATTGAATCGATAATGAGAAATCGGTGACCAAGTGAGATGCGTACCTCGCGAGCCACCTCTTCGGCTCTGCGATCGTGTTGGGCGTGAGTCTGCTCGGCGATCCATTTGCGGCGCTGGTTGGGATAAGAAAGAGGATGCCATGGCTTCTGGTTCAGGAACGAGTGACTCCAAGCGGTACCGGATTTGGTCTTGTAATCGACCTCTAAGCTACCGCCAGTGACTTTCCCGCCGGCGAATCTCTTGCTCAGCCGTATTCCGCTTCCTTCTTCTCCGTCCATGTCTGAGCCAAAAACAATGTCCAATGCCTCTCTGAATCCTAATTAAATTACTCCCTCCGCTTCTTTTAGAATTTTAATTTGTGAACTTTATATTAAAATTATCTAATTTGCCCCGTATATTTTTGCAATTGTAGTTAATTATTTTAAATGGTTTATCTCTGTTATATTTTATTTTAGAGAAATTCCTCAAACTCGAATAAGCAGATTTATCGGCTAAGTTAACTAAAGGATCTCACTTTTCCAGTCTTCGCTTCATCTATAAAAGTAAAAAACTATTAAGAGTCTCAAGGAGTGAGAGAGGATCCCGAATAAATCGGAAAGATGACGGCGCCGATGATCCTAACCGGAGCCGGATCGGCGGAGAGAGACGCTCGGATGGCGCACACTGCCATGGCTTTTGTTCAGCTCTTTAATGGCGGATACCATGTGATTACAAAAGTAGCTCTTAACGTTGGAGTCAACCAGCTTGTCTTCTGCGTATGCCGTGATCTTCTTGCTCTCTCTATTCTCGCTCCTCTCGCTTACTTCCGCGAAAGGTATCACCTTTCTCTTCCTCCTTCGTTCGTTTCACAGTTCTGAGTTACGCTCTCGAGATGGGTTTCAATCGATTCCCCGAGTTTTTTGATCGATTTGTGGATTTGTATGAAGTAAGAACAATACAGCCCCCTTATTGTTTGCCTGATCCATTGGTAGTGTATTTTTGGAATTCGAAATAAGGTTTCTCCCTGATGAATTTGTATAAGTTCTGGGTATTTTAGAGTCAGTGTGTTCTTCATGCCAGAAGAACTAGAATTCAGATTTTTAGGCAATGTGCGTTGACTTAAGTTAAGATTTAGATACTCATTAAGATCATCGATTGTAAGCACATTTGGACATGTTCTCTCAGTTCTATGTCTCTTTTGTACATTTGAAACTAGGATCTGCCTTCACGATCTAGGCTTGTCTAGTTCTATAGTTTTGTGATAAATTTCTCCCAAAAAAACTATCAGAGAATGAAAGAATAGTATGAGAGTTTGTAATGCGACAAGCTTTAAAGCGAGATCACTCTCAAGTTTCTGATGGATGTTCAAGTTTTCAAAATCTAATCAATGAACATTGTTCGTATTTCATGTATGTAGAAAGATCAGAACTCCAATGAATAAAAGCCTCATCTTGTCATTCTTCTTTCTGGGATTAGCAGGGTAAGAAAACATCCCTATCCGGTCTCAATGTATTGTAATCACGTTAATGCAGATTGAACATCTCGGTAAAGCTACCTCTGTTATTCTGAAATCTTATAGGGTATTTGGCAACCAATTGTTATTTCTTATCGGTCTTACATACACAAATCCAACTTATGCTGCTGCCATTCAACCATCCATCCCAGTCTTTACCTTTCTCTTGGCTGTAATGATGGGGTGAGTATGATTCACTCTAAAAGTTCTCCTCTTAGATGTGCCTTCACTTCTCGGCTTTCTGATGTCTCCTACTTTGTATGCAGTACAGAAAGAGTGAATTTGTTGAGAATCGAAGGTCAAACTAAGGTTGGAGGCACACTTGTGTGTGTTTTGGGTGCTGTCTTTATGGTTCTGTTTCGAGGTCCGGCCTTGTTAGGAGATAAAAATGCAGACTTTGCGATGAACAATGAAATCAGTGCTAAAGGTCAACCTGAGCCTACTGGGTGGTTAGTCTCTGGTTTTCTAGATCTTGGATTTGAGCAATTTCACATTGGGGTTTTATGCTTGATTGGAAACTGTATGTGTATGGCTACTTTTCTTGCCATTCAGGTAAATCTCTTCATTGTTTCGGTTTCATACTTTCTTTGGTTAGTTTTAGACAAACACATAAACTGCAGCCTACTAATCTCGGTGCATGTGTCTATTAATGTGGATTCAATGAAAACTCTCTAGGCGCCGCTTTTGAAGAAGTATCCGGCAAATCTTTCAGTTGCTGCATTATCATACTTCTTCGGTACATTACTAATGTGCACAACAGCCTTCTTTATGGTAAAGGAGCCATTAGATTGGAAGCTAACACAATCTGAGATTCTTGCAGTTATATATGCGGTAAGTTGCATCAAGATTTTTTTTAACCCATTCACATGTTCCTCACGTAGGAATTGACACAATTCATCTGATTTTTCTTCTTTCTAGGGAGTCATCGCGTCAGCACTAAACTATGGGATGTTGACTTGGTCCAACAAGATTATTGGTCCTGCATTGGTTGCTCTCTACAATCCTCTTCAGCCCGCTGCATCAGCTTTCTTATCGAGGATCTTTCTCGGTAGTCCTATTTATCTCGGAAGGTAAGATTCGTTTGTTGGAATCTTTGTAAATCATTCATTCTCTCACTATCAAGCTAATTACTTTCTGACTTTTCATCATCTTCTTGAGCGTTTCACATTTCTTCAGTTCCAAGACTTTCTAACTCTGAATTATTTTCATCTGCGCAGTGTTGTGGGTGGATTCTTCATCATTTTAGGACTATACATGGTCACTTGGGCATCATTTAGAGAGCGAAAAACAGGTGTTTCCGGGATGGGGATCCCGTCTCATGGTGTTAAATCCTCGGAACCACTGATATTTAATGGGACAGTCAACAGATTAGGACATTTGTTCTCTGGATTACCCAGTTCCTCTGTGAAATCTGCAGACTAAAAAGAAAACCAAAAAAGTCAAGAATCAGACCAGAACCCATTTACAACAGCTATAACTTTTTGTTACATTCATATCTTATTAATATATCTTCTTTGATTACCTTAATAACAATCACAGATTCATAGTGTTGCTCCATTGCTAATTACTTTTATAATCTTGAAGTTCTTCTAATTGTGAATTGAGTCAAAATGTAGTCCCAGACAATAAAGTGATAAACTACGTATATATAGGCTATGAAGATGACATTTTATCTTTAACCTTTTGAATTATTTAGCAACAGATTGTATTGATAGAGACTTTATGATATACATGGTCATAGCTTTTAAATCTTAGGGTAGGAAGATCTCATAAAGTTCGAAAAGCAATCGAAAAAAAGCTGTGGCTGTTTTTGGTAAGAACACATAACAATAGTGGGGATTGTACAATTCCAAAAAGAAGTTGGTGTTATCCCAATTTAGTTCACATTTTGATAAATCACATGAAATACTTTATAAAAAAAAACGTGGAGTTTTATTAAGATAGCACTATATACTAAAATCCTTGGATTAATATTTATAAACTACACACAATTTTGATAATTGTGGTCGACGACACACACCATTAGCATTTTTAAACTAACAAATAGCCGATTTGTGAAAATATTAATGGGATTATGGAGAAAAAGGATATAAAATTCATTTACATTTCCACCCCAATATTTTCAGATATTGATAAATGGCCCCAGGAAATTGGAAATTGAGCAAGACGTTTTCTGTTGAAATCAGAGGACAAAAGGCAAAGAGGTCTTTTATGCACAAAACGGATCTCTCTCTCTCTCTCTCCCTCCCAACGTCTTCGTCTTCCTCCGGTCTGAGTCGTGTGGTTTTAGCCGGATACTCATCAGATCCGCTGAAGATTCTCGTTTGTCTGGTACGAAGACGACGATTCGTGGGATTAACGCATATGCGTTTATGCTCCTTTGACGCAGCGAATACGAGATCTAAGAGCTGGGAACGCTTTGACGGTGGCTGCAGTTTGTTCTTCGTTCTATGCCAATGTGTGCTTCTGGTATTGTACCTAAGCTTTTCAATTTTATGATTGAGTTGTTGAATTGTTATCCAAATGTCGATTTATCGCTTTGTGTTTATTAATCTGTGAATCACTCGAGCTCTCTGCTGTGTTTTTTTTTCGATTGAACGCATAAATTTTTGATATTCATCGTCGAATGCGTTTGATTTGATTTTTGTAGTTAACATTTCCCGCAGGAGGATGAAGAATGTGAAGAGTTTGTAGTGCTTCTGCATTTGATGCTGGTTTTGGCTCTAAAGACTACGGAGAAGGTTGTGTTGAGTTGTTAGTTTTCTTCTAAGTAAAGCATTTTTGAGGTATATGTAGAGGCAAGAGACATGGTTTTTGGTAGGATCACTGAACTTTTTACTGCTGCATCTAGTCGATTTTCAGCGGGTTCACAATCATCTGTTCCGTATATGCCTACTGGGTCATCGCCGGATGTAGGAACGTCGGTGTCAGATTCGATAAGTTTTGGGAATGGTGGACGAAAGAATAGTTTGAGACATTCAGCGTCTCTCCAAGATTTTTCTTCATATCATGGACTTGATCCTGAAGAATCGATTCTTGCCCGGGAAGCTGATTTAAGTGCTAAACGGCAAACTATATCATGGGGACAGAATGGAACTAGTTTTTCCAAGGAAAAGGCAGGTGTTCCGAGTGGTACCAACCCATCTACACGCCGTAAATGTATTCGTGCGGTTATGATCATTATGTGCCTGATTCTGTTTGCTTTTCTGGTGTATATAGTCTCCATGTATATTTATACAAACTGGTCACGGGGAACATCAAGATATTATGTTGTGTTTGACTGTGGAAGCACAGGGACTCGCGCATATGTCTATCAGGCCTCTATAAATTACAAGAAAGATAGTAGTCTCCCCATTGTTATGAAATCTTTGACAGAGGGTATATCTAGAAAGAGTAGTGGCCGTGCTTATGATCGAATGGAGACAGAACCTGGGTTTGATAAGCTTGTCAACAACAGAACAGGACTGAAAACTGCGATAAAACCCCTTATTCAGTGGGCAGAGAAGCAAATACCCAAGCATGCTCATAGAACTACATCACTCTTTGTTTATGCAACAGCGGGCGTCCGGAGGCTCCGTCCTGCTGATTCAAGCTGGATTTTAGGTAATGTGTGGTCAATACTAGCGAAGTCTCCCTTCACTTGCCGGAGGGAGTGGGTTAAGATCATCAGTGGTACAGAGGAAGCTTATTTTGGATGGACCGCCCTTAATTACCAAACAAGCATGTTGGGAGCTGTACCAAAGAAGGCAACATTTGGTGCACTTGATTTAGGTGGCTCATCATTGCAGGTAACCTTTGAGAATGAGGAGAGAACGCATAATGAGACCAACCTAAATCTTAGAATTGGATCTGTTAACCATCATCTTAGTGCATATTCTCTCGCTGGATATGGTCTTAATGATGCATTTGAAAGGTCTGTTGTTCATCTCTTAAAGAGGCTACCAAATGTCAACAAGTCTGATTTGATTGAAGGAAAACTGGAAATGAAACATCCTTGCTTAAATTCTGGATACAACGGACAATACATATGTTCTCAATGTGCGTCCAGTCTTAAAAGAGGTAAAAAAGGGAAGTCAGGAGTTCCTATCAAGCTTGTCGGTGCTCCAAATTGGGGAGAGTGCAGCTCACTGGCAAAAATTGCTGTTAATAGCTCTGAATGGTCAAACACAAAACTTGGAGTTGATTGTGATTTGCAGCCTTGCGCTCTTCCTGATGGTTACCCTCGTCCTCATGGTCAATTCTATGCTGTATCTGGATTCTTTGTGGTGTACCGCTTTTTCAATTTGAGTGCTGAAGCTTCCCTTGATGATGTCTTGGAAAAGGGTAGGGAATTTTGTGAAAAGGCTTGGCAAGTTGCCAGAACTAGTGTTTCTCCACAACCCTTCATTGAACAGTACTGCTTTAGAGCACCATACATAGTCTCCTTGTTACGAGAAGGTTTATATATTACAGATAAGCAAATTGTTATTGGGTCTGGGAGTATAACTTGGACACTTGGAGTAGCTCTTTTGGAAGCAGGGAAGGCTCTGTCTTCTACACCGGGACTAAAGGGATATGAGACTCTGAGCATGAAGATAAACCCAGTAGCCCTTATATCTTTTCTGCTCGTTTCATTGCTTCTGCTTCTCTGTGCACTCTCACGCGTCAGCAATTGTATGCCAAGATTCTTTAGAAAGTCCTATCTTCCACTTTTTAGACACAATAGCACCTCAGCTTCATCTGTTCTTAACATCCCGTCTCCCTTCAGATTCCAGCGATGGAGTCCTATGAGCACAGGTAAATCTTGAGTTAGGACACACTGTACCTGATATGTTCTTCACATTGTATTTTCTTAAGCCTTCAATTTCCTTTTTGCGAAGATATTTATTCCTAGAGGTTTTTTTTCAGGTGTAAAGACACCATTGAGTCCAACAGTCCGTGGATCACCCCGTAGGCCATTTAGTTTTGGAAGCAGCGTACAGCTCATGGAATCTTCATTGTACTCATCGAGCAGCTGCGTAATGCATAGTTGTTCTTCTGATAGCTTAGGGGATATGCAATACGACAGCACTAGTTCCTTCTGGTCTTCCCCTCGCAGGAGTCAAATGCGTCTCCAAAGCAGGAGATCACAATCTCGAGAAGATCTTAGTTCGTCGCTTGCTGAATCACACATGCTGAAGATGTAGGGAAAGAATTTTTTGGTACGGCTTATATCATTTCCACACACTCAGAATTTTTCTCTTTTCCGGTTGTGAAAAAAATCATAGTATCTTAAAAAAAGAAAGGGAAAAGTTCTTGAGCTTTCCTTGTTTCAGTTGACATGTAATTCTTTCTATACCATATACTATATATATGATTACTAATTTAACCCCAATTCAACTATCTATCACTCTCTTCCTATTTACCCTTTTTGTATTTCTTCAAATTCTTTCTTGTACAGAGCTGGTCCCAGTTCTTGTCATCTCAAAGTTTCTTGGGTTTGAGCAGCTAGAAAGAGAAGAATCGATTCCTGGATTGAGTGGTTTATGTTTCAAGCATAGAATAAGTTCTGTAAGTGCTTATTTTGGTTCTTATCATCATATCTAAAGGAAGACAAAAAAATAGAGAATCTGTTATTATGCTGTTTGCTCTTCATTTCATTGCAAGATTCGAGGCTAAGAGTGTCTTTTTTCTTTTACCATGAAAATATCCAATATGAAACAGTGTCTTGATGTTAGATTGTAGAGCTCGAGTCATCTGGGGACCATTGTGTGTGGTTGGCATTTAGATAAATAGAGCAATCATAGTAACTATCACCTGGACACTGACTTATCTTCCTATGGATCATATTTCATATACATGGTTTAGATTATTTTTTGCATATTGGGTCAAATGCGTAGATTATTTAACCACTCCTACTAATGATTAACTTGTGGTTACCTAACAAAAATGTTTATTCTAATGATCCATGTTTCAGTAGGTTTGGTCAAGTAAAGTTGTACAGAGTGGTTCTTGTTAGTTGCATCGCTGAAACATTATTTGCTTAAATGGTCTTAATGGTAATAGATATAGATATTCTGTGATTGTTTCTTAAGACTCGACTAACAAATAAAACGTTTCATCTGATTGATTCAAATTATGTGACGAAACGAGTCTATTTTTCATTGCCATAAACGTCGGGTACTGTTTTTCTTTTTCGGTTGCTATTGTTTTCACCCATCACGTGAAACTTGATGATCCCAAAAATTTAGACATTGACTTGTACCCTTTGGGGTCTCAGAAGAAAGGATAAATCAACGTATATGTCAATGGTCACTCTCGTTCGTTTATTGCTTTGGCCACTCGTTTGCTTTGATTCCACTACACCCAACAAAACCAATCATAATAATTGAAATAAAAGAGGGTTTATTCGTTTTCTTGTTTATATCAAAAAGAGTGTATTTCACTGTTTGCATGGTACTAAAATAAACATGATCTACATCAAAATTCAATGTGAGGTTATAATTATATTTACAGGTCGTTATAATTGCTATAAATGACCTTGGGCCATATGTATATCAAGACCTCATGTTTTGCTCAAATTAATAATGTATCTTTGGTCCCTATCACTAGAACACACAATCTTTTTCACGTTCCTAATTTATTTATCCAACTTATTTAAATTAAATATCATTTACTGTATTTAAAAAAAAAAAAAACTGTTAATGGATACCACAAATCCTTCCTTTTCATTTATGAATTATTATTTGGTCTTTATCCGTTAACTAATCTTTCATACTGTATTTGCAATTATTTCCAGTGATAAGTGTGTCAAACATTTATTATATCTCTTGTTATCACGAACACTGTATTCAGTTTTTATATTTAGGAATTAGGATAAAACATTCGGACATTAATAACAAGATCAGATAAATAATACTGTAATAAGCTTTGGTAATATTTTTATATACATCGACCACCACCACACTAATGTATACTTTAATTTAATGTATAAGATGCAACCAACACTATTAAAGACTTAATTATTCTATTAACTGATATAGTTAAACTATAGCTAAAGCTTATTAAGGTCACTCTCCTTCACGAATAGCCCATGGAATCCGTACGGAACCCTTCGCGGTAACCTCACGGCGGCGACGATTTCAAGCTCCGGTGACTTGGCGTCCATCACCAGAAACTTCGATTCTCCAGTCACCTCATCGTGAACGTACGTCACAACGTAACCGTCATCCTCCTCGGCCTCCGGATTACTAGGATCCTTTGCTACGAAAAACGGTTCGCCGCCGTAACAACCAGGTCCGTACATCCTACGCGCCACCGTACAATCATCCCGATCTCCTTTAGACACGTCTAGCTTAACAACCCCGGAGATTTTCGGCATCGGGTCTCCAATCGCCGCGTAAACGTACTTGCTCTGTCTCCCGAGAAGCGCCGGATTAATCACCGCGAAATCTAGATTCCTCGCTGAGATCGGATGACGTGACACGATCCCGGTGACGAGATCGATCCTCACCTTCTCAACCAAAGCGTGAACCAGATCCATCCTCTCCAAAGTATGCTCAATCGACATAATATTCGGAGCGATCAAAACGACTGCGTTTCCGTCATCTTCATCCCAAGCATTGATAGCGTGAATGATATTAAATCCAGGAATCTCAAACCATTTCATCTCCGATTCATCTCCGGCGTACTTTGGAATCACACCGAGCCTCGGTGTTTTCCCTTTATCAGCACCGACCGGAGAACCACCTTCAAGAACCAAATCCATCGGATTCGTCCTCATCCCAAGCTGAATCTCAGCAAAAATCGCGTTACGTTCCGTGATCGCGAAGTCGTGGAGAAACGACGGAGACGTCATGGAGAATACCGGAACGTCTCTCTGTTTTTTCCCGGCGGAATCAAACCGGAAATACGTTAAAAACGGTGGAACCGGACCGTACCGGAAAGCGAACGTCTCTCCCGTTATTGGATCGGTTTTAGGATGAGCTGTCATACTCATCGATAATTTCCCATCGAAATCGCACCGTCCGATCGTTTCAATATCTCCGTTATTAGTTAATCGTACGGCGTAGGGTAAATCAGATTCACCTAAAGCGAAGAGACGGTTACTGAAGAAAGCTAGACTCGTGTTAGCCAAACCAATGCCGTTAACCGGATTAAACTGTCCGGTTAAAACTCTAACCGCCGATAAAGCTCCACGAGCTACCGACGCCGTTACACCGTTGAATCCGGAAAACACGTTAGGCAAAACCGGAGCACCGTTTTGTTTCTCGACGTTGTATTTATAAGTCTTGACGTATCTGCTACAGAGTGTTGCTTTACCATTATGGATTCGGATCGCGTGAAGCATACCGTCGCCGTCGAAGAGGTGGTAAGGACCACGAGGGAGGAACTGTGGATTCGGACCGTTACGGATGTAAGCTCCGTTGAGTGACGGCGGAAGGGAGCCGTGGATGATCTCGCAGTCCGTAGGAGGAAGCTCGTCGAGGACAGGAGCGAAGTTGTCGGAAAGAACGTGTTTTGGATCGACGGAAGGACGTGACGGTGGATCGATAAAGGTGTTGATCACATCTTCGACTGTGGTGAAGAGAGCTGTTGCGAGATTCATTTGTGGTCGTGGTTTCGTCGGCGATGAGAGTGATTTGTGGAGTGTTTTAGGTTTGATACGACGGTGGTCATTACTATCGTTTGGGTTAGTGATACGTTCTTCGACGACAGCGGAGTTGATACGGAGGAGACGAGGAGAGGAAGATAGGCGGCGAAGAGGAGAGTGATGAAGAGAGAACGTGGAGATGAAGGAGGAAGAGGAAGAAGAAACAGAGTCCATTGCTCTGCTTTTGCTTTTGTTTTTAGTTTCTTTGGCTCCACGTTTAAGGCTGTGAAGGAGGATGAGTGTGTATGTGGGGCTATTTATTGAGTTTTGAAAATGAAAAATCAATCAATTGTTTTTTGTGAAACTAAGAATTTTTTTTTTTTTATGTGAAGCTAAGATTTTTTGGTTCGTTGGTAGTTTCTCTGTGAAGTTCTAATCTTCAAATTTTGATTTGTCTGTATTCTTATTTTCACATATGTTTTTAGATTTATTTTCCATAATATCAGACGTATTATCCTGTATTTTATGTGACTTCGTAAATTTTGGATTGTTTTGTCAAAGACAATAGAAGTATTTTATTAAATTTCGTAGCTTTTTTCTGGTTACCCACATTTGATATTGTGTTTATCGAATTCTTTTTCGTCAAAGTATAAGTTAAGATTATTTTTTTTTGGGTTAAATGATATTTTTCGTACATTTCTCTTTGTTAATAAATAATTAATGACATAAATGTTTTGATTTCTCATTCGCATCCATAGTTTTGATTTCTTTTTTATAGTTCAAGAAACGTGTATTTTTGAGACATCCTACATTCCTATACTACAATGATTGTAAAATATTCTTAAACTCGGTTCATGCATATGTAGATTGTTTGTTGATACAAATGAAAGCTCAATAAGCCTAAGACTGACATTGGTCGGAATGTCAGCACCTACAAATGTGGAAACTATAACATGTTGGATAGAAAGATGATCTTTATTACAAACAATAAGATTGTGGTTCGTACCCGGGCGAAGCCATATGATTTGTCTTTTTCTTCACATTAAAACCAAAAAAAAAAACAATAAGATTGTGGTTTGGAAGAAGAATACAAAAACAATTTATACCAAACTATAGTGCCGTGTTATATAAAAGGAGGAATGTAACTTATCGTCGATACCTCAATATATATATTCGATCACTTTGGTCGGGGTTCAATAACAAATCTGTCCACAATGTTTGTTTTTATACAATATGATTACTATTTTTGATATACAAAGTATAATGCTGAGGCATTGAGGGAGGGTTGAGAGTGCATAATCATCAAAAATATATGAAAGAGAGAATGACAGGTAATGGTACAAGTGTTGCATACTTGGAATTGCCACTACTTGGGTTTTATGCATGCATGTAAGACCAGTGATGCATGCACAATTGTTATGTGTATTCGTACGTTATAGATAATATCAAGCTCTCTATTACTTTTGTTTTTTCTTACTAAACTAAATCCACACTCATCTACGTTAAATTAACTTTTATGTGGTTTAAGTCCCATTGATCAAAACTGTAACCGTAGTTTTGTTTCCCCTCTCTTTAGCCTTTTCTTTAGCTGACATCCCCAACCAATCTTCTTAGCTTTTCAACAGAAAACAAAAAGAGAAGTTGAAAAAGTAGAACTCGGCAAGATTATCGTGTTTGGTTTCACTGACTGTGAATAAGGGGCTTTACCTTTTTGCAGTTTAAACCAAAGTAAAACCGTAACATCACATCTTAAAATTCCAAATCTCATTCGGTTTACTTGGTTCTTTACAAGTACACTTGTCACTAAACCATATGATAGAATCGGCTCGAATGGATAAAACCTTGAAAATAGTTTCACGGGAATATAAAAATCTAGTCGGAGTCCCCAAAATCCATTAGATCTGGTCATAGAAAAGGTAAGAGTTACAACAACAAAGTTCTATGTCTCTCCTTACAAAGGTTCTTCCAACACAACAAAGACACAGAGAAAGATAGAGAGTGTATTTACAAGTGGAACAAAGAGGATGAGATGGAGAAGTCATGGAACGGTCAAGCGATCAGAGCCAAGAGGCTTCAATGAAGATATTAGACGAAGGAGATGGAGTCTCTCAACAAATGATTTTAGCACAGCTTCTTCTTCAGGAGGAGCAAAGGCCATACATATGCTCAGCTCTTGTACCGCCTCTCCATATTGCCTGCTCCACAATAAACCATATCAACAATTCAAGATCTTTGATCTGATCAAACTAAACCGACCTATACCCGGTTTCCAGAACAGGGACAAGCAGCGAAAGAACTACTCTTTGTAAGGATTTAAAATCAACATCTTTTGTACCTGTCGTAGTACAGCATCATACCAAGGTCTCTGCGAAGTGCCCAGTTATGAGGTTGCAGAATCAACAACCTTTCCGCAGCCGCAATAGCCAACCTTTGATCAGAAGAACCCGAATGTTATTATCCCTAGAAAATGAAAGGGTTTGCAAAATCTTTCTTCTTTTTAAGTTTTTACCTAAGGTCTTGAGGCCGCAACAATGGGCAGTTAGAACTACTGATGTTGTTAAGTTGACTAAGAGGAGAAGTCAGCATTAGTCCAGGGGATGACTTCGTAGCACGTCTCCAGTGAAGCCTCTGAAAATAATCAAACGACAATATAGAATATTTCAATACGAAATCTTTTGGAGTCAAAAGATTTTCAATTTAGTTTATAGGTGATAAGGACTTACAATCAAGTTGGCAAGAGCAATCCCAATAATGTCTCTGTTTGTTGCAATATCGAGGTCTTGAAGTGATTTTGCAGTTAAGTCTGATGCCATTGATCCAGGATCATCAACGCACCTTCCATTGGCAATAGAAAACAAGCTCTGTCCTGAAGTTACTTTAAAGAGTTCTTCAGGATACTCCGTTTTAGGCCAAATCAGAAAATCTTCCCCAACTGGAGATCCAACAATTGGCACATCGAGGCGCTTACAAACTTCAATGTATATTACACTAATCAGAAATGCTGCACATGGAAGAAAAAAAAATCAGTTAAAGATTAGAGACAACAAATGAGAAAAGGGAAACTCTGTTTGATAAAAGCCTAATGAGAAACTTTTACCAGTGCTGCGTCTACAGTTAAGTACAGAGTGAAGGTAGGAGTGTTCTGGGTCTAAAGTAATAGATGTCCTCTTGAAGCCTCTCAAATCGAAAAGAACTACATTTACAGCTTCAAGAACTTGTACCATGTGGCAACCGATGTCTCGTGAGACTAATTCTGCCTCTACGTCTTTGGAAATTGCATCTATTTCACTCAACCAGTCGGATATACACTTTCCATCTAACTGCAATAGCTCCTCAGCATCTGTCTCACTCGGATCAGATTGATCTTGGGTACTTTCCCTCTCGTTCATGAGTGACTGAGCATCCCTCTCTCGGTTAAAAGACATAAAGGCTTCATCTTCAGCAGCAATGTAGAACAGAACCTGTGAGTCCATTTCCATAAGTAAATGAGCAAAACCTTAAAGGATATGACATATATGGAAACTCCACCAAAGATGTTTATCACAAAGGATCAGAACCAACTATGGAAACTCTCTAGAGGTCAACAAAACCATAGTCATATCATGTTCAATAATGGTCTCAAGCAAGTCACCAAGAGTCAGAGATTATACCTTAACAAGAGAAAGTTCTTATATACCTTTGCAATCGAAATTTCACTGTCTTTCGATTGGATAGAGATCTCTCGAGCAAACATTTGTCTGGCTGACTTAGTGACCTGTAAATTAAGTAAATCAAGAAACAACAACATGAGAAAACCTTATGAAAGCTAGCATCAACAATAATTACTTTTTCAGATATCATCAATCATTATTTGGGGGTTGAAGATCCAAGGAAGACATATTGTGGATTACAAAATTGAACCTCTTGGTAAGTTTTGGGTCTTGGTGAGTCTTTATTAAGCTGACTGAGAAAACGAGGGTAAGCAGAAGCTGAGGCAATCCTATTCCGAGGAAAAGGGATCTTCTTTTCAATTCCAGTCCAAGAACAAGGACGACGACGTTGATCATGATCATACCTGATGATCGTTAAACAACATAAACCCATGTATCCCAGTCGCAGACTTACACCACAAATCTCCCAATTTCTAAACATTTCTCAATACAAACATAAGAGCATAACACAAGTGAAGAGATTAGTGAATCACCTGAGAGTAGTAGTAGTAGTATGATGACCAAATCCAACAAATCTGGAAGCTGGTGAAGAAGCAGCCACCATAGTCATAGCTGAAGCAGAGCCCAAAAGAGGAAACGAAGATGATCCACACAACATTGTATTTTCTTTGAGGGGAAAGAGAGAGATACGAAACAGAGAAAGATGAAAACTTCGAATCGAGATTTTGAAGAGAAGAGAAATTTATAAACAAGAAGAATCTTCAGAGACGATGACGATACAAGAAACAAAAGAAGAAGAAGGTTTGCGAATACAATTCGAATTCATGGCGTCTGGATAATCACTTCCAGCTAAAGAATAATCGGAAAATCTACAAGGAGTAAAGCAATTGCACAATCGAGATTTACCCAGTTCCATATCAAGCAATGACAAGAAGAAAAATGGATGCTTTTGTGATTCCCCCCAACCCAACACAACGAAGATTCCTTCTTAAACCAAGAAACTGGAGAAAACAGAGGAGGAAGAGAGAGGTTGGAGCATTGTTGTATTTGGGTGAGATTCGATGTGGGTTTTAGAGAAGGAATCTAGGGTTTTTATATAGCAGAAGGATTTGATTGGTAAGTTCTCTCTCTTTCCTTCTGTGGTGATAATGGCGGATTTGGTAAAAGGAAGATAGAAGAGGTTTTTAAAAGGGGGAGATGACAACACCTTTTGTTACAGAGTTAAATAAAATCAAATTAAATAAAGTTACATTTTTTTTTCTTTAATTCTTCTATCCTAAAAATTTCCTTAAAGGTTTTTTTTCCTTTTTTCAAAAGTTTTAATTTGCCTCCTTTTTGTGTTAATATATTTTTGGAAATACACATTTAATAACTAAAAATACTCAGATTTTTAACCTGTTTTTAGTATATAGTTTTAATTTTACTAATGATAAGAAAATTGGTAAAGAGAACTTTGATACTAGAAATTTATTTTAAACAATCATTTTTGTATTTACGTATTAGCGAATTTTTTTATTTGCTGTTTATATATTTTAACAATATCAAGTGCTTATAACTTACACAGTGATTTTATAAAAAATGTAAGAACAAGTTTATACAGAAAACAAAAATATTTCAAAAATAAACGCAAATAAGGCAAGAATCACGAGAACACGTATCATATGCATGAAACAACCCTCCATATAAAACATCCAAAAACGTTTAAAATATATATACTGTATAAACATCCAAAAAGTTTCAGTGACAAAATGTTGATATTTTAATTTAAAAACGTGTTTTCAAATACTTCCGTTATGAAATTTGGAAAGTGCATGTTTCGTAATTCAGAGTTTATTTGTTCCATTTATTTGTAATATTTGTAATTTTAATTTGTACTTAGGGGAACAAGTATAACATATTTGAATTTTACATATTGAAATGTGATAATACATGTGTGTGCATAATTCTGACATACTAGAACTAAAATTCATATGAAAAACCAATATGTCTACTTGTTTTCCTCAGGTCATAATAATGCTTCTTTTTTTGTATTAAAAACTATACAGTATTAGACTTACAAATGGCTATATTTTTCTGGGTATTACACGTCAATTATATTTGTCCTAATTTAAATCAAATTATTAAATAAGCTGTGTCCGAGTATATATTATTTCTTAGATTCCTCAAAAGCCGAACCTACAATAAATAAACTTTTTATTCCTTTTTGGCCAAACCTACATTAATTAGTAGTACTAATTAACTTAACAGATAATTATTTCGATAACTTTGATGTGGATCGGAATTTGATACAATGAATTTTGGAGTTGTTCTTAATTAGTTTTATAAAATTTAATTACTACTCCCGCAGATCCCAGAACATAAGCATATATTCCCGCAGATCCTACATATATAAAAGAAAACTGGATAATGTATTGTACTATATATTGTAGCCGCTTTGAGCTAAAAAGACTTATATTTATTTAGATTGTCTAATTAATCAACTTTGGAATTTGGAAGCTATATTTTGAAAGTGGTACTTACTTTAATGAGATTCGATTCTGATAGACGAATCTAATATGAAAATTACATGAAACTGAGTTTTTATAGATTAACCGATACTATTTTTTGCTTATACTTTTTCTTGGCACAAAGCCTTTTTTTTTTCTTTTTTTTCTTTTTGGTGCTTGGATATTCATGGAAGTAGTAAGTGGATGATGATATCTTCATCAATGATCCATCCAGAACAACCAGAACGATTGGTACGTAGAAACACGGCACAATCATCATCATTGGTATGCATTATATGGCATCTATATATATATACGCCTATACCAAGTGTACGTTATATATAATTATAACAAGTATGCATATAAAAATGGATTCATTTCACGTAACTACAAAAACAAAACGCGTGAATAATAGTAATGTTAATTGATTGTAATAAAAAAATGGATTCATTTCACGTAACAAGTATGCATATTACCAATATTGATTGTAATAGTAAAGTTACGTAACATACGGTTACCCTAGCTAGTTTTGAATCATTTTATTCTCCTAACCAAATCCATAGAACTAGGTTTTATAAAATGGTCGATTACTCCTGCAATTGTTCTTAAATTACTCCTTACCGTGGTTTACTGTTATATATGCATATTTCAGTTTTGAAATGTCAAAAGTAGCATCATAATTCACAGTTTTTAGAAATTAGTTTGAATATCAACTTAAATATTATCAACTCCCTTGATAATAAACGAGAATTGATTAAATTACGTTATAATTGAGTGACGTTAAAATGGAATATTTACTATTGGGATGCTGACGTTCTGATAAGTAATCAACTTGAAAGGAATGCTTTTTACCCCCACATGACGATTGCTGATTTGACAATACTAATTTAATGTTTATTTTTAGTACTACTCACTCTTTTTTTTTCCAATCAAAATGCTTTTTAAATTAATGTTTATACAAAAATATCAGAAAATAATTATACATATAGTGGAAACGTAGGGCTCCGTATCCCGTGTATGTATAGTTAGCTACTACGAGATCCCAAACTCCATTATCCATATCCTTTTTTTTTTTTTTTTCCTTTGTCAATTATTTGTTTTGTTCTTGACCTTTTTCTATATATTGGAGTTTTTTTTTTATTGTATAAGGTAGACCATAATTGAAAGGATTACACGTATGTATGACTACGATGATTTGTCTGGTTGTGCGCGATTTGATATTTTTTATAATATATGAAAACGTAACCTGCAATGTAAATATAAACACTGTTTTTATGCTGGTTGTGAATCTTGTGATTGTTTTTACTTCAAATTTTATACATTAGTTTCTTGTAAGCAAAATACAAATTGAATTATGTGAGAGTGTAAAAGGTATGTAAGTAAGAAGTTTTGGGTGAAACAGTAAGTTCTTTATTGATTAGATGAAAAATAATTGAAGATGTTCACATGTCTTAACATGTTCATTTGCTCATCGAATGCAATGATTCGAATAACCTAAGCTAGCTATCACACAAAATATTATCGTCAAACTTAAACTCATACAATTACGAGCATGATCATAATTTTTTTAGTAATGGATCAATCATATATGATATCACACCGTACTACGCAGCACGCATACAACTTCAATTATTGTGCAACTTGCTTTTATAATATATGTATAAATAATTGGAAAAGACAAAATAGTTTATGTTTTTATATCATCAGAAATCTTTATATGTTGTACAAAAAGCGATAAATATGATATGATTTGAGGAACCTTCCCATAAAGATTGGACCTAATAATAATATACATATACATATTCTGGTTCATCTCTTTTTCAAAGCTGGCGATCTCATCCTTTTATCCTACGGCCTACCTAATCTTTTTGTCCCATGAAATTTGAATCTCTTTGGAGTTTGGATGGATAAAATTATTTATTGATATGTACTTCTATATATGTATATATACATTATATATAGTATATATATCTTCTGATTTTATTATATAGTTTTAATTTCTGCCATTGAATTCAAAAATGTATTTGTTCACAGCTTTTTATTCTTTGTCACAAATACAAAGTCTCGAATAATTTTTTTTAAACACCGCTACAAAGGACTTATGTCATCGCCTCATCGGCACTCTTATTATATGATTGACCAAAATATTTTTGCGTTCACATTAATTAGGTATAACTCACAAAGTTTCAGATTCATGATAATGTATTTTTTTTCCGTCGATTTGTCAAATGTAAATTTTAGAAAATTCAGCATGAATCAACGTCAACGTAAAAAATACTAAACAATGATAATAATAAATCACGACTAGCTAAAATGATAATAAGAAAACTAGACAGACACGAGTGCACTCTCTCTGTTTTGGTCACAATTACATGAGTAATGAGTTACACCCTAAAAGACTTATCCTGATGTGATATTTGACTTATTTATAATTGGCCTATAGAGGTTTTAAAAGACATGTCTATCCTAATGTACTAGTTAACATTTTTTTATGTTAACAACATGCATTATACTACATATATTTAGGATAAACTACTAAAATTAGTCTATCAAATTTGTAAGTTATAAATTGCAACTCAAATAATAAGTTGTATATGGTTGTTTTATTTATTTATTTTCAATCTTTTTCGTCCATTTAAGGAAGAGAGAAAAATAAAGTTCCATTGTGTTGTGTGTAGTCTTTTTCAAATCAAAATTTTCACGATGTATGTAAAATAAAGTTCCGGTTATTGGAACCGAGGTATGTAACCGGCTGAGATTGAGAATTAGATGATTCTCTTCTCGTAGTTTGGGCCTAAGCCCAAATATTTGACGTGGTTTAAAACCCGACCCGTTTTGATATCGCCGAACCGCCATAGTTCACTGGTACGAAACGAACAAGTTGAATAGAGGAGGAGACGGAGAAGCAGCACTGAAAAAGACGAGACGAAAATGGCAGGCGGAAGCGGCGGTGGAAGAGGAGGAGGAGGAGCATCGGCGGATCTTCACTCCGCGGCACGATCCGGTGATTTATCGGCAGTTCAGTCTATAATCAGCTCTAATCCCTTGGCTGTTAATTCTAGGGATAAGCATTCTCGGACTCCGTATCCTTTTTCGCATAATTACTCGTCTTCGATTTTTGATTCGGGTTGATCATGGAAGTTTAATTTCTATCGACTTGTTTCGGTTCTCTTATATTTTGTGAGCTCCATGAAGTTTTAAGAACCTAGGTTTCAGGTTAATATGATTCCATGTGGTATCTGTCATTTACTTGTTGCTTATGATTTTCTGGTGTGAACTGGGAAAGATTTCTTAAGAACATATGTGTGTTTTGAAGCTGTATCTAGCTATGTCTCAGGTCACTATATTGTATGCATCAGTTCGGGAATTTACAGGCTTAGATAGGCAAGCACGATGGTGCTGTGAAGTATGAACTGTTTGTAATTGTATTCACCTATTGTTTTCATGTGATTCGAACCCTGTGTATCAGTTTATACAACATAGCTCAATGTTAACAGTCTGTCTAGTTTTTTTTTTTTAAAATCTTGATGACATATAGGAAAATGGCCAAGTTTAGTAGATTACTGCTAGAGAGATGATATATTTGACTTAGCTGGTTGTCTGTCTACTTCAGGGAGAGTGATATACTTTTCATGTTTCTTTGCATTACTTTGATGTCCATTTCTTTGTCCTTAACATCATGGTCTTTTGGGGAAATAGACTACACTTAGCTGCATGGGCAGGCCACAATGAGGTCGTGAGCTACTTATGCAAGAACAAAGCTGATGTTGGTGCTGCAGCGGTAGATGACATGGGTGCAATTCACTTTGCTTCTCAAAAGGGGCATTTGGAAGTTGTGAGAACTCTATTATCCGCTGGGGTTTCTCTGAAATCTATCACTCGCAAGGGACTTACACCTCTTCACTATGCTGCTCAAGGTTCTCACATTGAACTCGTCAAGTACTTGGTTAAGAAAGGAGCAAATGTTAGAGCTACGACCAAGGCCGGGAAGGATCCAGCAGATATTGCGGGAAATGCAGAAACCCAGAACTTCCTTGAAGAATGTGAAGAACAAGAAAAGAAAGCGAAGACAGACGATGAGAAAAAGACAGAAGAAGTGAAACCTGAGAGTTGTAGTAATGAAGGAGACAACAAGGATCTGAAAAGAAAAGATTCCGAGGATGGAAACGAGGAAGGGAAAGAAGAAGCTTCTCAGATAGCTAAAAAGCCAAAAGTTGTTCTTCCTCATCTTCAGGACACTGATGACACAGAAGCTGATCAAGAGGAAGAAACTGAGGAACCAAATAATGTAATTTCTTCTAAACCATCAGAAGTATCTACTTAACCAAAGTTGTAAGATCGATCGTATGAGATAAGTCAGATTTCTCCAAGACATTTGTTTGTTCGGAAAAGTCTATTAAAGAACCCAGTTTGCTTTTAGAATTGGTAAAACAGATTGTTTTTAGCTGTTCAATCAATCCTCAGAATTTGAAACTTTGTCCCTGTATTGCTTTCTTTTGCTGTAAATGGTTTAAAATTACATCACACAACTGTCTACGAATCATAACACAGTCACAGACACTCTCTCTCTCTCTCACGTAATGTTTTTTCTAAGCCTTTGGAAAAAGAATTTTCAAGTATTGTTGAGCCATCCATCCGAGAACCGAGAAGTAAACAAGTACCAAACAAGCACGCTTCACTTGTATCAAGAGATTCACATTAGAAAACTGGTTCTTAACTGAACAACAGGCTTGAGGGAACCAAGATTTTGCATGTCTTAAAATCCGTACGATGAAGACTGTGATAATGGAAGTTGCAAAGCCAGAGACAATGCCAGCGATCACATCAAATTTCCAGTACTTTGGTGTTGCTTCTCCATTAAGCCATGATTGTACAAGTTTAGAGATTCTGGAAAAAAGCCAATGAAAGAGGATCAATTTGGTGAATAACAATGCCAAGACAAGACTCTGAGAAACTAAACAGATGATAGAACATTCGTATATGATTTCAACAGAACAAACACCTGTAGTATTACAGATTATTATGGCTATTTTGATTTTTCTTCATCACTCTCGTATAGTCTGTAACTCTGTATGTGTTTACTTTATAGAGAAAAATGTATAAATATGAGAGAAATCATAAGAACTTACACAATAGAGTAATTCTTAACAATGTCGGTGAAAGAAAGATCATTTGCTTGGCAACCGAAAAAACTATCCCGATAAAGCTTTATCTTAGGAATCCCTAATGTGTACCAGCAATCGTAAGTCTCATTCACCTGGAAAAATAAAGATATTGCGATCAGAAACACAATGCTACAAAGAACAGTAAACCAACCAATACCAAGTCTGAGAATCTATATGGTCAAAGAACACGCCTTGAAGTTATCTTTGGTAAGCATCGCAGCACCAAAGTTAGGTCGGCACTCAGGAGGAAGGGCTTCATTTGGTGCTTCTGAAAACGCTAACCGTGTTTGACCCATTAAGTTATCTTTATATTCTACCTGTGAACGCCATCATAAGAAAAAGACATCAAGGAATAAGTAAATTGCTCTACTATGAAAAGCAAAAGTCAGATTTTTGCTAAAACATGTCACAACCTTGAAGACAGATGCCCAATAGTAATCATACCGACATCTGAATTTATCTCTCTCAAAAGGGTAAAACACATGTTGTGCCTTGGTGTTCAATAGTCCAATGCCACACACTTTAGAAGACCTAAGATCAACAGCTACATCAAAATTAAAGTAAAACCAACATCAGTTTCTCTATGTTCACCATAAGAATCATCAAATGAAACAAAACCCCCAAAACTCAAATGTGAAGATATTCAATTTCAATCATACGAAACTACTAGTCTAACATTTTAATCTATCAGAGATCATTACTAAAGTGAGAGACCATTACCACAAGTAAACCTATTGATTTATGTAATCAATCGATGATGAACTAAATCGAATCAAAAAGCTTTTTTTAACTTACAACTGGAAACAATTTTGCAGCGAGAATGAAGAGACGCGGAAGCAGAAGCAGCAGAAGAAGAATAAACCCACAATTCACCGATGAAAATCACTAAGACCCCTAATAGAAACGACAAGACGACGAAGCTGATGATCGAGAAGACTATCACTGTACAGAATCGTAAAGCTAACGAAGACAAAACCCTCTTTTGCTTCTTTGTCGACGCTGACGTCGTCGTTTCTTCGGAATCCATTTAAAGCTTTCTTCTTCGGTGACTGAGTTTTACTCAGAACGAAGAAATCGAAGAATCCATAACTCACAGTGATCTAAACGACGGTCACCGGGAAATCAAATCTTACAAATTTCCGTTTTTTTTTTTTTTAATTGCTCCTTTTTTTTTTGGCCTTTGAGTATTTGACTGTCGTTGTGACGACGACGATGTGAGTATGATAAATGCAATTAAAATAAATAAATTTTTCAGACAAGGTTGATCAATGTTAATGTGATGAAGATTGCTGACTCAGCAGTACACTTGCCACGTGCTCCACATAATATATACTCGTTTTACTTACCATATTGGGCTTTTAATGGGCCTGTATTTGGACTTGAGTCTTTCCACGTCACCATTCTACACGCCTAACGAAGCTTGCTTGAGAATTTTGGGAAGGGCAAATCCGCAATTATAGCAAAATCGTGGCTCGATCCGTTTGCGATTTTCCAAACTCTTGAAACCCTTATTTTAGTTTCCCTCTCAAACGGAGAGTAAAGTCCTCACATTTTCCACTCTAGGGCTAATCTCAATTCTTCATCTTCTTCAACCTCTGGTTTCTGTAAATTCAAACCAAACACTTATCACCTTCCCCACGTCCCTCAATTTCGGATTCATTCATAAAGATTCACCCTTTACCTTTTTGGATTGTGTTTTTGTTTTGTCGAGTGTGGTGAATCGATTACCCAAAATTTCTTGGTTTCAGGGTCAGTCTAGTCTCTGTGTTTTTCCTTTCAGTCTGTAACGATGGAGGTAAGTTTGACAGCGGGGGCAATCGGGAAGATAATGAGTGGAGAAGTGACGAAGGAGATAGATATGATGCCGGTGTTGCAAGTGACGGAAGTGAGGCAGATTAAGAGTCAGCAAGAGCCAGTGAGAGAGAGGTTTAGGATGTTGGTATCAGATGGGACACAATTGCATCAGGGAATGCTCGGGGCTGATCTGAACCATCTTGTGAAATCAGGAACTCTCCAAGCCGGTTCCATTGTTCGCCTTACTAAATTCCTCTGTAATGTCATCAAAGATCGAAGGTTATTTCCTTTACTTTGCTTCTTTGTTTGTTTTTTTGGTTGTGTAGTAAGTAACAAGATACCTTCGGTTGTGAATTTTTGGTGAATGATATTTGGAAAGTATTAGGATCTGTAGACTATTTGAAACTTTAGGTGAAATGTTTAGGTGCTAGAAAGAGAGTAAACTCACAATTGGTGAAATTTTGTACTGGAGATAGCCTTTCATTTTAGAGAGTACATTATCACAATTCAGTTTTCATAGTTTGTTTTTTTCATTCTTATTCCAGGATTGTTATTATAATGCAAGTGGATGTGATTACAACGAAAGCTGATATAATTGGACATCCTGTTCTAGGAGGAAAGACTAATGATCAACGGGTAGCGGATTCTAGTAATAAGTCAAATGCTACTGGTTTTGAGCAACAGGGTAGGAGTGAACCGATTGCTAGCTGTCAAATTAACAATACTGAGACAGGGAGAAGCAATGCTGCTATTTCACCAGAAGTTGGTCATAGACAAGGGTTTGGTGCTGGTTCTAGTGTTCCTACATCAACACCTTCCACTTGGGCATACAACAATACCGAGACAGGGAGAAGCAATGCTACTATTTCATCAGAAGTTGGTCAAAGACAAGGGTTTAGTGCTGGTTCTAGTGTTCCTGCTTCAGCACCTTCCACTCGGGCATACAACACTCCCGAGACAGGGAGAAGCAATGCTGCTTTTTCACCAGAAGTTGGTCAGAGACAAGGGTTCGGTGCTGGTTCTAGTGTTCCTGCTTCAGTACCTTCCACTCGGGCATACAACAATCCATCTGCAGGTCAGGGAGTCCCTAGGCAGGACCATGCTCGTGATCCTCCAACTAGTTATCCTCCTCGTCAGCCTGCTTATCAGCCGCAGATACCACCACCGATGTATGCAAACAGGGGACCAATGGCAAGGAACGAAGCACCTCCTAGGATAATCCCAATTAATGCTCTTAGCCCGTACTCGGGTAGGTGGACCATCAAGGCCAGAGTCACAAATAAAGCAGGGCTTAGGCAATACAGTAATCCCCGTGGGGAGGGGAAAGTATTCAGCTTTGATCTTCTTGATGCTGATGGTGGAGAAATACGGGTCACTTGTTTTAACGCTGTGGCTGATCAATTCTTTGACCAGATCGTTGTTGGTAATGTTTATCTGATTTCGAGGGGAAGTTTGCGGCCTGCTCAGAAGAACTTTAATCATCTTCCCAATGATTACGAAATCATGCTGGATAATGCATCAACTATAAAACAATGCTATGAGGAGGATGCTGTCATTCCACGCCATCAGTTCCATTTCCGTATCATAGGTGATATTGAAAGCATGGAGAATAACAGCATCATCGATGTAATTGGTATTGTGTCGTCTATCAGTGCTACTGTAGTAATAATGAGGAAAAATGGAACTGAAACACAGAAAAGATCACTTCAGTTGAAGGATATGTCAGGCCGAAGTGTCGAGGTAACTATGTGGGGTGACTTCTGCAATGCCGAAGGACAGAGGCTGCAAAATCTTTGTGATTCTGGTGGGTTTCCGGTACTTGCTGTTAAGGCGGGCAGGATCAGTGAATTTAACGGAAAGGCAGTGAGCACCATTGGATCAAGTCAACTGTTCATTGACCCAGATTTTGTTGAAGCCCAGAAACTGAAGGACTGGTTTGAGAGAGAAGGAAAAAGTGTCCCTTGCATCTCCATTTCTAGGGAGTTTACCGGCAGTGGCAGAGTAGATGTTCGCAAAACAATTTCTCAGATTAAAGATGAGAAGCTAGGGACCTCAGAAAAACCAGACTGGATTACAGTCAGTGCCACTATTATATACACGAAGTTTGACAACTTCTGCTACACAGCTTGTCCTATCATGAATGGTGATCGGCCATGCAGCAAAAAGGTCACAAGCAATGGAGATGGCACATGGACTTGTGAAAAGTGTGATAAAAGCGTTGATGAATGTGACTACAGGTATATACTGCAGCTCCAGATACAGGACCATACGGATCTTACCTGGGTCACAGCATTCCAGGAGGCTGGTGAAGATATAATGGGCATGTCTGCTAAAGAATTGTATCATGTGAAGTATGTAAGTGAAGAGGAGGAAAAATTCGAAAGTATCATCCGTAATGTTGCTTTTACCAAGTACATCTTCAAGCTGAAGGTAAAAGAAGAAACATTTAGCGACGAACAGCGTGTAAAAGCAACAGTTGTGAAAGTGGACAAGGTAAACTATTCATCAGATACCAGGACTATTTTAGATGCCATGGATAAACTCAGGAACATAGATGCAACTTCTCTTCCCATAAAGCCAGAAGGATCCAATTACAGTGCTGAGGCAGTAAACACTAGTATAAGAAGCTCAGGAACCAGAGATCCTTCATCAGTCGACAGAAGGGATTTTGGTTTACATGCACATCAATCGGGTCAATATGGGAATCAGTATAGTAGTGGCTCTGGGGCTCATGGTGGTGGTGCTACGAGCTGCAATGTCTGTGGAAACAGTGGTCATGTTTCTGCAAACTGTCCAAGCGCTAACGAGCCACAAGGGCAGTACATGGGAAACTCTTACAGAGGCACGTCTGGAAGTTATGGAGGAGGAGGACCACCAAGGCAACATGTTGGAAGCTACTGAGATTCACAAATTATCACCTGATTTTCTGAACTTTTTTTTGTACACTTTTTGGTTTTGGGATAATAATGAACTAATAATGCGTGGCTTTTCTGAAGCCTTTCCAGGTTATTTATGCATATTTGGTTCTCTGTTTTTTGGTTTATGCAAATATCAAACTCTGTTTGTGAATGTGATATCTTATTAAAGTTTCTCAGCTAAGAATGGGACTATGAGTTGGGAACAGTGAAACAGAAGAGAATTCTTTTCGATATCATTCTTAATTACTAAAAACTGTTACATTGATTATGAACTCTTTGATCAAAGGAAACCATCTTTCCCAAGTAGAAGGTTTTTGGAGTTTAATCATGCTCAACCTTTTTCCTATTTTCCATTCTCTGCTTCAGTGTTCGTTCCTGTAATATCTACAGAAAGAAACCTTGGCTTTAAGAAAAGAAGCAGACCCAACATCAAGAGACTTTGACCAATTTTACCACATAAAAGGATATAAGGCTTTCATATTCGACAATGTAACAGTTGATAATAGCACAGGTAAAGATCCATACATAAAAACTATTTTGGGAAGGTTCATGGGAACATCTAGTCACATGTAGCATATTAATTCAGATTTATTATTATATCACGTTTAGAAAATTGATTTACGATACTTGGTATCCTTTATTTGACCGTGCAAAATCCTTCAATTACTACACTATTACTAGAATCAAGTGCCTGATTGTGAACAAATATTAACCACATTTAATGAAAACGAATGGATTGAGTATACGACTATACGGTTTGAATTAATATATTGAGCTAATAGTAGTAGCTTGATCTCATGACAAAATTTAGTTTATGATCTGTAACCATGGGAAAGTCTAATGTTACGATTACGAACCACACTTTATGCAGTATTCATGTCATCTTTTGTTGGTATAACGATCTTATATCTCCATTTTCCATGCTCAAGATGAAGATTTCAATTTTAAACACAAGTCTATGTAACATTTTGGATGATAAATAAAACAAGTAGAAAACATGTTATGTTGATATGCATAACTTTTATTTATCAACATAAAAATAACAACGTAACATGTTCTATTGAAATAAAGTTATATCTTTATGCACGACTTTTTATTTATTAATTTTGGAATTGATCCTTGCTAGCCATTATGATAGACTGATAGTCATCAAACATTAAAAAAAAGGTGGTGTTATTCAGCCAAACACAATTTTTTTTTTTTTTATTGAATTGATTTTGACTCAATAGTTGCTACTTTTCAACTTATCATACCTTTTCATTTATTTTATTTTTTGGGGTGAGCCAATCATAATAATTAAAAAAGAAAAAAAGAAAATAATGGTGTAAAAAAACCTAATGACACATGGGGGAAGATGATGCACCATTAACAGATTCCACATGGGGGCAAGGAAGGTGAGTTTCCATTTTCCAAACTTAAAGACTTTTTTATTTTATTTTGTCAATCTCCGAACTTAAGACGTTATTCAAAACTCAAAAGTATATGGTTCTTAACGCACGATACAACAAAATTTACGTTATGATCAGTCTTCTGAGATCCCTCGACAAGACAGTTTCTGTAATCAGAATTGTAGAGAAGAATGCTACAAACATTAGACTAGATTCAGATATATAGTAAATTGATCAGAAATGAAGTTTTTTTTAGTAGTCGGCTATAGTTTTGAGTAGATAGTTTTGACAAGACATTACTTATTCCAAGTCGCATGCAAGAGATGGTGTTGTGACTTGATATAATATAAATTTAAGGTAAATAATAAGACGAATACCAATACACACTGTGTGTGTGTGTGTGTATACGGAGATAGTAATATAATAACTAGATAATTAACAGTACAATATGGAATATGTAAACAATCTACTATACTGATGACAAAAAAAGAACAATACTACTTACTATACGTCTGGTCTGGGGGAGAAGAAATAATATAAACGCGTATGGGATTAGTCAACACTTAAATAATAATGGAGTGTAGTAGTAGTCGTGGATCTATCACACAAGTGACAAACCCACCGACTAAAACTCGGCTAACTTCAACTAATTTTAATTGAATCTTCATATAGTTTCGTCTTTATTTTCATTGTATATAATTACCTCGTTCCCATTTATTCTTTTTTTTTTTCTTTTGGATTTGTGTAATGGTTGTGTTAACAAAGGAAGTGGAAACAAAAAACAAACCTTATAAAGTTTAAATGTAATGTGAATTTCTTAACCATTGTAAATCGATTGTAGCACTTTATTATGGAATGTAAATTTTTTTTATATATATAAAATCACTCCAAAAAATAGGGATTATCTAGTTTATATATATGGATTTTTTTCATTTTTTTTTGCATGGGAAGAGAAGTGTGGTGATGCCGACGGTGAATCGTTTTGTCGGTGGTGGGTTCCATTTTTACTTCTTCTCTCTTCTTCTTTTACTTATTTTTTTTATAATGTATAAATAATAATAAAAATTAAGAAGAATCCTAAAAAATAAACGATTGGTGACTTTAGTAAAAGAAAGAAACAACTTGATTCCTTGTTTTTTGGAAAACAAACCTATAATTCCGGGGAAAATTGTAAAATTGTGGAAATCTATAATACTAGTCGTTTACAATTTCCCATACAGGAAGATCTATCACAATTATAGAATCTCATACTACTACTAATTTGGAAATCCTTGATTTTGTTTTTCTATAACTTATTGTTTTTTATTTTTTTGGACAAATTTTTCTATAACTTATTTATTTTCATAAGTTTACACTTTCTTTAGTACAGTAGTAGTAGTATTACTACTTTGTACTATATTTTTCGAGCCAATCGAAATTACTGAAATTTCTTTATCTTTTTTTTTTTTGGTAAAGAAATTTCTTTATCTTATATATACTTGAAAATATCTTTGCTTAGTGAAAACGATTCTCATCATTATCATTATGGTTGTTAACAAACAACAAGTGAAGTGAGTGTGACTATTATTATTTTTCTTCTTGCTCTCCAATCAATATTCAATAATAATTAATAAATACAAAACAAAACTAAAAATAATAGTGAAAATTATGTGAAAATAATAGTACTGTTAAAAGAATGAAAATGATAGAAAACGAAAGAGAGAGAGAGAATTTAAAAAAAAGAAAAGAATAAATGTAAAAATTACAGCCAATTTGCGTGAAGGGAAGGAAGGAAGCTATATATGTTAACGTTAGCTTCTCTGCAAAATCCCTTATCCCTCTCTCTCTCTCTCTCTCTCTCTCTCTCTCTCTCTCTTTCTTTCTCCTCCATTTTTTGCTCTTCTCAATTCAACCAAATTTCTCAAAATCGTCCACGCAGAGCGAATCACAAAGTCTCTTTCGGTCACCGGGATATATCTTCTCCTCCGCAATTCGAGTAGACCATTCCCACGAGGACGCTTACTCGAGATAATCATATTAGGGTAATATCATACGTGAGTTTCGTCTCTCTATTCAAACTTATCTTATACGTACAGAATTGAGTTTTGTGTGTTACTTCATTGAAGCTATACGAATTTTGTTTCGGTAAAAACCCAGATCTGGATTTCGTAAATTTGTTGCTCTGTATTGCTCTGATTATACAGCATTTGCTTCCGTATCAACAATCTACAGCTTAATCTCCTGTAAACGAATCGATTCATCTTCAATTTATACTTTTGGGTTTTGATATCCATATTCATTTCGTTTTTTGCTCGCTTCGTGTGTGTGTTTGTGTTTATACTGTATAATTCCAGATTCATCGTTTAAATCTCTTCCGTTTCTGTTTTTGATTCCATTTTCAGTTTTTGTTGGTGTTGCTGTGTGTATGAAAACACCAAAAGATTAAAGACGTTTCCGTATCTGCCAAGTAATGATTTAATGCTAATTCTTCTTATTCATCTTACACTTTTTTTCATTGTCGTCCTTTTCGTGCTTTTTAGCTGTCTCTCTGCAAGCTTTATTGTGGAGATTTGTTTCTCAGACTTTAAATGCGAAAGCGAATAAGACTTTATATAGAAACTCTTTCATGTGTATTCATTTATTATACAATACTGTTCATTTGATTCAATTGTTTATTGTGGGAGTGAGAGAGAGACCATGTTATGGCGGTCGAATCTGGGTCCCAAAACGCCATGTGAGATACATTAAAGCAACAATCTTTTATTGTCGGCAATGTTGTTTCTTCCCACTTTCAGATCTCGATTCTCGACGTCCTTTGTTTCCTCAACTTTCAATATTCTCATTTGTCAAATACTAGTCACACACACTGGCCCATCATCATTTATTCAACAAAAGTTTTATCTTTTCATATTTGGCAGAAGCTTGTTTGCTGCTCTTGTCTAGTCATGTTTTGATCCAATCTGATGTTTTGGCTTCTCTATTATTGGTTGATTTGCTGGCAGGTGTTGATCTTCTAAAACAAGGATTTTGTGAATTTTAGTAGAAAACAACAATGAAGTATAAAGATGAGAAGTACGAGAAAGCTGAGAAAGGTTCAAGGGTCTTGCCCAAGACTGTTTTACTGATCTTGCTATGTGGGCTTTCGTTCTATCTTGGTGGGTTGTATTGTGGCAAGAACAAGATCGAAGTTAATGATGTTGCAAAAGCTGAATCTTCTTCCTTGGATATTGATGAAGCTCCTCAAGTCAAATCTGTTTCTTTCTCTGAATGTAGCAGTGACTACCAAGATTACACTCCCTGCACGGATCCAAGGGTACACTCAGTTTTTAGACTTTTGTGGATATTCTTTTGAGCTAATGTTTGATTTTCGTTTTGCTTGTTCAGAAATGGAAGAAATATGGTACTCACAGGCTTACTTTCATGGAGAGACACTGTCCTCCTGTGTTTGATAGAAAGCAGTGTCTGGTTCCTCCTCCTAATGGGTATAAGCCACCAATTAGATGGCCAAAGAGCAAAGACCAATGTTGGTACAGGTAAAATGTTTGTCCCTTTAGTCAACTTGACAATTGCAGCTCTTAATTATTTGTATCTTTAGATCTCTCATGTCCTCGTATATATGAAGTAAGTTGGTAATTTGATGTGTTGATTTCAGGAATGTGCCATATGATTGGATTAACAAGCAGAAATCTAACCAGAATTGGCTAAGGAAAGAGGGTGAAAAGTTCATTTTTCCTGGTGGAGGTACAATGTTTCCACATGGAGTTAGTGCATATGTCGATCTGATGCAAGATCTGATCCCTGAAATGAAAGATGGGACTATACGCACAGCCATTGACACTGGTTGTGGGGTAAGTTTATATATTTCTGGAATTAACTTTGCAAATATAGGATTAGATGTTCCCATCTTCAACTCCATTATATTGATCTTGATCTGTTTTCAAGGTTGCCAGCTGGGGAGGTGATTTGTTGGACCGTGGTATCCTCACGGTATCACTCGCCCCGAGAGATAACCACGAAGCTCAAGTCCAGTTTGCTCTAGAACGTGGAATTCCTGCAATTCTCGGCATCATTTCCACTCAGCGTCTCCCTTTCCCTTCAAATTCATTTGATATGGCTCATTGCTCAAGATGCCTTATTCCATGGACAGAATTCGGTAATTAACTTGTCTTCGATCAATTGAATTGCTATCTTGAATCTTATTGATCAAAGAACAATGTGATTAATTTTACCGAAGCTCATATATCAACCTTTGCCTCTTTCCTACTATCTCAGGTGGAGTATATCTTCTGGAGGTTCACCGTATCCTGAGACCTGGTGGCTTCTGGGTCTTATCTGGTCCACCAGTCAACTATGAAAACCGTTGGAAAGGTTGGGACACAACCATCGAAGAGCAGAGAACAAATTACGAGAAGCTTCAAGAATTGTTATCTTCAATGTGCTTCAAAATGTATGCCAAGAAAGACGATATCGCAGTCTGGCAAAAATCTTCAGACAATCTATGCTATGACAAGTTGTCTAATGACCCTGATGCATACCCGCCAAAATGTGATGACAGCCTTGAGCCAGATTCTGCTTGGTATACACCGCTACGCCCTTGTGTTGTGGTTCCAAGTCCTAAGCTTAAGAGGACAGATTTGGAATCCACTCCCAAGTGGCCAGAGAGATTGCACACAACTCCTGAAAGAATCTCTGATGTTCCTGGAGGAAAAGGTGGCGTGTTTAAGCACGATGATAGCAAATGGAAAACAAGGGCTAAGCATTACAAGAAGCTGTTACCCTCGCTTGGTTCTGATAAGATTCGTAATGTGATGGATATGAACACTGCTTATGGAGGTCTGGCCGCTGCTCTGGTCGATGATCCTTTGTGGGTTATGAACGTTGTCTCTTCTTACGCTGCGAATACACTACCCGTTGTGTTTGATCGTGGATTGATCGGAACATATCATGACTGGTAAATTCAGCAAAGCCTAATCTTTCTACTTTCAAACACTTTTGAGTTCACATACATAACATAATGTGTTCTGTTGTCTCATAGGTGTGAAGCTTTTTCGACATATCCAAGGACTTACGATCTTCTTCACGTAGATGGGCTGTTTACATCTGAAAGCCAGAGGTAAATATAGAACATAGATCTCACAGCTTAGGTCTTTGAAAACTCATTCATTAATGATCTGATAATTTGTGGTCCGGGTTTTGGCAGGTGTGATATGAAATATGTAATGCTGGAAATGGATAGGATCTTACGTCCAAGTGGGTATGCGATTATACGCGAATCAAGCTACTTTGCTGATACGATAGCATCAGTCGCTAAAGAACTGAGATGGAGTTGCCGCAAGGAGCAAACAGAGTCTGAATCATCGAATGAGAAGCTCTTGATTTGCCAGAAGAAACTGTGGTATTCATCTAACGCATCTTCAGAAACAAAATAATTTTTAAAAAGGAAAGGGAAAAAAGAAGGACAAATCTAAAGCTTAAGGTTAAAGCTTTTGTTTTGTTCGGAGGTTTCTTGAGAACAAAGCCTCAACAACAACAAGCATAGGTTCTTTGTGTTGCTTCAAAGCCAAGAAAGCTGTTGAAAGCTGCCAATTCATTTACATTATCCCAGCATATTTTTAATCAATTATCGGTTTTTTTTTTCCTTTTATTTTAGTATATGCTTGGTGAGAATTATATATTTCTTTTATTTAAAAAAAAATTGTAAGTTTAAGATATACTTCAAATGGTGATGTTCGAGATATCTCGAATGTTAGGTATAATGGATTTGAGATCTTCTAGTATTGTTTTACACGTTAATATGTTGGTGGTCCAATTTAGATTTAGTGATTATAATAGTTTCTCTTTGTTTCCTCTATGCTAAATTAAAATTTTTTAGTGTCTTTTCAACAATGATATATGGATGAGGACCAAAATATCACCGTATGCAAAGTACAATAGTTGTGTAGTTTGATTGATAATTAGATTTTTTAACAGTTAAACAAAAATATAAAAAATGAAACAAAAAAGATCATAAAATAATTGAAAAGTAAATCTAGTCGTGTTGGTTAGGTAGAGAAGATTCCAAATTGTGTATGATAAACTAATTTTAAATCTGATTGCAGGAATTCAATTGTGCTTAAAAAATATTAAATTCTATTTTAATCCAAGAAAATCTGATAACAAGATCAAAGAACAGTAAACAATCTCCTTCAATATTTTCAAGTAAAAATTCTAAGAGGGAAGCTAAACCTTTTTGCCTTTTCTTTTTCTTCTTCCAACTTGAATTTATTTCCCTCTACAAAATGGTATACAAAAAATCTCAAAGCATCCAAAATTGGAGCTTTAGATAAAAAGAACCATTCTATCAAAATTGGTATACTTTTGATTCTTGACATCCATAGAAATTGAATGTCTTCGATCGTCGAACCTTATCATCATCCATAGATCATTTGAGCATCTTGCAATGTTTGGTTTTTAAGATATGAAAGATCTACGATTCCAAAAACGTGTTGCGTCGTAACATCTATACATTTATTTTCACAAACAACAATTTCGGTAATTTATTTTTTCATTTTTGGTAAATCCCTCGTGTTACCATCATTAATACATATAACTATCATAGAAAAGTCAAGAAACAAAAATAAATATAGACTTATATGATATGATAGTATATCAGTTACATCGTGGAAGGCAAAGAATAAAGAGGCGGCCACGTAAAGATACAGTAAGATCGAACGGTCTACAACAAACGAATGACATCACAACGTGTTAATCCCACGGTTATATTATGACAAGAATACTGTAACATGGTAGATGGGAGATACAGACGATTATTGGAATTTTCCAACGCGACACGACCACAATATCATCAATGCGGACGATCGAACCAAAGCGTGAAAACTATTCTCTTTCTATAAGCTTATAGCTTTGGGAATATAAATTGTAGTCTTTTTTTTTTTTTTTTAATTGTTTGGTCATCACGAGAGAACCGCACATAGAAAAAGGGTAGGGAGAGAGAAAAGGAGAGAGAGAGAGAGAAGAGGAAGGATTTTGATATTTGTTGGACTCGGATCGAATCATTTGAAAAGGTAAAGAGGTAGGAGAAGCTCTGGATTCCGTCTCTTCCCGTCGTCTGCGACGGTGGTTATGCCCGTTGGCTCTGAGGTATATTTATATCTACACCGCAGATCTCCATTTCTCCATTTCGTGTTTGATCGGACACTGGATCTGATTTTGCTTTTGATTTTGATTCTTTTTGGTATGCTTTGATTCGTGTGATTAGGATCTGTTTTGAGCTGGATTTTGATGTGTGTTTGATCATTTTGATTGAAATTTAGGGCTACGTAGGTATTTATTGATTCATTTCTGTTTGTATTGATTGATACATCCTCGAATTGGATTGCATATGATTTTTCTCCAGATCTGTGAGTTGTATAAAAGTGGGCCAACTATTTAGGTTTTTGTCGTTGTGGAGCTGTGATAAGATATTGTGCGTTGTTATCTCATCTGCATTTTAATTATTGCTCCTAGGTGTTTCGGGTTTCATCAATTTATACTGATAATTGATGAGAGTCTAATGTAATGTAAGTTGAGTCCATTGTTACCGCACACCTGCTTTTGGATGATTTCTTTTATTATTTGTGTGTTTATCTTTGGTTTGGTTGTAGTTTTAATTGGTGTTACATTGCTACAGGTTCTATCAGGCTTCTTTATAAGTGGATTTTCATCTTTTGAGATATGGAACAAGTTTTCGTCTGGCCAAGCTGCTACCACTATCGGCTTTTCTCATTCCAAGAAGCGCTCGATTGGCGGTTTCTTGTACGTTCAGATTTCCTTGTGGGCTCTTTCGTTAACTGCACTTAGCTGTCATACCCTCTTCTATGATTTTTAGGGGAAGGCGTGAGGCAACTTTCTGAGAGACAGGTATGGCTTTCCATTGAAGCTCTTGAGACTTTTGTTTTGTTTTACATGATGCTTCCCTCCTTAGATAGTTGCCGTTATTTGAACTATAGTGTATGCAGTTGCCGTCATTGGTAGATTATCCCAACTGGAGCTGTTTATAGATTTCATCAGTATGCTTTTTTCACTTTTTTTTTTTTGAGTAGCAAAACAAGGAAATTTGAGAAATTGTAAAACTGCGATAAAAATATTAGGAAAACTAGGAAAGGAAGTAATTATTAGTAAACAATGAAAACATCATCAGAAAAAGACACTTGCAGACAAAATTAAAGAACGTCAAACTATATCTTTTGTACACATCTTCAAATCTATCAGAAGATAATTGTTTGTTTGGCATTTTTGTTATATTGCAGGACTGAAGTCTGCAAATTATTTGTTCGCATAGTCCTAGAGAATCCTCTTTTTTTAGCCCCCTCTTCCATATCTTGTTCTTATGGGCATTGGTTGAAGAAAGATATTTCATTTTTTTTTTCAAGTTTAGATATGTCGTTTCCTTGAATCTGAACCCCTGAATGATATGTTGTGAGCATAGGATCCATCCTATTAGCTACACATTCTATCTTGTTGGTTCCTTTGCGTCTTTGAGTTCTCAGTATGTGTTTTTCTCTTCTCTTTCTGTCTTTCTCTTGCCTTAATGGTCAACCCATTTATGTTCGAAGTAAATAACGGCTTGTCTACCCAGCTGGAGAATCATTGATTTTACTGCCTTGGTGTTCAGTTCTTGCTACGAACGACTGGAAGATTAATGCTATATAAATCTTTCGGAAGTTCTTTACATAAATAAAATAAAGAGCCTATTTTACTTTACTGGAAAGAAGATGGAGAGGTAGCTTAAATTTCTGTTAATATCAATATAACTTTGGCATCCGGCCCCTTGATTTTTCACTTATGAGTTCGCCTGTCAATTCCTTTTGTATATATAGATACAAGTTAATTAAAGAGGTTGGTGATGGAACTTTTGGTAGTGTTTGGAGAGCTATCAATAAGCAGACTGGTGAAGTTGTAAGTTACTTTCTTTTGGAACTATAAATGCCTGTAGAATTTTCTGTGCTTGGTTTTTAACTAACTGAAGTTTTCTATGAACAGGTTGCAATCAAGAAAATGAAAAAGAAGTACTACTCTTGGGACGAATGTATTAATCTGAGAGAAGTGAAGGTAGTGAACTGCTTTCCCTGCTGAGATTTTGTCATGTTTACTGGATGTTTATTCGTACCTTCTTATATTTCTTATATCAGTCGCTCAGGAGGATGAATCATCCAAACATCGTGAAGCTGAAGGAAGTCATCCGGGAGAATGATATCCTGTACTTTGTCTTTGAGTACATGGTATACTTCTTTCCTGCTTGTAGTCTAATATTTTGTGACACTTTGATTCATTGCACTGAATGGATGTCATTCTTACTTCATCAGGAGTGTAATCTTTACCAGCTGATGAAAGATCGACAGAAGCATTTTGCAGAAGCTGATATCAGAAGTTGGTGCTTTCAAGTCTTCCAAGGCCTTTCTTACATGCATCAGCGTGGTTACTTCCACCGCGATCTTAAGCCAGGTAATTGATATCTTGTGTTGCCAGATACGTAGCCTTAAACACCTACTCTGAAGATTGACAGTTTTAATTAATTACTGTCTTTTAACAATCATGGTTAAGATACTTCAGGTGTTTGTCTGAATATTAATCAATATTGTGTTATTTCAGAAAATCTATTAGTCTCGAAAGACATCATTAAGATTGCTGATTTTGGCTTGGCACGGGAGGTGAATTCGAGTCCACCTTTTACCGAGTATGTTTCTACACGCTGGTAAGATTCACTTCCCTTCTCTGTTGCAATGAGCCATTCAGAAATATCAGTATCCATGTATATTTGTACTTCAATGACCCTAAGATGGATTAGATGCTATATCAGTGCAACCTTACTGACTTTTAGTCTTTGTTCTAATAGGTATAGGGCTCCTGAAGTACTCCTACAGTCATATGTATACACATCAAAAGTTGGTAAGTATCAATCCATATTGCAGTGAGAAATAATTATATTTTATCTTTAATCATGTAATCTAGTGCTAATTAATTTGGCAATTGATTATTTATTCAGATATGTGGGCAATGGGAGCTATTATGGCTGAGTTGTTGTCTCTTCGCCCAATATTTCCCGGGGCTAGGTAACTTTACGTTGATTAGTTTGTATTTTTCTTATTAGAATTAATGCGTAATCAAATGCTAATAAACAAGTGAAAATGTTGTCGTATCATCCTTTCAGTGAAGCAGATGAAATCTTCAAAATCTGCAGTGTCATAGGCAGCCCAACTAAGGAGACCTGGTTGGAGGGACTTAATCTTGCTAACACCATAAACTATCAATTCCCTCAGGTACATGCTCAACCTTGAAAAATTGTGTCTTGAGCCGCGGCACTTATTTTGTATCAGAGAATAACGGTTGTCATCTTACAGATTCCTGGTGTACCTCTTTCAAGCTTGATGCCATCTGCTAGTGAAGATGCGGTTAATCTTATTGAGGTATCTTAACAGCTCTTGATTCCATTAAGGTATTTCGTTTATTCTCTCAGACACTTATCTTTACAATGATCATTCAGCGGCTTTGCTCGTGGGATCCATGCAGCAGACCAACTGCTGCAGAGGCGCTACAGCACCCATTCTTCCAGGTACACCAAGAATTTTTTTTGATTGGACGATGGGCGATGACTGTTATAGCTCTACCCCCGATCTAACTGTGTTCTCATGTGGCAGAGTTGCTTTTATGCCCCACCATCTCTTCGTCCCAAGCAATCTGTTGCAAGAACTCCTCCGCCTGGTAATTTCCTAGTTTGTTGACTGGCAATGGTGTGGATTATTATATCTACTTTGAGATTGTTACAAACTAATTTTCATGTATGGTTCCTTCTAGTCGGGCCAAGGGGATCATTTGAGCACCAATCAGTCAAACGGAACCCAGTGTCTCTTGCCAATGCTAAGCCATTCAATAGCTATGTTAGTCCAAAGTCGAATGCTGCTTTTGGCAGTGGTGTCCAGCGGAAACTTGATATGCCTAATCAAGATGGGACTAGAAACACTAAAACTGTGAGAAGTTTTGTCAGAGACTCCAAATACAGACCACCTGGGAAAAAGAGTCCTAGTAAGTAAAACCTTTGGACCACCCTTTTTTATTTTAACATGCATACTGGTTGTGTTACTTAATCTAACAAAACAAATCCATTCATTTGGGGATAATGCAGCACCAGCATTGAACAAAAACCGGTTCACTCGTAGTGTATCAGAGACTGCTGATAAACTCGCAAACATGACCGTTGGAGGAACTGGATCTCGTAGACACTCTGTGTCCGTGGTTGGACATCAACAGCTGAAACCACCTTCGATGAAGGCAGGTTGGGTAGGAGAAACACGTGACATGTTCCTTAGACCAACACAGCCCACCACCAATGCCTATTCTAGGAAAGTCGCTGGATGACCCCTAAACCAATAACTCAAGCAAGCCTCTTCTGAGCAAAGTATTTTACTTTATAAACTATGTCCTATAATATATACTCTGGTGTTTAATTCCCGAGTCTCCATTTCATGAATAATAATGAAGTGTCCTTTTCTGCTTTTATTTTCTTTTCTTAATTCCGGTCGTCTGATGGTTTGTAATTACGTGAGCGTGACGATTAACTTTGTGGTTTGCAATAAAGTTCGATTTGGGACTATTTTATTTGGTTCTTTACGTAATTTGGTACTTCCCAATTGATTTGGGTAGCTTTGATTGGTGATATATAGTAACTCTGGAGTCTGTAATGAAAAAATGCAGAGAGACACATTCATAACCCTCTCATAGAAAATCCCAAAAAACACATTTCTGCTAAATTTACATCAGATTATAATAAATCTCAAAACCCTTGAAGCTTTTAGTCAAGGCCAAAGAGCTTACTGTGCTATGTCTATTTCTTGTTTGAGGAATTCCAAAAGGATTGCCAAAAGACAGGCCAGTTCTTCTTAGCTTCGTTCCAGCCTAACAAGGAGCCTTCTCTTAACGGATCCCAGCTCGACGACACGATCCCATAGCTCACACCAGCTAATGCAGTACCGAAGAAGACGAACGAAACAATAAAGGGAACCCATGTGGGCACATCAATCTTCAAACCGACTTTGAGATAGTAAAAGAATGGGAAGAAGAGAAGACCAACGAAGAGTGGTAACCCCACAGTGAATCCCATTCTGCTTATCATTCTGTTGGTCACTATCTCTGGAATCACACCTCTCTCACGTTCATCTTCTTCATCATCATCTTCGTCTTCTCCGTCGTCCTCTTCATCATCACTTTGATTTCCGGTTTTCTGCTTTTTAGCCTTCTTGGATTTCTTAGGAGGAGGTCCAAAGCCTCTGGGGCTATTCATCGTTGCGTGTAATGGCGCTAAACGCGATATCTCCAAGCGGTTGATGCAAGTAATGGACTGGGGAACTTGACTCTTCGTTTCTCTCAGTCTCTCCACTAAACTACACTGTTTATAGTTTCCATCACGCTGCGTGAATGGAAGCAATTTAATAAGAATAATTCAAGACTACATAAAAAATCAAAGTAACAAGAGATTGAAAGCCAGATAGTGGAGTTGATTTGGACGCCATTAAAAAGCACCGAAAGAAATTGCAAGAAAATGACCGGAACGAGTTGATTAAAGTTTCTTGGCATTGACCTTTGATTACGAGAATGATCGATAGAAATGAGTTGAATCAGCATCAATGAACTACATAGAGACACAGATTGAAAGAGATAAGAGAGAAGATTACCTTGTAAGAAAATCTGGGATGAACAGAGAGCTTGAAGGAACATGGTACAGAAGCCATTGTATCAAACCAGACATGAACCACGAAGCCAAATTCTAAACGAGATTCAGACAGAGAGAAGCATCAGATTTTTGTGTCCTTCTTTCGATGTTTCGAGTGGGAGAGGAGAAATGGTGGATAAGGTTCTTCTTCTTCACCTTTGGAATCTTAATACCGGTTTAATCCGGTTCGATATGCATACGTTTCATCCGGTCCAATTCAATTTTGAATTTTTTTTCACAATGGCGAGGAAGTTAAACGAGTGGTTCTTCCATTTACCATCTTCCTCGTTGGGAGATTCAGAGGAGGATTCTCCGATCGGAAGCGCGAGGAAAACAATGGAAAGAGGTGAGATGTGTTATGTTTTTACTCAATTATCGACGAATTATGATGAATTGATGATCTCTGATTCGAAGAACTTGTATTTTTCGAATGATATCGTCACTTCACCTGACAGAATCGTGTGCTACCACTTTCATGAGATTTCGCGAACTTGGTTCCAGCCTTTTGAGATTTTAGCAAATGGTGACGAATCTGGACAACTTTTAGGGTATAGAACGCCGGACTCGGGTAACCAGACATCGACCGCCGGAGAAGGATACAATACTGTATACCGGAGAAGGATGATGCTGCCGTAGTTTGGTTTAGTAAACCGGATTCGTAATACACCGGTTATGTTCTGTCCGCTTTGGTTTTTATTAATCTTAACGTAAAACGATGAGTGGTTCTCAAGTGTTCGTCTGGGAAAAAAAAGGAAATCAAACGAAGAGTGTTTGCACCTGGGGATCGAGTTAAGGTGGGAACGAAGAAGGGAAAGATCGAAACAGGCGAGAACAATTGGAATATCAATCTATTAATGGTAAAACTTTACAAATTTTGTTGCTTTGTAGATTTTGGTTCTGCTTCTTAGGTTTATCCAAGTTTTTCCCAAGGTTTCTGCTGGAATTGGTTTATTGATTAGTACTTATTGGATGGTTCCTGATCCTAAGAGGTTCGAAATTTGTGGGGTTTTCGAAAGAATAGGTGGGAAAAATAGGAGTTTTATGTTTTGTTGGTGATAAGTGTTGATTGTTGAACATCCATAGCTTCTCAGTTCAATGTGCATTGGATTTGTTTTAGTTCAGTGGGGTATTGAAAGATCATATAATGGATTAATGTTGACTTAATTCTGAAGCTTTACTAAATTTTCAGGTCTTGATGATCATTAAAGGTATATTTAGGAGATATGAGAAATGGAATCCTGTGCATCCTACTTATGGAGCATTTTGGGGTATGGGGATCGGGATTGGTTGTGGTGTCGGATGGGGACCTGGTTTTGGTCCTGAGGTCATTGGTTATGTAGGTGCTGGCTGCGGTGTTGGTTTTAGTGTTGGCATAACACTTGCTGGTATTGGCATTGGTCTCCCGACAAATCTTCTTCTTGCAGCTCCTTGTAACAGTATGTACTATATACTCTCCCTGTCTCTCTCTCACACACATTTCTTCATATATATATGTATTCATGTTACCAAGTAATCTTTTAATTCTGAAGTTTCTTAATTCGGGTTTTACGCATCATGAATGTACTTGATGATATTTTTCCTTAACCTTTTCATGTTTTTTCTTCAGCTGTGGAAGCGACTAGAAAGGGCGCTTTCGAGTTGTTTGGTAAAAATCTCTCAACTGATGGTTGGAGCGATTTCATGCCTCAAATTGCGGGGTTGCAGAGACAAGCAAGTGAGATGTGCTCTGGTGTTAACAAGAAGCCTCACTTAAATAATGAGTTTGACATAAAAAGTTTTCCTTTGTTCATTTCACATGAATGTGGAAGATTTGGGAGTCATCTTCTCCATGTGCGCAAAGGTACATTTAATTAGTCTGGGATAAGACATACCCACCTTAACATTTCGCTGTATCCTGCAAAGTTCTTCTCTATCCGTTTTCTTTGTCATTTTAGTCTTAGAATTTCAAAAAGAAGTGGTAATCATGGCTACTAGTCTGAGCATACATAGCCTCTTCTGTTAGATATAACTAACTTGCACTCCAACACTCTTCAGTCGCATGCTAATGTATAATGTATCTCTGGTTAGGAAATGTTTCTGTTATTCACTGAAAACCCCTATATTCTTTAGAACAAAGAGTATAAAGAACAATTAAATATATCGTTTTTCTTTGTAGGTTCAGAGGACAATAAATCACCACGAGGATCTTAAGCATCTGAGACACACACTTCTAGATAGTTACTATGATTGGCATATGCGAATGTGAATGTGACTGTGAGCACAGATCAGAACCAAGCCTGAAGCACTTGTGTCTTACAGTTACAGAGATATGTATAAGGGGTTAAGGATTTGACAGTAGCATTCATAGACAGTTCAGAGTAGTTGTTTCACAAAGAAAAGACCAGAAGTGTAGTTAATGTTACACCACAGGTTTATGCTTTGCCCTTAATCAAATAATATATTTTCTCCTTTTTTCTAATTCCATTTGCTTTATTCTTTACTTCTGGGGATAAATAGTTTGCAGAGAAAGATAATTCTACTGGATATATATATACTTTTACATGTCTGTCTCACCCCCAAAGTGAAAGCTGCAGACTTTGAAACCCTGAAATTCCTCCCATTTTAGTTTTTTCTCAGAAACACAAGAAGAGCTTATGGGTCAAGAAAAGAAGTCTACATCTGATATAGATGAGAAGCTCGCCACAATCCAGTTATCTTTTGATATAGAATATGCGAAATGGTTGTCTAGAAATCAGAGTGGATCTTTCTCTAAGCATGGAAACCTGTCCACAGATGGGGATTCATCACCAACCCGCAACAGCAGCAGCATCAGTAAAAAAGTGCGGCCTAAGGCGAACCGCGTGGAGACAAGCTCTGAGCTTCCGGATCACCACATCCATGGTTTTGTAAACGAGAAACTGTTCTTGAAGAACTTCTTGCTGAAGCAAAAGGAATCCGAAGAGTTCAAGTCTCTAGCGATTGTGGGGAAATACGGAGTTGGGAAAACAACATTGTGTCAGGATGTGTTCAATGACGAAAAAGTGAAACAGGTTTATATCCTGAGGATATGGGTTTCTATGTACAGCAAAGAAACAAAAGAGGATGAAGATCCCAAGATAGATGTTGTGAAGAAAATCTTGAGATCACTTGGAATTGAAGATGAGATGTTTGAACACATCAAAACAGAAGCAGAAGAAGAGAAGAGCATCAATGATGAAGCTGGGGAACCAGAGGAAGAGACAGTTAAAGAGAAAGAGCTCTCTCGATTATTGTATGCTCTTCACTTGAATCTGATTGGGAAGAAGTATCTGATTGTGTTAGACGATGTTTGGGAAGACAACGAGTGGAATCAGAGGCTAGATGATAAGAAGAACCAACAGGACAAATCACATCTTTCTTGCGGGTTTCCTAAAGGGTTTGGTGGGAGAGTGATTATGACTAGCAGAGACGAGAGATTGGCGAAGGAGATAGTTGGGGAAGAAGAGAATCTGCAGCATTTGTTTCCGAGATCCGATGCAGAGAGCGTGTTGGAGATTTACAAAGATGCTGTAAAAGCAGAATTGAAGATAGAAGTGAATCCGAGGTATCCGGGAAGATTCAAACAAGAGCTTATGGACAAGTCTTGCGGTATTCCTTTGGCTGCTCGAATGCTTGCGAGGATTGAGCCTGTGAAAGTGGATGAAACTGGAGACATGGAGAGGAAGAAGAGCTTCTAACTTCTAAAGCAATGTATCTACACGTATTTACAATTTACACTCTAAATCTAAAGAAACAAAAATTGAAGATTACTATTTAAAATTTATCTCGTTGTTCTAGAATCTGTTATAGTTGAGACTTGTGGGAGTGTAAACCTTTTGACATTTGACAATAAACAATATGAATAGTTTCAATATGACTTTGTGAAACTCTAAGAATGCTTTTTCACATATGTTAATGGTACCCTAAATATCTAATAGCAAAATTAAGACTGTTCACTAATACTGTGTGTCAATTATCAAATATGCGTCTGGAAGAAACAATCACTTGTTTAGATTTCGAATTTAGAAAAGAGAAAATCCATTGAACTGTAACAAAAAACAATGTTACTACCAAATTTTTAGGGAATACTAACTTAGTAAGATTTCAATAAAACATGTAATTTCGTTTCTTACTTACATTTTAGACAGTCTTTGTATGTATATAACCTACAGTGACTTCGAAATTCTTTGATTTGAATGATAGTTTCACATTTTCTTTTTATAAATAGTGATCATGGCTCTAAAAAAGAAGAATAGTAATCTTTCAAAGTACTTAACTTTTGAAAGAAGTAATGAACCAGTATTAGAATATTAATTTCCTTTCAGCTCAAGAGAAGTTGCACATATATACTCACCCCAATATGTTAAGTTAAACATCTATACCCTCACTCACTTTCCTAAACGTGTATCACAAAATCACAAACAAGAGCCAATAACAAAAGAGTGTAGCAACTAAATGAATAAGAAAAGAAAAGTTTTGCTTGTGTAGTAAACAATTCCAAAAGCCATTGTAATTACTTCAAGAATATAATAATTATACTTGGCGTTTTCGTTTCAACAGAATATAAACTGGAAAAGAAAAAAAAAATTATTCTCTTATAACATCATGATAGGATTCACATGGAAGTTATCGAAGGTGGATCGAGTAGTATAAATACGTGAATCAATCAATGAAGGATTACAAAAACAAAACAAAGAAAACTCCAAAGAAAAAGAAAAACAAAACGTGCTATCCAAGAGATGGCGAAGAAAAATGAAACAAGCAGAGACGAGATTGTCAATAAGATAATGGAATCGTTGGGACCAGATGGTGTCGCTTCAAGAACTGTCCTCGTTGGTGAAGCTGGTATAGGGAAGACATGGCTTGCAAAAGAAGTCAGCAAACGTGTTATCCAAGAAAGCTACAATGTCCTCTGGTTACATCTGAACAAAAGGATTGAAGACGTGAAGTCTCTTTACGAGAATCTAGCTTCTCAGTTGTCCTTAATTTACGAGTTTGAAGAAGGCGAAGGACCTGATGAGCTTGATTATTCGGTTGAGACCTTGGAAGAGAAGATTACACAAGAGATGAGCAGTCACAAGAAGAATAATCTTCTCTTGATTTTGGATGATGAAGGAAGCATGACAACTGAAAACCATGTAATGAAAGAACTAAATCTCCAAAATTTTCTTAAGTTACACTACTCGACTACCGTAAAGACTCTAGTTACAAAAAGAGATGAAAAAGAGGAGAAAGAATCAACAACGATCAAAGTCCCTCCGCTTACAGAAATGGAGTCACTAGACTTACTCCACAATTCAAAGGACTTACTTGCGTCGTTTACAAATGAAGATTGGTTGGTTTTGCTGCAGAGACTTTGCGATGACGGAGAGATCAAAAAACCTACTTTGATGTCTTGCATTTTGAGCAAGAGCAAGGGCTTACCAGCTGCGATCGTTGTCTTAACCAAGTCCTTGGACAACATCAAGTCGTTGTCTGCAAAACAGAGGAAGATCTTTAAAGAACTGATTCTATCTTCCGATTCATTAGACGCAGCAGCTGCTTGTAAGAACGCTATTGATCGCCGCCTCTACAATCCCGTCTTGCGATTAAGCTACGAGTTGTTAAAGCTTGATGATACGGTCAAACGTCCGGTCATTGCTTGCTTTTGGCATATCCTGGACTTCTACAATTACTCTGGATGCGCTTATTACCGCGACCTAATCGTGCACTGGATGCTTGAAGGGTATTTTGATCCGGTTAAGTCAGTTGAGAAAGCTTATCAAGAAGGACATTCCATTTTAATGGATTTTATGAACAGAGGAATCTTGAAGATACAAGAAGACAACATTGTGGTGCCAGAGTTTGCTATGAACAATCTATTAGATCTTCAAGATTGTGGATTCTTTGGAAGATCTTCTCTTGGATTTGACAGAGTTTATGGCGGAGACAAGAGAAAAGGGCTTGGGAAAATCATCTTAATCGACGATATGATACAGACAATTCAATCTAAGCAGAAGAAGATCACGTCGATTATTGTAAGCGGTAATCGTTTACGCAGAGAAGTTCATGGAAAGTTCTTTGAGAAACCAGAGATGCAAGATCTTGAAGTTGTTGTACTCTTTGAGCCAACGTTCGAAGATCTTGTTCAGTCTTTATCTAAGCGAAAGAAACTTCGAGTACTCGTGCTCAGGGACTGCGATCTAATCCAAAACATCGATGAGCTCACGAGTCTTGAACGCCTACACGTTCTTGAAGTCTCTGGTGCAAGTTCTCTTGATAACATTCCTGATGATTTCTTCAAGAACATGACTCAGCTCCAAAGTATTAACCTTTCCGGGCTTGCTATCAAATCTTCGCCTTCCACAATCGAAAATCTAAGCATGCTCCGTTGCTTCATCCTAAGAGACTGTTCTGAGCTACAAGATCTGCCTAATTTCAATGTAGCAACAACAAAATTAGAAGTTATCGACATTCATGGAGCTCGGAAACTCGAGTCTTACTTCGATAAAGTTAAAGATTGGAGATACTATAAAGGCAAGAACAAGAACTTCGCTCATCTTCAGCAGCTCGAACACTTAGACTTCTCAGATACTCAAATCATCCGCCTACCAATTTTTCATAGCAAAGACTCTACTAACGATTTCAGCAAGATGCCATCCTTGACCCGGCTCTTGCTGCGAAACTGCACAAGGCTTAAAAGATTGCCACAGCTTAAACCCTTGACTAAGCTTCAGATTCTTGATGCCTCTGGTGCTACAAGCTTAGTGGAGATGCTTGAAGTGTGTTTAGAGGATAAGAATGAGCTTAGGATCCTTGATATTTCAAAGACAACACTTCCTGAGTTAGCCGACACGATCGCTGGTGTTGTCCATCTCAATCAGCTTCTGTTAAAGAACTGCTCCCAAATTGAAGAGCTTCCAAGCATTGAGAGTCTGACGCACCTTGAGGTTTTCGACGTTTCTGGTTGCAATAAGTTGAAAAAGATCGATGGATCCTTTGGGAAGATGTCTTACCTCCATAAAGTGAATCTATCTGAAACGAATCTTGGTAAGTTACCTAACAAAATCCCAGAGCTATCTAACCTCAAAGAACTCATCATAAGAAATTGTCTCAAGCTAAAGACTCTTCCAAACCTTGAGAAGCTAACACAACTTGAGATCTTCGATGTTTCGGGCAGCACCGAGTTGGATATAATCGAGGGATCATTCGAGAACATGCCTTACCTCTACAGAGTGAATCTTTCGGGAACTAATCTCAGTGAGTTACCTAACAAAATCTCAGAGCTATCTAACCTCCAGGAGCTCATCCTAAGAAACTGTTCCAAGCTAAAGGCTCTTCCAAACCTTGAGAAGCTAACACATCTTGAGATCTTTGATGTTTCGGGAAGCACTGATCTGGAGAAAATCGAGGGATCATTCGAGAGTATGTCTTATCTTTGCGAAGTTAATCTCTCTGGGACAAAACTGAAAACATTTCCAGAGTTGCCAAAACAGAGCATCCTCTGTTCTTCAAAACGCATTGTCCTCGCGGATTCGACGTGTCTAGAGCGAGACGAGTGGAGCCAAATAAAGGAGTGTTTAACAACGAATTCAGAGGGCTCTATCATCTCAAAAGTAGCAGAAAAAACCTGCAAAAAAGGCGATAAACTTGTATATCACGGCGATAGATACAGAGTTCTTGATCCTGAAGTTCCTTTGGGTGTAGATATCGTTGATATCAACAAACCAATGAATCTTGGCAAAGAGTATATAGCCAAAGCAGAGTATGTCTCTATATCAGAGAATGGATCCCAAAACGTATCTTCTATCTTCCACGAGTTTCAGATGAGTTCGGTAAAGGGTTGTTGGGTAGAGAGGTGCAAAGACATGGAGATTCTATTCGAATCAGATGAGAAACAAGAGAAAGATAAATCATCATCATCATCATTGGAGAACCTTTGGATATCAAATCTTCCATTACTGAAAAGCTTGTACAATAGCAATGGAGGATTCATCTTCAAGAACCTTAAAAAGTTAAGCGTAGATTGTTGTCCAAGCATCAAATCCCTCTTCCCCGAGATTCCTGAAAACCTTGAGATTCTACGAGTGAAGTTCTGTGATAATTTGGAGAGATTGTTCGAAGTAGAAGCAGGAGAACTATTGAAGCTTCACAAGCTTCACCTTCTTGATTTGCCTGTTTTATCGATCGTTGGGGCAAAACTCCCAAATCTGGTGAAATACACGATTGTGAAATGTCCGAATTTGAAAGTTAAAGAAGATGAACTGAGGTTAGGAACAAGGATAACAGGGGAAATTTCAGAGGATCAGCCTCACAAGTAAGTGAACAACAACTACAAAACTGAATCCTTTTTTTTTTGTTTTCACACTAACTGTTTTTCTTCATGTGCAGGTTTATTGGGCCTGAAACCCAAACTCCCACTCAGCCCACAGAAGCTACAAGCACAGTGTAACATCATCTCACATGTTCTATCTTCACAAAATGAGGATGAAGATTCGAAACTTTCCATCGGAAAACTAATAAGTTCTCACCGTAAATGTTGAAATAATGATCAAAGTCTTGAGCTTTGACAGAGCATGTAATACGAAAACTTACAAAAATGTTAACTTTATGTTGTGTCTTGTCTCTTGTGTTCTGTAAACTCTAAAAATAAAGACCAAATGAAATAAGATTAATGGATTAGAATGAGATACAACTCGATGAGGAGTCCATATTTCCTCAAAGATTTGGTAAATAACCTTACATTAGTAAATCTCTAATGATAATGGACAAAAGACACTGGTCTTAAATATGCGGGGTCAAAGAAGTGGTGAAGACAAATCTTCAAACGATTGTTAGTCTCAAAGAAGAAACTCACCACAACACTTGCTTCAAACACTTCATCCTCTTCACTCATGTATAATAAGCTAAACTCTTTTTTATCTTATCATTAGTCTCTATTCTAATAATCTATTAGCAGTTTCTGAGTTTAATGATTCTTGATTTTTATTGGTTTGGTGTTGTTTTTTGCAGGAGATTGTTCTCATTGACAAGAAAGAACTCACTCCTCTCCAAGAACTCGTAGAATCTATCATTGCACCATACTAAACCAAATCCTCTCTCCAATTCAATACTTTCAGATTTTTCTTTCCCCTACTGTAGATAAATTTTGGATTTATTTAATTTGGTTTCGATATAATTTTCAATATAGTACATAGCACATTCATATTTAAAGATTTATTGATCAGTAAATTTTGAAACTAGTTTATCTGTATTGACTTTTGTATGTGTTGTGGTCGTAATGTTGTCTTATTTAAAAACAAAGAAGACGTCAGCCAATTATTGTGGCCCACGTGTATATGGTTAACACGTCAGCTATTTTGTTGATACGGCGTCGTTTTCTAACCTGTCGAACGGATTAACATCACCGTCAGCGACCTTCTCTCAATGGAATTGCTTCGTCAGCTAATTTTTTTATTTATAGATGACGATGACAAAAATAAATAAAAATAAATAAATGTGAGTTTTTGCACTGATTTGGCATGACCAGAATTAATTTTAATTAAAACATTTTATTCATCATTTATGTTAGTTTAACAGACTAACTTACTTCTTTGGCGTGATTACTTATTCAATTAATTAAGTTTGTTTAGATATTTCTCTCTCTAATGTTTTTTTCTTAATTAAAAGCATTCGAATTTTAATTTTTTTTCCTCATTTCTTCTGTCAAAGTTGAATCGCTTTCTCTTTGTTTTAAGTGGAAAATTTTGATTTTATGTTTTTTCGGAATTTTCAAAAAAAAACCTGTGAGCTCATAAATCTTCGCTAGAATCGGCAGAGAGGAATCTGCGAGAATCAATTACCAGATTCCGGCGCCGGAGCGCCGATGAACAATCAGGTCAATTAGCAACTCGATGATTCTCCCGCGGAAATAACTAGATTCGATTTCGATTTCCGTGGGGAAAGTTTTTGTGCGCTTTTGATTTGGTCTGTTCGTCCCTGTTCAAGGGATAGCGAGAATGTCTAAGATAGTATACGAAGGGTGGATGGTTAGGTATGGGAGGAGAAAGATCGGAAGATCGTATATTCATATGAGGTATTTTGTGTTGGAGCCTCGTCTTTTGGCTTATTACAAGAAGAAACCTCAGGATTCTCAGGTGAAGAAACGAATGATTTTTATTAATCTGTTTCGATTGGTGAATTTGTGCTTTTGAGTGGTGAGAGGTTTTTAGCTGAAAGATGAGTGTTTGTTTACATGTTTAAAATAGGTTCCTATCAAGACCATGTTAATTGATGGTAATTGCAGAGTTGAGGATCGAGGCTTGAAAACACATCATGGACATGTGAGTCTTGTTTTTACCTTTTTCTTTTGCTACCATGTTGTTACTTGAAGTGTTAATAGAATGTGTATGTGATGTTGTTGCATTGAGTGTTTTACCTGGTTTTGTGAACTTCGACCACTCTTCTCGTTATTCTTGCTTTGGATGAAGTTATTTAGGCTTATCTTCTCTCCCCTGGCAAATATTTGTACTTTCAATAGTGGGGTGAGAGAGGTGATGAGTAGGACAAGATGACTCTCGAGGAAGGAAGGAGTGGCTGCTAGGTATTCTTAGTTGTGAGGATTATTATTTTTCTGGGCAGAGTAACTGGGTAGAATACTTGAGTCAAACTGGATTTGGTTAGTAAATCTGCTGCTACTCTCTTGAGGACCAAAAAACCAAGAATAATATTATTGATGTGCATATATTACATATATATGATATATAATAATTATTGCATTAGAGAGATCATCTGAAGGTTTGTTTAGGGCAGCCTCCCACAGCGGTTCCAATCTCTTTCTGCAAGAGAGATATAATGTTTGTTGTGATACAGTTGATGGTTTCCCATGAAATGTTAATTTTCTCTTATCATATTCTTGACTGTTATATCACTTATGCCTCCATAAACTCTTCTGGGCTTTTTGGCTCGACTTTGCAGATGGTTTACGTGTTGTCTGTTTATAACAAGAAAGAAAAGAGTCATAGAATTACGGTATGCTGTCTATACTTAAGAATAGCTAACACTGGAGTTTTCGTGGTACTTGGCAATTACACGCTTTTGGGCTAGTTAATGTGGAGTGTGTTTCTTGCTAGATGGCAGCGTTTAACATCCAAGAAGCACTAATGTGGAAGGAAAAAATCGAGTCTGTTATAGACCAGGTAAGCCATCTGTCTACCAATTCCTGCATCACAAAAGCTTACTCCCCTTTTATTGTTTATATAGTAGTCACTGTTTATTGCAGCATCAAGAGTCCCAAGTTCCAAATGGTCAGCAGTATGTTTCCTTTGAATATAAGTCTGGAATGGATACTGGAAGAACTGCTTCATCTTCAGACCATGAAAGCCAGTAAGTGCTTATTTTAAAAGAGTTCTCTAGTACCTCCAAATTGGATCAATATTTCAACAACTCACTGGCTAAATTTTCTCACTTATAGGATCTCCTGACTAAATCGGGACAAATTATGTTCTGAATATTCTTATCATTCATAAACTTGATCTCTTTGTTATGGGATTCCTATCCACTATGTTCAAATTTAAGTGGTTTGTGGAATGATATAAATAAATTTGAAAATTGTCATTTAATTAGATAAAACATATAGGAAGTAAACTACCAAACCTAATCTGGGTTTGGATTTTCCCTAATCGGCTGCCTCAGTTATTCTAAAAATGTCAAAATTTACCCATTAGATATCATTCTTTTTTTTTTTTTTTTCACTATGTTGTTTATCTTTGTTTTCTTTAATATGCATATAGCTATACAAAAACTTATCTGCAATTTCCTTCAGATTTAGTGCGCCAGAGGATGAAGAGGACTCTCGCAGGAGCTTAATGAGGAGGACAACTATTGGAAATGGTTTCTTTTGAATTCACTTATTTGTGTGTTTAATCTGGTACTGCGATCCGGCCTGACCTATTCACCTCAAAAAAACTTGCAGGTCCTCCAGAATCTGTACTTGACTGGACCAAAGAATTTGATGCAGAATTGGCCAACCAGGATTCCAACAACCAAGCATTTTCCAGAAAACACTGGCGTCTCCTTCAGTGCCAAAATGGTTAGTAGTTTTACAGAGTTCCTAGGTCGTGCTGCGACTTCTGAAATGCAATTTAGTATTCTGTTTTCCCATTGATAAACAACAATTATGAGATCTTATTTGGAACGTTTGGAATCCAGTGTGTTTGTTAGTTATATTCTATATGAACTGGAAGATCTTTTTCAGTGAAAAATCAATAGAATCTTCTATATCTATGGGTTCCGTCATTCCCATTGCTTCCTGATTAATTGATAGGCCTGAATTCTACGGTGGAACTCTTAAATGGAAAATCTTAGTTTCATTGTTTATCTGCAATTGGGTAAAATTTTCAAGTTTGATTGGCTCAAGGCGCTTCGTGTTTATTTATTTATTGCGTTTTAGAATTTGGCCTTAATCAGCTCTTGCTTTTCTACCCATTGGCAGGTCTTCGGATTTTTGAAGAGCTTCTTGAAGTTGATTACCTTGTACGGAAATGTCGAATACCTTTTCATTATTGCGGTGTAATTTATCTTTGATTACATTGTAACTTTATATAGACAAGAACCATCATTATATTGCTACACGTGCAGCCAAGAAGCTGTAGCAGGGCAATGAAGGCTGTAGGTGTAGTGGAGGCAACATGTGAAGATATATTCGAGCTTCTGATGAGCATGGATGGCACTCGTTATGAGTAGGTGCTTCTCTGCCTTCTGTGTTTTCTAGAGGATAACTTGTACAGTGTTTATTTTTCTGTAATTTGTTGCAATTAGACATTATTATTTAAAAAATTTATAAGATATTACCTTGTAGTTTTATGCATTTTGTTATCAGTGTCGGGTCTATGTATATATGTTTCTTTCCTGAAAAATAGTGTCGTTTTCTCAATATAGTATGTATCCAGAAGTGTTTTATTTTAATGTTTATCTGTATCTGAAATTATATGTGTCCCTGTTTGTTCCTGTTCAATGTAGGTGGGACTGCAGCTTTCAGTATGGTAGCCTAGTGGAAGAGGTGGATGGTCACACAGCAGTGCTCTATCATAGACTTCTGCTCGACTGGTTTCCAATGTAAGTTTGCACCTAAAAAAATATTGTCTACTAATTGTCAGCTGACAAAATGTGATGTTTTATCCCAAATTAATTAAACCTTATCACCACATCACATCGTAAGGAATATACCAGTATACCACATATTAGAAGAATACACTTGGTTGCCCTCAAGGGCTGTAGGTTCAATGCAAAGGCGTCTTTTATTTGGGTATAAGACTGGAGACATGAAACCAGTTCAGGGTTATTATCTTGGTTTTAATTGTGATCTTTCTGTTTCCCGTTTGAATATTGTTTTATTGTTCCCACGAGCTCTGTTTTCATCATTATTGTTACATCAAATGATTTCAGGATTGTGTGGCCTCGTGACCTCTGTTATGTCCGCTATTGGCGCCGTAATGATGATGGGAGTTATGGTATCTTTCTTTCTTCTTTATTCATCCAGAATCTCAAAAATTAGTTTTATAAGCTTGTTGATTATTTATCTCGCTTTCTGTGAAGTTGTGTTGTTCCGTTCTAGGGAGCATGAGAATTGTGGTCCACAACCTGGATGTGTTCGGGCTCATCTTGAGAGTACGTCTAAGAAAATAATTGATGTTAAGCACTTGATTAAATTCTTCTACTCTTTGATGTACTACTATCTAACCCTGTTTTGTTTCCTATAGGTGGAGGTTATAATATTTCCCCACTAAAACCTCGGAATGGGAGACCTAGAACACAAGTGCAACATTTGATACAAATTGATCTAAAAGGGTGGGGTGCAGGCTATCTTCCAGCATTTCAACAACATTGTCTTCTTCAAATGCTGAATAGTGTTGCTGGTAAGTTCTTTCATGCTCCTTTCCTCTGGTTTCCTTAGGTCCTTACAGAAAAGGAATTCCATTGGCTATTTAATATCATATGTCTTAATCCATGGTGCTGCTCATCCCAGGTTTGCGGGAATGGTTTTCACAGACAGATGAGAGAGGTCTTACTACCCGGATCCCTGTCATGGTTAATATGGCATCATCTTCCTTGAGCTTGAGTAAGAGTGGGAAGTCGCTGCATCAGTCTGCCTTTTCTCTTGATCAAACAAATTCTGTTCACCGAAACTCTGTGCTCATGGATGAAGACTCAGATGATGATGATGAATTTCAGATTGCTGAATCAGAACAAGAGGTTTACATATTGAGCATTTTTATCTTAAAATCTTAAGCAGCATCTGGAATTGAATCGTCGTTTTTTTGTGTACTATTTCAGCCTGAGACTAGTAAAACAGAGGACGATGTCAAGAGACCAGGTGAGCACCCTGTCATTAAGTATGAAAATGCTACTTGAGCCAATTCGGCTATCTAATAGCAATGGTGTTTTGTGCAATTTGAAACTTCTGAAGAAGAACCTGCTCACAACATTGATCTGTCATGCTTCTCGGGAAACCTAAAGCGCAATGAAAGTGAAAACGCCCGTAACTGCTGGAGGACATCTGACGGGAACAATTTCAAAGTTCGGGGCAAGAGTTTCGGTACCGGAGATAAAAGAAAGGTTGCTAAAATATTCGTCTTCTTAATATGAAATGATTAGGTTCTTATACATCCAACTAACTTGTTTATGTCCATTTAACACTACGGAAGATACCTGCTGGGAAGCATCTTATGGATCTTGTTGCTGTTGATTGGTTCAAAGACAATAAAAGAATAGATCATGTTGCTAGACGCAAAGGCTGTGCAGCACAAGTAAGATACACAAGCACCTTAATTTTAGTTATCTAAAGGAACGATTTTTCCACTAAAGCTTCAATATTCTTCCCATGTTTTTCACTAGCTTGTGGATAAATCTTAATCAGTAGAAAGAGTATTGAGCCTTTTGATACACATGTTCAGGTTGCTGCAGAAAAAGGTCTATTCTCAATGGTGGTAAATGTTCAAGTAAGATTTGTCCATCAACTGTTATTAAGATTCCGAACATTGTGTACAAACCACAGTCATATTTATATAGGTGCAAAACCGGTGTTTATATAGGTTCCAGGATCAACACACTACAGTATGGTGTTTTATTTCGTGATGAAAGAGCTCGTACCTGGGTCCCTCTTGCAACGGTTTGTGGATGGTGATGATGAATTCCGAAATAGTAGGCTAAAGCTTATACCATTAGTTCCGAAGGTGTGTTTATCTCTTTGTGATTACTGCTGCAAGTATATAGAGATTCTATAGGAAGTCTGATTTCAGGTAGAACTAAATTCTATGTCAGGGCTCATGGATAGTAAGGCAAAGCGTGGGAAGCACCCCATGTCTCCTTGGGAAAGCAGTGGACTGCAACTACATCCGTGGCCCGACATACTTAGAAGTGAGCAGACACATCAATGTAGTTTATGAGTTTGCCTCTCGGACCAATAATTACTCAGATACTTTATTCTTGTTGATGTAGATTGACATAGATATTGGGTCATCAACCGTTGCAAATGGAGTCCTTGGCCTCGTTATTGGTGTAATCACGTCTCTGGTTGTGGAAATGGCTTTCCTTGTACAGGTAATTTTATCAGAGACACGGACCCATAATATTTGGATTTGCTAAGGTAGCTACTAGCTAAGGGGTTATTATTATGCATTCAAATCATGCTGGGGTTTTGCAGGCAAATACACCGGAAGAACTGCCAGAGAGGCTAATTGGCGCAGTTCGGGTTTCGCATATAGAGCTCTCTTCAGCTATAGTTCCGAATCTGGAGACAGAGTAAACCCATCAGAAATTACCATCAAACTTCATGTATAAGTTCTGTCACAACATTGTGTTTGGTGGTTCTTTGGAATATATATTCTTTATCTTTGTCCTCCTTTTCATTTTACATGTGACTTTGTTTTAAAACATTTTTTTTTCTTTTTTCTTTTTCTTTGTAATGTCACATTATAGTGGAAAATAGTTGGTCGTATATCTATTTACAGTCCATCAATATTGCAATGCGTTTCCTTTATCTAACTTTGTCTAATTGTCTTAGAAAATTACCACAACTTTTCAAGTTTCATTTTTTTTTTGGGGTTCAATTTGACTAAGACTTGTACAACCCGTTCAAAATCTCTCCAGCAGATCCACTTCTCCGAGACCTTCTACTTGCATACGGTAGTTTTGGTAGAAGATTTTTATCATTCATGCATATGCCTCTAGATTTCTTGCTTCTATTTGCATGACTAAAATATATGAATCTTTAAAATAAATAAAATAAAAATATTTCCCTTAAATATTTCACTTAATATAATCTTCTAATTTTCTCAGAAAACAAAGATATATAATCTCCCATTTTACGAAATTGATTTGGTTTTCTACTTGAATTGGAAAGAAATCCTTGTTACCTTTGTACTACATAAACAAAAAGTTGGTTTCTAAGGCAATGTCTTAAATTAAAATTACATATACAAATAACTGGTTTTATACATAGAGTATGTTCAATTTGTATGTATACATGTCCTGAAATACTAACATGGGGGGACTGTGTTCCCCAAAACTGTGCCTTTGTATGAATACTTAAGAGACAGAGCAAAGGTGGTTGCATTCTGAACTACGAGGATCGCCCTGCTTGCCTCTGCAATTACCCTTGCTTACGCCGAGTCCCCGGCTCAGACGACTAATTAACGCTATATATCTAGCTAATCCAACTCTTACTAGTATTGATAATTGTATTTCACTTAATCAAAAACCCTCAAATCATGATTTCATATCTTATCTAATAAATAAATAAAAAATCCAATCATATCGTCTACTAAATGTATCGATCGTGAACTAAGCATGAGTATCATCTATATACGTCTAACTTCTCGTTTTTACTATATATATTGTTCTCGACGTACGTTGAATCTAATAGAGTTTTGCATCCATGGTCTAAAACATTGGTTCTATATACAGAGAATTATATCATATCTTGAATGATACTACTAAACAAACATGTGATTGATACTTGGATCAAAAACGTCAATAGTGATAAAAATTGATTTCCCGTGATCCTTGGACCTTATTATAAGTATGTTCTACTCCGAAGTTAAAAAACCTAGCCTTCTTAGGGGAACATACTACGTCGATGTCTTTTCCACTTCATATTAATTTTAATCCAGCTCCAGCTGTTAGCCAGCTCTGATCATGCTTGGTCTTTTTTTTTCTCTTCTTTTTTTGGTATTTTATTCTATATTATAATGATAATGTAATGTATGTGCAAATTGCTAGGGCACGAGCAAGAAATTCTCTCTTTTTTTTTTCTGTGTAGTACTCTATATATACCTTTGACTTTCGGATTGGTTTCTTCCCATGCACAAAACCTTAGTTTATTATTCGCTTCAATGGATGATTAATTGGTTATTGTTGGTGAAATAAAAGATTAATAATGAAGTTGACATACAGTTGTCTGAAAGTATCTAAATTAAAAAGAGATTTAGCATATCTCGAATGATAGAGTTACGATACATGTGCCTGAATTTTCATTCAAACTTAAAAAGTTAATAAAAATGATTTTTCCCGTGATCCGTGGCACATTCATTTTTATATATAACAACAAAATACAACCAAGTATATATATTGTAAAATCTTTTATACAAAAACCTTCCCTTTGTTATGGGAACATAATAATATTTTTGATCGACTTTGACACTCCTACGTACTGTCCTACATGTATATGGTTTTTTTCCCTTAATGATGCTTATAATTTATTTATCTCCCTTTTAATAATTTATGTTCTCATCTTCATTGCGTATTTTTAACTCTCCTTTTGGGCATCATACATCATACATATCGTATTTATCAATATGTATATATACGATTAACCAGATATTATGTTAGAAGTTTCATAACTAATTTTGATCGTTGGTGCTACACTTCTACATAGTCTTGAAAACAAATCACTAACACACTGAGGAGGATATATACGTGTTTACATGTGCATGGCATTGACATTCATTATTATTGATGTATATGTGACAAGTTGAAACCGGATTTATATACCTCTATATTATATACGAAGATATCGAAGCACTGATTGAAGGGGAAAAAACAAGTATGTATTGTATTCTAATGACTTGCTGCAACTGAAAGTCTTTAAGATTATTAAAATGCTAATTTACTGAAAATCCAAAATCGTGAGTTGTAAATGGCACAGCATCCATAAAACAGTTTCGAACTCAACGTAAACTAGTGGTATGACATTTTGAAGAGGCTATCAAATATCAACTATTGTTGCCGCGTAGAGGTTATTCTGATCGATCATAATTAGTTACATGTTAAGATGTATACAAAACTGAGGTTGATATATATATGATCTGATCCGAACAATAGACACATAAAATTCACGGATCTAGATCTAGATAGTTACGTACTGGCAACTTGGAATCTAGATTTGAATATCTTGAGATTTTAGTGTAATTTTTATACTATTGTGTAGTAGACAGACACGCACAACTATAAGGTAAAATAAAGTGTGTCCATATTTCTGGTGGTGGTTGAAGACTTGAAGAGGCCTTCTTCAATTCCTTCAATTGACACTTTCAACTTTCCATAAATGTTATCAGTTTATTATAAATTTTTTCATGACTTTTTTTCTTCTTTTTTTGGGGTCTCTATGATACGATTACACGAACAAATTTGGTTGTATTTATATATGGCCCGGTACGGTGGACTTAATATCCGAAATCCAATATTTCGATATTATATGCTTTTAAAATTAAGAAATTTATATCGATACACACTTTATTTAAACGTTCTATATATCTATCAATCAGCAAAAAATAATAATTAATCCTTGAATTTCGAATAGACTTGGTGACCTAATTAAAACTTGTTTTAGGGGGCATAATTGTTCTATAACGGTATATTATTACTCGAAATCTTAGATAAGCGCAAATTATGACGATCAAATTAATCATCTGAACGTAACAAAAAAGCAATTGATATTCCTTTACAACTTATATAATATACTTTTGTGGATAAGAATATATTATGGGAAATATAATGCATGCAAATTAATAATTAAGGATAGATTTTTTAAGCATTACTTAAATAGGTAATATTATTTGACATCGTCAAAGAAACGCCAATCCCTCTCTCTCTCTCTCCGATCCCCAATAAATAGGAGACAGTCGATGGCCACCAAATTTATCATTCTCACAAGTCATAAAGCAAGTCCCTTTAGCTCTAACCCTTTTTTTCTTCTTTGTTTCTGATAAGACAAAATTCATTTATGGCGGATATCTCGGGAAACGGCTATGGCAACGCCAGAGAAGAAGCAGTGGTGGTGAATCTCAAGGAAGAAGACGAACACCAACAACAACAACAAACAGAAGCTATTCTTAGTAACCCTAAACCCTTGAAGAAACAAAACTCTCTCCTCTCAGTCTCTGTCCCTTTCTTACAAAAGGTTTTGTCACTTTCTCTATAACTCCGAAAAATTCCTCTTAACAAGTTAGACTTGACAAGACTAATTAAACGCTAACTGTCTTGGTTTTACGCTATGTTTTCAGTTGATGGCTGAGTTTGTGGGAACATACTTTTTGGTATTCACTGGTTGTGCATCAGTGGCTGTAAACATGCAAAACGACAATGTAGTGACTCTTCCAGGGATAGCCATCGTTTGGGGACTTACCGTCATGGTCCTCATTTACTCTCTTGGTCACATCTCCGGTGCTCATTTTAATCCGGCCATTAGTATCGCATTCGCCTCTTGCGGCCGTTTTCCTTTCAAACAGGTCCTACCAATAACACAATTACATATATAGCCGCCTGATATCGATAGATCAAGCTTTGTATTTTATGTATGTGTGCTTTTTTAGTTTGTTAGTGTTTTGTGTTTGATAGGTCTTCTAGTTTAACTATCGGTTGCTTGTATTGCAAGAAACTTTAATGTTATCAAAAGAAGTAGCATTTTTAATGCGACATTTACTATAGTATTCAAATTTTGTTATCTAAACGTCATAATATTCCAATATTGGGGACCTTAATTAGTTAATAGAGTGAACTTGTGAATTAATTAAATTTTAATATATCTCTTTGATTTTATTTATAGGTTCCGGCTTATGTGGTAGCACAAGTGATGGGATCAACACTAGCGGCTGCGACTTTACGACTGTTGTTGGGACTTGATCACGACGTTTGTAGCGGCAAACACGATGTGTTTATCGGATCATCACCAGTGGGATCAGACATGCAAGCGTTTGTGATGGAGTTTATCGTCACTTTCTATCTAATGTTCATCACTGCTGGTGTCGCTACCGATAATAGAGCGGTTAGTATTTTTCCAAATTTTTCTTATGTTGACTCGAAACTATACACTACTAGTCAAATTTGATGGCTTGCATACTACGTACACAGTACTACACTCACCCGTCAAATTCAATTGAGTATATATATATATATTGTAAACGTCACAAATATTAATTCAATTTATTTCTTTAACATAAAAAGAAGAACACGTAACTCTAATATAATTGATCGGAAAAAAGTATTTGGAGCTTATATAACATTTCGTCTTTGATTTTAAATTTTGACTGCAAGGAAATTACATACATTTGTTTGCTTTGGTCTATAAATTTATAAGAAACTTAAGATTGTGGACCAAAACGTTTTAAATTACTATTCAGATCGGAGAGCTTGCTGGATTAGCAATAGGATCAACGGTGCTACTTAACGTTCTAATTGCTGCGTAAGTTATCACTTAGCATATTTCTTCTACTTTTCTTCATCGACTATAAGAATAAAAAATGATATGAACTTATGTTTATGGTTAGACCGATATCGAGTGCGTCGATGAATCCAGGAAGAAGTTTAGGACCTGCAATGGTGTATGGTTGCTACAAAGGAATATGGATATACATAGTTGCACCAATACTTGGTGCGGTGTCGGGTGCGTGGGTTTATAACACGGTTAGATATACAGATAAGCCATTGCGAGAAATAACCAAAAGCGGCTCGTTTTTAAAGACTGTGCGAAGCGGTAGCTAGCTCTAGTTAAGGAGAAAAAGAAAGCATGTGGCTGCTACATGTTAAAGAAGTGATGAGAAAGAATTAAGTGTGAATTGTATAACTTTTCTCTACATCTTATTACGTATGTGGATGTATCAATTGCTACGTTTTATCTCTCTCTTTTTTTTAATGCATAAGATTCTATCTTCATGTGGAATTGTATTGTATATATATCTTGGAAAATAATTGCATTCAGTTGTGGAAAGAAAAAAGTAAGTATGGTTTAAGCAAAATCGTTGGGACTTGTTTGTCAAAGGAAGCACAAAATCCGGAGTCGCAATCATTGCCAACTAGGCGATACAACTTAAAAAAGCCGAGCACATGTTACTTTGTCTGAAAAGATCCAAAATTTAACATTATCCACCACTCTCTCAAGTCTTTAATGAGTGGCACACTCCCCAAATCATCCACGCCATCTTTTCCTAATGCAACGTCACTCCAGTCTCTTATTATAAAGACCAAAATAGACACACGATGACGCAAACCAAACGGAAGCAGAAGAAAAAATAAGGTTTAACAATGGCGTCAATGATAAGGTTGCGGACCTTGCGGTGGTGTGTTCACCAAGCAGGGAAGACGGTAAGGATCCAGTGAAGACCACTATGGCTCAGGTAAAGAAGAAATGGAAATAATTAAGAAAACGAAGAACAAGAAAGGGAAGAGTAAAAAGAGGTTTCAAACATCCAATTCTTCTATGTGTATGCTAAGCTAATTACATTACATATGGTTTGTGTGAAGGAGAACAACAAAAAGTTGTGTTTCGGAATAAGTTTATAAGCGGGAATCAAAACAGATAACTCAAGAGCTTTTTTGCACTAGTGTCTGACTCAATTCTCAAATGAGGACCGTGAAACGTAGATGCTAGCATAAAATATTCCGTTGTCGCTTAAACAGGAGAATGAAGTAAACGTTTTTACTTCTTTTATATGTTTTCACATCGCCTTTTAGAAACCCGGTACGCTTTCACATAACCTGCTAGCTAAACTCGGGTTAATTAACCCGGTTTCCAGTACTCTCTATCGACTAACTGTAGAAGGTTATAATCAAAACATCGACCCTGTTTTCGAGTTCTCTCTTCCTTTTTATATTAGACAACCTTTGAATCCTTTCCTGAGAATGGTCTCATCTAAGTTTCTTCCGATAAACACAAGTTTGTTTATCCGCTTCTCTTTGGGTCCCCATGATTTCCCTAGGCTTCCATCTAACATCGAATGGACTCCCTGCAATGGGTTCCATTGTCAACTCACAGATTTGAATAAACTGTATAAGAGATTAGTGGTATAGGTAACGGTTGAAGAAGTATCTCCGAGACCTGAAAGATATAACGTTGATCAGAGCTCTCAATCGAGAGAACACCTTTCATTCTGTATAAATCATCGCCTTTTTCTTCGATCAATCTTTCTAACCAATCGTCAACCTACAAGTTCATTTAAACAGAACGTGTTAATGTCAATGGAGATGGCATGATGGAATCAAAAATCAGCTTAAGAAAAGATGGAGAAAAGTAGCTTACTACCTCATCAAGATCAAGTTTTCCTTCTGACACTATGCTAACACTTGTGACAGCAGAGTCATGAACATGATCATGTTGATGTTCTTTGTGCTTTCCTGAATTAGTATTAGTTTATCACCCATCTATAATGACAAAAGTGAAACCCAAAGATGCTCGTGGAATGATTTAACTTCTAAATTAGATAGGTTAAGACAGATATATACCATGACTGCATTGATTGTGATGATGGCCATGATCCTCTGCACAACTCAAGCCATCTGCATTGACTTCTGAATCAATTCTGAAAGAGTATGTGTGTTTCAGGACACCAAAAGAGAATAGAAACATAGAAAAAAAGACATGGCAGAAGGTACCTCTCAAGATCATAACCTCCAATTCCTAAGACAAAATCCATATCAACATCTCCGAATTTGGTGCGTCTGATGGGTGCCATAGAGTTTATTTGCTTTTTTTTTTTTTTAAACCAGTTAAAGAAGAAGTGTCAATTAAAAAAGCATCTTCATTCAATCATTCTATTGGGAAAAATGAGCTCATGAGCTAAGAAGTCTCTTACCTTGAGTTTTTTAGTTAAGTGCTCCAGCTCAGGCTCGGATACCAAATCAATCTGCCATAAAAATATTGTTGAGGAACAATTTCTCAAAAAATGTAACAAGTGACAGCTCAAATGGATTATGATAGAGAAATGCAACCAAGAACTTGACGCGTAAAGGCAGATAACAACAAACCTTATTCAAAACGATTCTATCTGCATAGGCAATTTGTTCAACTGCCTCGTTCACAACAAATCTCGGTTTCACTTCATTCAAATGCCCCATGGCGTGTTTAGAGTCAACAAGTGTAACAACGCCATCTAACTTTATATATCTCGGAAGCAATTCATCACTGCAGAACGTTTCAATAACCGGACCAGGTTTGGCAAGCCCTAGTAAACATCACAAAAAGAAAACACAATCTCAAAAACAGACCAACAAAAACTAGCTTCTACGAACTCGCATAAGACAACAGAAACCTGTAGTTTCAATGACAATATGGTCAAATCTGTCTCTTTTATTCTTAACCAAGTCAAGAAGCATTTTGACTAAATCTCCACGAACAGTACAGCATAAGCAACCATTGTTCACCATGATTATATCATCAGAGGAAGAAGAGTGGCTCGCAACAAGAGATCCATCGATATCAACCTCCCCAAACTGTTATTATATCCACCAAATCTGAATTAATAATCACTTCATCTACAACATAAAACTAAACACTGTACTCGGAAATTAAAAAAAAAAACTGTCATTCACACCTCATTTTCAATGACTGCTATACGCTTCCCATGATTTGAAGTCAATATATGATTTAAAAGAGTTGTCTGCAGAAGATACATAAGAACAAATATCAGAAATCGCAGCAAGAAGACAAATTTCGCGGAATTCGTACAGAGTCCACAAACACTAATTCGATTCCATATACCTTTCCGGAACCGAGGAATCCGGTGATAACTGTGGCGGGAATGCGAGTATCTTGGTTAAGAGAAGCTGCGACATCTTGGTCGATCCCTGAGCTTGTCACTGGGACTGAGGAAAACGATTTGAGGAAAGGCTTTGATGGTGAAACCGATTCTTGGGAAGTGGAGCTATTGAGGAACCCAAAGAGCCGAGGAAAGAGCAAAAAACGAGAGGAAGATACTGTTCCAGGTCGCGAAATGAGGATTCTGGTAGCCATTGCCTATGCTAAATCCCTAAAACCCTTATAAGTAGAGAGGGTTTTTGAATTTAATTGATTTATAGAAAGAGCTTAGGAAATCCGATCCGGACCCGCACCCAGACCCGGAGCCAGACCCAAACCATCACTTTGTATAATACACTACTACGTACTAGGTCACCAGACTAGGAGTGCCAAGTGGAATGTTAAACCGGAAAGTTCGATTTCATCCGGTCCTGTACGAACCAAATTCAAATAATCTTATTCAAGAACGAACTATTATTAACACTAAAAAGTATGTACTTGAATGTGAGCTGAAAGTAGCTAAGTTTATTAGATTAAATTTTGAAGAATATTATAGTTTAATAATCGGAAATCTGAACCAAACCAAAATCTCCATCGAGAACTGAGCTGTCTAGTTCCTAATATGACATCACAAATTCACAGTTCATTAACATAAGATAATTTCAAAATAAAAAAATTGATCCTTGTGAGGTCGGTCATGTAGGCGTTCAAACAAAGCCTTATATAAGTTACAATAACTTGTCCCATATCCCTTTAATGAGGAATGGCTTCTTTAAGCTGAGGGTAAGTTGAATGAGAAAAGTTTTGGGGCAGTTTTATCAGATGCTCGTCGCCGGCTAGACCGTGAAAAGCCTTACCAAGAGAATAACCTAAAGCACGAGAAACCGAGACTGCCACTGCATTTCCAATCTGACAATACCTGTCATTATTGAAAATGCAGTGAATCAGATTTGCATTTTGCTTAGTAATCTGAAACTCTTGTCCAAAAGAACATGAAGTAAGTACCTCTGTTTCATGGTTCCGCAGAACTGGAAGTAATCAGGGAAACCTTGAAGCCGTGCACATTCTCTTATGGTTAGCACTCGATCTTGCTCAGGATGCAATAACGCCTGCAAATAGCAAAACCTCTTCGAGAATGACTAAGAATATAAAAGATTGATTCATGTTTAAACATGGAATGGCTTTGAGGGTACCTGATTGTGGCAGCTTGGGACTGTTAGAACGGTTGGAACTGTTTCGTCCCACCAAACACGGGCAAAAGGTCTGCGAATTTATAAATCCAAAGAGACTTATAAACATAAAAGTTTCAGCATATAGTTTCAGGTGGAGGAGTCTAAGGGTATACCTTTTAGATTTCCCTTGCTGAAAAGTGAAGACGTATTCTGGTACCTAAGGAGGGCCACAAGTGAGCTGATTCAGTACACATATATTCATTTTTTAAATTATGTGAACTGTTGAATCAGCAGACTTAACAAGTAGAACGAAGTGAGCTTGAGAATTTCAGGATTAATGATGTGTAATTTCATCGATGACTCATGTAATATTGGTACAGCTAAGTTCATATAAGAGGATTCATTACCAAAGCCTTTCCTGATGGCAGAATAACCGGTTCCATTGATGGATCACGGCAGACTGTATTATTTCTGACAACTAACCCTGGAAGATCCCTGAAATTAGCTCCCTGAAAACACTTCTCTACATGAGAATTTTTTGGCTCGAGGATCGGGATTGTTTATTAGTAAAAATAAATGTGTACCTTCCTCTTTGGTATTTGGCAAACTCGGGCATAATCATCTTCATTTACATGGAACGGCCTGTGATCATGCAGTAGCATTGCCTTTTTGTTACAGTTATCAATTGCAGAGCCTGTCAAATCTGACAAAGCAAAACACTAACGCGTAAGTAACATATGTAATATGCAAGGGAGTGGTCATGGCTTATCAGAAAAATGTTGTGAAAGAGACAGTAACTACAGAAATCCACACGGTCCAACTTACCATGTTTGGTTGATCTAATGTATCTCTGAAAATCTGTCTCTGGGAGACATTCATAAGGCATCTTTTCCCTGTCTTCGTCGTTTGATACCTATAGATGTGAAAAGAAAAGATATAAATATATAGTTAGCCCTGTATTGCAGATGGATCTAGTGGAAATAGAAATAAAACATACAGGAGGAAGATCTGATATCGCATCTTTTAGAACAAGAGCTTTTTCAAGTAGTCTGGGTTGGCCTTCAACATAAGCAACTACATTCCGCTGAAACATGAAAGCCAAGATGGGTTAATTAAATTGGGAGAACGACAGGCTTAAGGAAAGGAGTATACAGTAAGTACCATTTACAATTTTATTACCTCGAACTCAAGTGGAAACCCATATCTGACAATAACATCATGGGTTGGAAGCGGAAACGGAGGTAGGTTCTGAAATGAAATACCAAATAATTTAAGTATGAAATAGTCAGCTCAAGGAAGGTAAATAGGCCAATATTTATTTTATTTTGGTCACCAGTAATAGGCCTATAAAGTCACCTTGTTAGGAACAGCTCCCCACATGAAAACTCTGGATCGAAACTGGGAAAGACCATAGCAACCAGCTGTCATGATACCTAACCTTGCTTGGTATCTCATGTTCACAAGACGGCTCAAAGCATATCGCCCAAGAGAACCTTGGTCCAAACGCAGAATATCGACAACGTTTTCCATCAACACATACGAGGGTTTCAGATACTCCACTATGTCCATGAAAACTATAATTTGCTGGTTCCTTTCATCATTTAACGGAGAATCAACATTCCTGTACCGATTATAGCCACTAATTCCTTGACATGGAGGTCCACCACATATCACACCAACACCACCCTGGTTACAACCATTTACAAGATTTCTGATTTTTAGTGCAAATAGATGTTGATGGTACAACATACAACTTTCGAAGATCAAAAACTCAATTCAGAAACAAGTTCTTACAGGAAGTGGCAAGATCTTGGACTTAAATCCACTAGTTACAAACTGCCGAATGGCATCTTGACAATTGCTGAAATTTCAAACAATACTAATTAGCTCCAGATAACAACATAACCCTTTTTAACATTGTTTTCAAGCATATACCTCAATTCATCTGCTAGTTCCCATGTATCTTCGTTGCTGCTATATCCTTTCCAGTGCACCTAATGAAAGAGTCACTGGTATAATTCATCTTTACAAAACTAAAACGTCATAAGCTAGCAAAGAATTGCAGAATATCCATCCTGGAAGTTCTAAAGGTCAAAAGAAAATTCTTAAAACCCCAAGAAGTAAGCTTCAATCAACAACATAAGTGCAACATCGGGCATACCTTAAATTTCAAGCCACTTTTTCCTGTCTTGTCAGGATCACCATAGCATATATCAACCAGTTTTTCCACTTCATACTCCTCAGTGTCTGAATCATCGTCACCAGAAGAGCTACTTTTACTTTTTTCTTTTGTTGAATTTACGGATCTTAAGGTATCAGTTCTCTGATTATTATTATTAAACACATATCGCTTGCATAATCTATCCCACTCCTTCAAAAGTAGGAGGAAGTCTCCGGCAGCATCATTTCTAACCTGCAAACAACAACCGCATCATTAAACTTGGTATAGTTGTCCAAAATGATCTAGCAGTTGTCGCCGAAAGTATTCTGACCTGTGTATTTGGATGGTTCAATTTCAAGCTCTCACAGGCAGCCATATTCTGGTCAACAGCCCATTTCTGGAAGAGAAAAAAGAAGAAGCAAAAAGGAATCCATATATTAAATGAAACTGAGTGTAAAAAGAGCTTTTTATCCTAAGTTAAAGAGATAAAGATTAATTACTTAAAGCAAGTACCGTCACGACATCAACACCAGATATTTGGGCTCCAAGACTTAACCCAGTTGACATTCCACCACAACCACTGTAAAGATCAAGCACAGGAAGCTTCCCACTAAAACATTTCTTTTTCAAAATAGGTTTAGTGGATTCTGTAGGTACCACATTGGCACAGCACTCAAGCTTGTTTTCTGACGATTTAGCTGAGACCAAAAAAAGAAGAAATACGAAGGCTCAAGCTTCTGTACCTTGGGTCTTATATAAAGACTGTGTAGAACTGGTAAATAAACAGTGGCATCTGTTTTGCTTAAAGAAATAGAGAGAAATTAGCTATTTTGAATCCAATCGCTAACTCTTAAGCTGATAAATAAGCTCTTACGATTTCTCAAGGTTTGGAAAGTTGAATACTCCACGCAATACTCCATATCAAAATAGTAGTCCGACTTTATAGAATTGGGCTTCAATCCTGCCTGCAAAATCATAAAGCTAAAAAAAATTTAAATGCAGATTCTAACAAATTTATCAAATCTGTTAAGATATTAAAGGGAAAAAAAAGAGAGAGAGAGAAAGAGAAAGAATGAGCTTGACTCAGCATACCGTAGGTGAAACTTGTAAAACAGTAACTTTAGAAATAAGACAATCTACTGGATTGTCATTCACTACGGTAGAATAGAAGAGACGCCTTTTGTCATGATTAGTTGCCTGCTGTTTCATTACCTACAAGCATTAGACAAATGAGAAACTAGTTGTTGCAGCGCAAAGAATTAAACAAGAAAGGGAGAAGAATGTTGTAAACACACTGTATCTGTTGCTCTGTAAAACCACTGAACTCGGAGGTAGCTCTCTCCATCTGTTGTCTTAAAAAACTCTACTATCTTGCCAACATAGTTCTCTTCTTCTTCACCCTGTACCATATTGGAGTTTGACATGTAAGTAGCTATATATTTTCTTTTCTTTTCACAAAGGCATAACATTATAGAAAATCCAAGAATCTTGCATGAAAAAGTTGTTTGATCCAATATAAAGTGGAAAGCATCCCACAGATGATGAGGTAAACAATACCATATTCATGATAAGCACATTTTACCTTTATGCAGGCAAAGTCTCCAAGGCTAAAGGTGTGCCCGTCGACTTTTGCTTGTGAATAATGGCATTCCACATTTGCAACAATCTTGTCTTCGTCATCTCTGAAAAATGATTGCTCAGGATAATGAATGTACAGTAGTAGAACAAATAATATATGAAGGAAGAGAATATTATAGTAAAAACACTGAGTTGATCAAATATCCAGTACTTACTCTGATTGTTGGCCTCTACTCTTAGATTTACGTTCCTGAAAATTAATGAAGTTTATGATATCAGAAATGAAACAATTATTTTGAGAGTGAAAAAAAAAAGATATGAGGTCCTTGTTATGTTGGATTACAAACATAGACTATCTAATGCAACTGAAAAAGACACAGATTTTTCATGTACACATCATTAGACTATGCAATCTCAATTGCTCAAATTAACTCTTATAAATTCCGGAAACCATTTTTAAGCTAAAGCAATCAAGTGCAAAGCAATTAATCAAATACCTTCAGATCATATCTCCAGCGCCATCTTTCTTGAGCCTCCTCGCAAGAAATTGGCTCTCCAATGAAAAAACAGGTACTACGTTTGTCCTGCTCTTGGACAGCAGTTCGGGTTACCCATTTACCCTTTCTCTTGGTTGATTTCGTTGGAATATTCAGATCCAATGAAACGATTCCCTCGTTTCCCCCACAGGAGAGGGTAGATCCACTTTCGACTTGTGTCAAAACATCTCCATTTAAATTTTTCATATACAAATATTCACCAGAAGACTGTTCATTGCTGTCAGAGAGACAGATCACAGTAGATTTTACATGCTTTCCCCTAGTTGTTCCCTTATTTGCAGCACCACAAGCACTAGTTTTACCCTGACGTAAAGAAGCCATTGCTTCTTGCTCCACCAAACCGGTCGTCATAATTAATCCGTTACTAGTACGATTGTTGCTAATTTTCAAAGAGCTAGTGTGAATATCATCCACATTTAGGTCCGAAGATCTGGTTTTTCCTAACGTTCTGTCCCTACAACCATTTACAGTTGTCTTGATGCAACCCGAAGCAGAAACTAATAGCTCTCGCGTGGATGAAACAACGCCATCACCTTCACATCTCTTTATCGCCTCACAAGAATTATCATTCTCACTAATTTGCACCAGCTTCTCAGGTCCTCTCACCTTTTCCGCACCACATAATGCTGGGCCACAATCTTTTATTGTGTTCACAGTTTCTGTGTGGCCATTTTCAACAATTCTAGATAGCCTTGGAAATATGTTGAACGACTTCCCAGAGGCCAGAGACTTCCCTTGTTCCTTAGACTTGCCTAGATAATCTTCTACCTCGTTCACCGTTTCCTTCATGAATCTTGGAGATCTCCTCGTTCGTTTATTGCAGCCGAGACTCTGGTTAGAACTGTTGATTCTTGACGATGATGTATCACTCTCAACTTTCCTCTTGGCTTTATCTGGTAATCTTGATCTACCTTCACCAACGTTGTTTTTATATTGGCTCTCAGAAATGATTTCCAACTCCAGGCACTTGGCAATTCCAGCTACGTCTCTGGACCAATTTCACAGAAAACAATATTTGAGAACTAGAATCTCCATTTCAAGGATAATTTCCCAAGCAAAGTTGATTTAGGCCTTATGATGTTCATCTGAAGATATATAATTCAACTTATTCATATATAACAAGGATCTATGTGAAACAGAGATCAAATGCTCTGAAGCTACTACTACTTACTTGAATGTCAATCCCTGAGAATCTGAGCTTTCCTTCTGCATCAATCCATAAAAAGATTATACGATCTACTCTCTAACTAAGCTGCATTGCAATTGTGTGGCTTTACTAACAAGAACAAACAAAAATTGGCGACTAACCTTCTCGAGAGCACTATTACTCTTTCTCTTCCTCGACCCAGACTTTCCGGTAACCGGAACCGAGCACACATTGTCGAAATTCCCACCCGCCGCCGTAAATCTCGGAGACCTCCGAACTTGACAACCGTTCGTCAGCATAAGAAGCCGCTGCGGCTTACGACGGGAAGTCTTCCTCTGCGAAACCCCACCTTCTCCTCCGTTCTGTTTAGGCGAATTACAGTTAATCTTCGAGGATCTCCTCAAACTCATATCTCCGTCGTCGTGGAGCATCTCAGCTCCTTCTGAATTGGGTACCCAGAGGACAAGAGAGAGGCATTCCGGTTCGGATCTAGAAGAAGAATGGAGATCCAATCGAGCTCGAGCCTCTTCTGATTCACACTTCGCCGGCGATAACATCGGAGAAGGTGAATTAAGACCAAACGGATCCAAAATTAGCCAATAAGGATAGAAACTGCAAAAGTGAGTGTGACTGGCTGACTTTTTTTTATCTTTTTGACTTCTTTTTGCTATGTTTTTCTTTTTGTGATTCTCACGTGTCACGCGTGATCTTATTATTTTTTAGAAATTCAAACATTTTCTAAGTTGTCTGATAAATAATAACAAATTAAATTTATAAAACAAAATTACTAATTATTTGACAAATTCTTCCTGATAAACTGTGAAATTAGTAACCACGTATGTATGAAAAACCTATATAAAAATATATATATATATATATATATTTGGAAGATTCAAACATTAGTTAACCACCCAAGTTTATTTAAATCCGTTGAAGGATGATAACTTCACGAGTTATGTACTTAACTATATTGTCATTTTACAAAAATAATGGTCACAAATTGATGACAAAAAAAAATAAAAAATAAAAAATAAATAAAATGGTCACAGATTTATTTTAGCGAAGTACTAAATTCAAAAAGAGATTTAACTAAGATAAAAAAAATGTTCAACTAAGCCGGCGATTCCGTCGTTCGTCCATTTCCCCGATCAGAACTAAACATTGATCGCTGCGTAAATCTCAGACTCTGCTTCTGCTCTCTCTAATGGCGACGACTCATATTCATATAACCCCAAATCCTAAAACCCAAACGCCTCACCAAAACCCTCCCTTTTGGTTCTCTCCCAAAACAGGAATCTACACCAGCAAATTCCCCTCCGTCCACCTCCCCGTCGACCCTAATCTCGACGCCGTCTCTGCCCTTTTCTCTCACTGTCACCACGGGGATGTCGCCCTCGTCGATTCCTTAACTGGGTTTTCGATATCTCACGTTGAGCTTCAGATTATGGTTCAATCCATGGCGGCTGGGATTTATCACCATTTGGGTGTTCGTCAAGGTGACGTTGTATCCCTCGTGTTGCCTAATTCCGTCTACTTCCCATTGATCTTCCTCTCTTTGGTTTCGATTGGTGCCATTGTTACTACCATGAATCCTTCGAGTAGTTTGGGAGAGATTAAGAAGCAAGTGAGTGAGTGTAACGTTGGTTTAGCCTTTACTTCTACTGAAAACGCCGAGAAGTTGACTTCTTTGGGGGTAATGGTGATTAGGGTACCTGAAAGTTACGATTTTGATTTGATTCGAATTGAGAACCCTGAGTTTTACAGGATTATTAAAGGAAGTTTCGGATTTGTACCTAAACCGTTGATTAAGCAGGACGATGTAGCTGCAGTTATGTATTCCTCTGGGACAACTGGTGCTAGTAAAGGAGTTTTGCTAACTCACAGGAATTTGATAGCATCAATGGAGCTTTTTGTGAGGTTTGAAGCTTCACAATACGAATATCCTGGCTCGAGTAATGTTTATCTAGCAGCTTTGCCGATGTGCCATATCTATGGGTTATCACTCTTTGTGATGGGATTGTTGTCTCTGGGATCAACCATTGTTGTTATGAGGAGGTTTAGTGTTTCTGATGTTATTAATGTAATCGAAAGGTTTAAGATCACTCATTTTCCGGTTGTTCCACCTATGTTGATGGCATTGACAAAGAAGGCAAAAGGAGTGTGTGGGGAAGTGTTTAAAAGCTTGAAGCAAGTTTCTTCTGGAGCAGCTCCTTTAAGTAGAAAATTCATTGAAGATTTCCTTGGGACTCTTCCTCATGTCGATTTGATTCAGGTCTCTTAATTTTATTGTTGCTAGCTTCTTTTAATGAGCAGTTTTTATTGCAAAATTTGATGGTATGTGCTTCTAGCAGTTCTTAAAAGGAATAAATAACTCTGAATTTATGAGGCCATGAATTTTGTGTCGCATTACTGTTTTATTTACATTTAGCTGAAAGTGTATTTGTGTGGGATCACGTTTTGTTCCAGGGATATGGAATGACTGAATCAACTGCGGTTGGAACACGTGGCTTCAACTCGAAAAATCTTAGTAGGCATTCTTCTGTGGGACTACTTGCTCCTAATATGCAAGCCAAGGTAGTTGATTGGAGCTCTGGTTCTTTCCTTCCACCAGGAAACCGAGGAGAGCTCTGGATACAAGGTCCTGGTGTCATGAAAGGTAGATAGATTCTTCCCATTAAGCACTGAGAAACTCTTGCATCCTCATAAATGTAAATATAGATTGGATCATCCAACTTTCATGTGGCTTATTTGATAATTGTGTTGATAAATTAAAGCTTACTATGTTGTTCTTGCTTGTGCATTACATGTTTTCACCACACAGTTTTAACATTACTTGGAGAGAATCTGAACACCATTCAATTGTCTATCAGGATACTTGAATAACCCGAAAGCAACTCAGATGACAATTGTTGAAGATAGTTGGTTACGTACTGGGGATATTGCTTATTTTAATGAAGATGGTTACTTGTTTATCGTTGACCGGATAAAGGAGATAATAAAGTACAAAGGGTTTCAGGTAAGAAACAATTTTCTAAAACCCAAAACCACATCTAAAATCTTTCTTTCGCAGCCAACTGTATAATATGACATGTTAAATCTTTGCAATTATGTTTTGCAGATCGCACCAGCAGATTTGGAGGCTGTTCTTGTTTCACATCCTTTGATTCTCGACGCTGCAGTAACAGCGTAAGTTCGAACGCCTGAAGCCTTAATAAAATCTTGTAATAAGTGAAAGATACAGCAAATCTGGTTTTGGAAAATGTGGCAGGAGTCTACTAAAATAGTCTCCAAATTTTTGATTTGTTCTAATTAAAGCCTTTCCATTTCAGTGCACCAAATGAAGAATGTGGAGAGATTCCGGTAGCATTTGTTGTCCGGAGACAAGAAACAACACTTTCAGAACAAGATGTAATAAACTATGTAGCTGCTCAGGTCAGGGTCCCCCTAAATTAAGCCGGTTTTTTTCCCATCATTAATGATCGATGAATCTGATGGATCGGCGGATTTTTTTGGTTGCTAGGTTGCACCATACCGGAAGGTGAGAAAAGTGGTGATGGTTAGCTCTATACCTAAATCTCCAACTGGGAAGATATTGAGAAAGGAACTAAAGAGAATTCTTACAAACACTATTTCTTCAAGACTATGATTCTTCCAAATTCGTTAACCTTCTTTTTGGTAATAATAGCGCACAGATTTAGCATTCAATTATTCATTGGTTTTGTAGCTTCAAAAGAAACGAAGCACGGACACCTTTTTTGTGTGTTCTTTGATTCTTCAAATAAGCATTGTAACTCAACCCGGAAACAAAGAACTTGTTTTGAGCCCTAAAGTGTAAATTGGCATCATACTTTAATTTACAAAAATAGTCCTTTTAATCTTTGATTTTGCATTTATCGCCCAATACTTGTCTTTGAGCTCAAGAAATATAGTTTACTAAAGTCTGGGTTTTTCCGGAATTTTTTTTTTACTCCCAAACTGAAATAAGATCGAAGCTTTTCCTTCTGTTTCTTCGAAAATCTACCATGGCTGCTCTACAGTACCTCGAATCGCAGAAAAATGCGCATCCGGAGCTTGGCGAATGGTTCAATTCGCTCGCAGATCTGTACCAGAAGAAGCTCTGGCACCAGCTCACCCTTAAGCTCGAGCAGTTCATCGCTCTTTCAGTTTTTCAGGTCATTTACTTTCTTCAATCGATTTAAATTATCATCATTTGGTAAATTTTCTGGTTAATTAGGGTTCATAGATCTCGAGAAAGCTGGTAGGAGTCGTCATGTTATACTTGGGTTTATAGAGATCTAAGGGATTCGTATCCGACTATGGATTTTAGGAGTTTGGTGTTTTTCAGATTCATTGAAAGCTTTGTATTGGTGAATCATTGCACTTCTGTGACCAAAGCTTTTGATTTTTGTAGCGCAGAGATACCAAAAACATAGCTTTAGGGGGTTTAAGGGGCTTTTGTGTTGCTATGTTCTAGTTCAATAGTTTGGCTCTTAGGTTGTCTACTAAAATCCATGATTTGGTAAGGTTTTATAGATTTTTAACGTGTTTCCCCCTTTTTATGTTCATAATCCTTTCAGGCTGGAGATGCTTTAATACAGCTTTACAACAATTTCATTACTGACTTCGAGACGAAGATCAATCTTCTGAAGCTTGCGCATTTCGCAGTGGTAGTCTCTCGACATTACCCTGAGAAAGATGCTGCTGTTAGTTATCTTGAAGGAGTGATTGAAAAACTTAAAGCTACTAAAGAGTCAAGGATTAATGAGCCAATTAGCTATGTAGAAACACAAATAGCTCTGTTCAAGCTTGAGCAAGGTGACCAGAAGGAGTGCAAGAAAATCTTGGACGATGGAAAAGGCTTGCTTGATAGTATGACTGACATTGATCCATCAGTCTATGCCAACTTTTATTGGGTGTCTTCTCAGTACCATAAATTCCGTCAGGAATTCTCTGAGTTCTATAAAAGTGCTCTTCTTTACCTCGCTTATACGTCTGTGGAGTCACTCTCAGAATCGTTTAAGCTGGTACGTCCTTCTGAATATTCTAAAATCATGTTTGAATGTTTCATATATGCAGTCTCTCTGTGACTATATGGCCATTTAGCAGTTTTGGATAGTTGTTAGTTAGCTTTGCAAGGAAAATGCTTTGTAATCACCAATCATAAGTCTAATATTAAATACTTTTGGGTGTTTCAGGATTTGGCTTTCGATTTGTCGCTTTCAGCTCTACTTGGAGATAATATCTACAACTTTGGGGAATTGTTAGCCCATCCAGTTGTAAGTTTGCCTTCACCCTCCATATTAGTGTACCACAAACTTGTTCACTGAGCATTACAGATAAAGAAGTACGCTGACATGTTATATCTCTGTTATGGCAGTTGAAAAGTCTGCTTGGAACAAATGTGGAATGGCTTTACCACATTCTACAAGCATTCAACCACGGTGATTTAATTCAGTATCAAGAACTCTGCCGTGTGCACAACGCAGCCTTGAGCGCGCAACCAGCACTGGTTGAGAACGAGAAAAAACTATTAGAGAAGATCAACATTCTGTGCCTTATTGAGATCATTTTCAGGTTATTTATTGTCTTTAAAGAAATGTCTTATTATGCAATATATAGATGGAAAAATAACACTAGTACTTAACCAACCATCTTCCACAGCCGACCTGCTGAAGATAGGACCATACCTTTGAGTGTCATCGCTGAGCGTACTAAACTTTCAATCGAAGATGTTGAGCACCTTCTCATGAAGAGCTTATCCGTAAGTACCTTTTTTTTACTCTCTTTCTCTCTCTCTCATTCTATCAGTAACATTAAATCCAAGAAGATTGGCAAGACACAGACTCTAAAACTTCTTGAATGCTATGTGGTGGTGATTCTGTATTGGTTGATGGTGAAAACTGAGGAGAATGAGTGATTGCAGGTGCACTTAATAGAGGGGATATTAGATCAAGTGGATGGAACAGTGTATGTCTCATGGGCGCAACCGAGAGTGTTAGGGATTCCACAGATCAAGTTATTGAGGGATCAGCTAGACAGTTGGGTTGATAAGGTTCACACGACGTTGTTATCTGTTGAGGCCGAGACACCTGATCTTGTTGCAGCTTAAACCCTTGTTTCCTCTTTTTCTTCTTCATTGTCCGTTAAGCTACAGATTGTAACATTCTCTGAAATGCAAGTTCTATGTTAAGTGTTTTAGGAGTTACAGTTACTTTCAAACTTTGTTTTGTTCTCAACAGACATGAATGTATCCTCTCCATCCTTCCAATTTGGGTTCAGTTTCGTCTTTATTGTCTCTTTTTGAGGCTTAAGCCTATTTGACATAACAAACTGTCCAACTTATTATGAAATATTGAAATGTGTCAAAAACTCAATTAGTGGAATGAATCCAAGTGTCCTAAGGCTAATATAGTCAAAACACATTAACCCCAATTATCATCTTCGTTTCAATCTAAAATTTCCGATTTTGGGATTTTGAAACAGAGCACCGAAGTCTCAAAGACTCGAACTCCCAGCTACCCTTCTGTCTGCCTCGTAAGCTGCTTGCTCTCTAATGTTTCGTCTTCTGCGGAATAGAATTTTAGGGAATCATACGTATTTGTTAGGTGTTGTTAAAATGACATTAACCCAGATCTGGTTTCTTCTAAAATTCAATAAATTTTGATTATTGTTGCTGGGTTTTAGATTTCTGGTGTTGGGGGTTTTGGTGATCCGATGTTCAAATTCTAGATAATGCTTCAAGTTCATAACTTGAATCGGTTAAAGCTGTTTTGCGATTAGCTTGTAGCTCTTTGCGTTAATTCGAATAGCATTCATTTGTTTCTAAGCTCTGTTTTGGTTATAAGCTTTTTCATAGTACTGCTTTGTGAATAGGTTTAAGGTCCAAAGATGCAAAAATTGGCTGATTTCAAGCTTCCTCCGTTCTTCAATTATCCTCCATACTTCACGTATCCAATCTCTTCTTCAAGTTTTCTCCTTTTTTTTCTTTTCCCTTTATATGTCTTAAAGATTATGGATTGAGGAAAAGTCTGTTTCTTTTTCTTAAGTTTGCAGCCTGTGAGGGACACTCGTGAGAAGCAGATACAGCTCTGGAAAGAGCTTATTTTGGATTACTGCAAATCCCAAAAGATTTTTTTGATTGGCGTTGAAGATGATTTCCCACTTTTCTCAAACTCTGCCATTGATAGTATGATCCATTGTGACTTTTCACCTCATTACATTCGATTTTTTTATGTTGATTTTGGCCTTTGGTTGATTAAAATCTTAGCTGTTGTAACTTTAGATCCTTCAGTCTTGAGGCTTTACCGTTAATCATGCAAGCTTTCTGTGCTGATTTCAAGGGAAGTGCTTTAAATCTTTAGTTTCATTTGGTTTGTAGGATCTTTAAGTCATGAAGCAAGGGAAGCATTTCTCTCAGCAATTGTTGGAGAAGGTTAGATTCCGAGCATTCAAAGCGACTTGTGTTTTTTTCGTTTTAAGAAGTCATGTTCCGGTGATAGAATGAGGTTTCATTGTTTCATTTGAATGTGTCATTCTTTATCTATTGACAGGGCGTGCGGAGTGGTTAGATAAAGGGCATAGGAAATGTCTGATTCTGTGGCACCGGATTCAAGATTGGGCAGACATGATTCTTCAGTTTGTGAGTCACATATGACTTTAATCTAAGAGACTTTCAAAAATCAGTTTTTGTTTTTTGCACGCTTCTCTAATGTACCACCATCTTCTATCAGGTTAGAGATAATGGATTAGAGGACAGTGTTATGACTGTTGAAGAAATACGTACAGGGACAGAATCACATGGAACAGGTATTTAACTCAATTCTTGGTTTTCTAATATGATTCTGTTTCTGTCTCACAAAGTGTGAAACTCAGATGCAAATATTCTCTTTGATGTTTCAGAACTTCAAGGGATAGATCGGACGATTCTAATGAGGGCCTTAAAGCTTCTAGAGAACAAGGGAAAGCTTGCATTGTTCAAGGGAACATCAGCAGATGATGAAGGAGTCAAGTTTTCTGTCTGATGCTACTCTGTATAAACTTTTGGTAATAATTTCTGTTCGAAAAATATTAAGAACCAAGGAGAAAAAATTGGATAAACAACTCATTTTGTTCTGATAACACTCATTCTCTAATCACACTTTTGGGTTCTATAAAAAGAAAGAATAATCTTTATACATAAACACTAGACACAATGCGTTTGGAAATTCGCCATGGATTTTTGCAATTGATGTGAAAACTTCTCTGTTAATGATCTCTACAAGTACTTGAACATAGTGCGGCCGTCTGAACTAGGCTTAAATGCTTGCATTCCCCTTTTCCTGAGGACCTTTTGATTTTGCAGTTTTTTTATTATCTGTGACAAAGATATCATATTCTTGTCTTAGTTTTCAAACAAAAAAAATAGTCATGGATACTAACTAACTCAGAGAACCATCATATGATGCAATGCAAGTAGTGATCATCTATCTGTTAATCCAGGACACTTACCTTTCCATGGATGCTGCCATCCATTTGCTTCTTGACAAGAGCATGGAGTTCTGAGTCAAATTTCGGTTGAGGACGGATTTTAAAGTCCATCGATGTTGCTTTTGGTATTTGCGTCCTTCCTCCTCCTGTCAAAGGTCCTAGCTTGGATTCTGGTTTCCTGCATGTGTTTCATATTCACATAGATCTTTCAGATTACCAAAAAAAACAAAATTGTTTTAAGCTGAGATGATGGTACAAAGCAAAGACAAAGAGAAACTTACACAGAGATGTCAACATCGGTATCACAGATTATAGTTTTTGTTTCAGACACCTTAGGAGCTGTCTTGTTCTGTCTTCTCAATAACATTTCCTTTTGCTCTGCACGTTCCTCCCGACTAAGCATTTTATCATATCTTGAGCTATTATTATAAATGATACGTCCCTGCCAAAAAAGGAAGTAAGATCAAGACCAGAGGTGAGTAACGAAAGAATCAAACCCCAAAAACTGCTTATAACAGAAAAGGATTTAGGATTTATATATAAGTACCCATTTGTCGATTATATCCTTAGCGAGTCTCCTATTAGGTGTAGTTTCTTCATCTGATTTTGATAAGAACATTATGACCTGTAGAAAAAAGAGAAGAAGGAACATTAAACTCAACATGGAAAAATCCTTTCTGTTATGACTTTTTGACAGAGTTTTTTCAATTTTGCTAATTTACCTTCCCGAGACCGCTCTTGATCATTTGTTCTCTTCGACAGTCTTGTTCTAGATCGATACGTAGCTGCAAAACAGAAGAATAGCAAAGGTGAGATCTTTCTTAGGCAATTATATCTTAGAACTTAGTTATTATGGATTGAGAGAGAAGAAAGTTCATACATCGTTGAGAATCTCCAAAATCGCAGTGCGGATGTTTGTATTTGGTAAGCTACCATCAGGAAGTGGCTCGAGCCAATTCCTGAAAAGACAAAGTACTCCATGATCTAAGAACTCATCTTGAAGTTGTTTCCTGCAAGAGAGAGAGAGAGAGAGAGATAAAAATGTCAGAGATCACACACTAAAAAGATATCACTTAAAAGATTTGATTAAAGAGTTGGTTGAATCTTGTTATACTTCGAGAGAGCTTGAATGAGAAGAGGTAACTTCATGAGCTTATTAATGGCGGGTTTTCCTTGTCTGTTTTGAATCACGTCGTCTTCTACAGCGATTTCAAGAGTCGCCATCACTTGTTCCACTTGCACGGCAATCTCGGCAGCGTCTTTCTTGCACTTTCTCTTCTTTGGCCTAAGCTTGAACAGTTTTTTTATCTCCTCGTTATCTTCTTTCTTAGTACACTTCACAACGACTTCATCATCACCATCCTGTTAACAATAAAGACAGAGATGAATCAAACTTCTGATCTCAAGAAAACAGAACACAACGAGCCAAAAAATAAACAGAACCTTGGAGTTCGTGTCTTTCGTGATCGAATCCCACATCTCTTGAACCTCTGCAGAATCTTGAACCGAATCATGATTCTTCTTGGTCTTCTTCTTCTTCTTCTTAGCCTTCTCAAGACCAGACTCATCCTTCTTCCTCTGCCTCTTCTTCCCTACTTTGTCATTATGCTCAGCCGTAGGCTCCATACGATCTTCAAGATCTTCCTCAACTCCGTCTACTGATTCAGGAACAGAAGAAACAGACTTTGCGACTTTAGATTCCTCGTTCTCTTCACTGTCAATGAGAACATCTTCAAGTTCGTTCACCCATTCATCGTCAGAATTACTTAACGCTTGCATCTTGCTGATACGTAGAAATAAAGAACAAGGAAAACGTTGAAACCCTAGATATATTGTGATCACACTGAACAAGACCAAATTATAGATGTATCGTGTTCGTGTTCATCAAACTTCAAAGTAGCTATATTTATATGTCCCGAGTCGGTGACCAAAAACAAATATATATGTATCCGAATCAGGCCCGGCCCATATGCAAGCAAAGTAGTAGGCCTTTTATGTAAAAAGGAAAATATTTTTTTTTTTGCTGTAAAAAAAAAAGGAAAAAATATATTTTACTTTTTAATAAGTTTCCATTTTTGTTAGGCTTTTTTTACTAATTATGTTCCGGAGCTTTTAGGTTAATGTTAATGAGTTGAAAGTGAAATATTGGTTTAGAATAAAAAAATTTATAACCCTAAATGATGATAATTTTATTTTCAGATCATTCGGTTCATGTCTCCTATTTTCTTATGCTTAATGTCAAATTGTCAATGATGAGTTTTAAAGTGAAAATATATACTATAAATCTTATCTGGATTTGTTGGTTAAGTAAAAATTAACTATACCTACCTATATGTAAAATCTTATCTGATAAATATATATATTTCGAGTTTACTTTTTTATACAAATCTTACAAAGCAAAATAATTAATTTGACTATTCCATGGTCTTCTCTTTTTTTTTTTTTTTTTTTTTATGGTCTTCTCTTCTTTCCCACTTTGACGCATCTTATAGAAATTAAACAACAACAAAGATCTTAGACCAGACAAAGAAAGAGAAAAAATAAACAATAATTTTTCTCTTTTTTTGTTCTTCTTTCTGGATTTGAAAAAAAAAATTAAAAACAAAAGTGATGAGAGATTCATCAATCTATTTCCTATGGATTGATAATCGAATATTACTAAGGGTGATGATGATGATGATGATCGGATCATGCAGATGTGTTTTGGGATTGGAGAACATAAATCCGATATTCTTCGATGAAGGTCTTTCTCATTTGTTTGGTGAAGGTAACCTCATCCGATCTCCTGATGATCGTAGCGTTCGTTTACTCCTCGACAAATACACTGGTACGTATATTTCATTTCTTCTTGGTCTTTTTGAATCATCATCATGCATGGTTTCATTTTCTAATATATATTATTATACTACTCCTCCTCGAAAAAGAATAGTAACGTTTTTGTATATATTTTGTAAATTGCATGAACATGAAAAATGGATTATAGGTTTGTGAATTGATCGATCAAATAGTGATTTTTTTCGCATTCCCACTAATCTTCAATTTTTGTTAAGATTTCTTTTGCATTTTCAATAAACTATAGATATTTAATACGTTATATACTGTTTGTAAAATAAATTTGATTAGGGTCCGGATTTATCTCTTCAAGCATGTATCAACATGGATTTTTCAGCTCGTTGATAAAGTTGCCGGGAGCTTATACTGCTGGTATCGTCGTCGCCTTCTATGTAATAATCACTTATTTCCTCAATCAATTAGTTTAGCAAGCATTTCATAAACATATATATATTGAATATGACAATTAACGTGTGCAATTTGTAAATGAGATTTATGCAGACATCAAATGGCGATGTGTTTGTGAAGAACCACGACGAACTAGACATAGAGTTTTTAGGGAACCAAGAAGGGAAGCCGTGGCGATTTCAAACGAATATGTATGGAAACGGTAGCACAAACCGCGGCCGCGAAGAACGCTACCGTCTTTGGTTTGATCCTTCCAAGGAGTTTCACCGTTATAGCATTCTTTGGACCCCTACCAAAATTATGTTAGTTTCCTCTTTCTCTTCACTTTTTCTTTATTATCATTTAATGTATAAAAAGTGTGCTAGACATTAGACAATAAGGTTATCAAGATTATGAACATACTCTGGTATTGTTTGGATTGCGTAAAATAAACAAGGACCATAACTAGTTAGGTGATCTCTAAAGGACTTTTCTCTGGTGATGAGGAAGATAGTGGGTATGTGGTTTATGTATTGATTTGATAGTGTGCATGCATGAAACATCTTATTTCAAATAAACTAAGTGGTTGCATGTTGTTGTTATTTAGTATACATTTAGTTTAGTCAACGCAAAAATTGACACGGCAAACACACATATTTCATTTCACTATTGGTTTGGTTTGGTCTCATTTATACGCATTTAACGATGTACAACTTTAGATTAAATGAATGAAAATTATGTAATAACCAAATTAGGTACACATGATAAGATTGAATATGCATGAATAAAACTAGCTTTAGCCAGGAAAATATGGAATCTAAATATAAAACTTACTAGATATCAAAATAAAATTACAAAATGAAAGTTGATTAATTTTTTTAATTATTTGCAGATTTTGGGTAGATGATGTACCAATCAGAGAAATCGTAAGAAAAGAAGAAATGGAAGGAGACTATCCACAAAAGCCAATGTCTCTCTACGCAACCATTTGGGACGCCTCAAGCTGGGCTACCTCCGGTGGAAAATTCGGAGTCGACTATACATTTTCACCTTTTGTCTCTGAATTCAAAGATATTGCACTAGACGGTTGTAATGTCTCCGACTCACTCCCCACCGTCACTGGAGAAAACAACAACAACAACAACAACGTTGGTAACTATGGTCACATCAACTGTTCTGTCTCCGACCAATTTCTCATGACCAACGACTACTCAACCATTAGTCCTAAACAAGCAGCTTCAATGCGACGGTTTCGAGAACGTTATATGTATTATTCGTATTGTTACGACACCATTAGATACTCAAAGCCTCCGCCCGAGTGTGTTATTGTGACGGCTGAGAAGAACCGGTTTAGAGATACTGGACGGTTAAAGTTCGGTGGTAGTCATCCTAAAGCACGGAAGAAACGGCGGCGGAACCGGTCCACGCCGGTTGTATCGGCTGATCTATAGCATTTTAGTTAGTTGAGTTCATTGCCGACTATGTATAAATAGTGTTTTTTTATATTTTAGATTGTTTTTTTTCTTCACGTCCTAATCATACATCTTTACGTATGTAAAGAAACAACAACAAAAAAGTATAAAATGATATGTCCATTGCAACTTAATCAAATGCTTTTAAGAATAGAAATTACACAATTTGTAGAAAAATACTTTCTCCATTTTTATTAACAACTGTCAAAGTCATACGTATTACGTAGCTAAAAGGATTCTCACTTTGTCTCATACGGTTGATTTTTTTGTTTGTTTCTCTAACAAGTTTGTAATGAACAATTCAATCATTAAATCAGAATGTGGAAGCAAAATGGGTATTTTCCATTAAAAAACAAGAAAAAAACATAAAACAGCGTAATGTAAACGTAACAAGAAGAAAACACACAGCTCAGCAAATACGACTATATTGGTAAAAGCTGAGATGGCTATGAACTTTTATGGTATGTAAATGTCTTCATACAAAATGAAATCTAAACCTATTTATAACCTGTTGACAAGAAAATATCTGTAGCAAAAACAAAACTATTTTTTAACATGTGACACAAAATTTCATACGTGGAAGAAAATAATTATGATGTGTAACTTTCACTGTTTCGATATATGCACATTATATATTACTAGCAGTTGACCTGCGCTCTGCGCGGGAGGTTTATAATTTGTTTCGTTGATTTTTTATTCATATTGTGATATTTTATTATTTTTTAATTGATTTTGAAAAAATATTATAATTATTATCTTTCAATACTCAAATTTGGATTAAAAGCATTTGATTCAATTTATGAAATATCATTTTTTTTTCTTTTTGATCATGTTATAAACTAATATTTCACTTTCATTTTATTTTTCCTCTTTATAATTTTATATAAACAATTACATAAATGTTGTTTTAGTCTACCATAAATTTAAATTTTACTTCCATTCTAAAATTCAGTAACATATTTAAAATATTAAATTATGATCAATTTAAAATGAAAGTTGAATTATATTATTACCACTAATAAAAAATTAAAGTATTATTTTTCTTATTTTAACATTTCATTTTTTTACATAATTTATTTTTATTTATATAAATTTTCTATTAATTAAATAAGTAACATAAATATGCACTAAATGAATGTTTTAAATTTATTTTAATGTTTAAACAAAAATGTGGCTTAGGTGGATGCTTATGTGGCATCATGAGAAGAGAGAAAAAGCTAACTATATATATATAGATTATTAATTACGATTTACTTACTGGCTAACTAATCTGAGTAATTGAACTGTTAGCAAAAATATATATACTTTGAAGTTTGAACATTAATCTAAATCTAATGCAAGTCTCAAACTCCCGATAGATGACATATTGTAACATTCCATAATATAAAATAAGGTTACGTGTTGATTAGACTAATGTATAATATAGTGATTTGGATCCGAAGTCAATCTAATTGTATTCTTTATAAGGTGTCAATTTTTTTAATTTAAGCAAATAATTCTTGTATTATATATCAATGTTTAGCCGAATTGTCCAAGGTATCTCTCTTTCTCTCCCTTGGTTTAGTAGTTGACAATAGCATATAAGCTTTTTTACGGCTCACGTTAGCAAGCAAATTGGCAAATTGCAGAATCCAATGAATGTGGAGTGTGGACCAAACACAAAATTTACAATCCAAGAAACCAAATTACTTCTCAAGCAAAACCCCATAAACTCAAAATTATCATAAGATTTTATTCTTATGGTTGGTTTCTCCACTTCTTAAGAAACCCTAACAATAATTTTATTTTTAAAAACATTTCATATATAACATCTTTCCCTGATAAAAATATGGAAACATTGCGAACAAGAGTAAACTTTTTGTTCACCAAAATATATATAACGAATCTTGCGTGGTACATTGGTTCGTTCCAACGCTATGTTATACGTGTAAAACATGACACGTTAATTGGTTCGTTTTCAAAGGGCTATATTACATTACATCCAAATGAAATAAAAAAACGACGTAAACCGAACCAAAACAGACCAAACTTAACCGGATTGATACTCATTTGCTTTTATTGTTTTCGACATCAAAAGTACTAAACTTCCAAAAAACCGGTCATCCTAAGAACGGAGTTACGATGTCGACTCAAGTCTCTTCCTTTAAGAGTACAAAACGAAAACGCCATTTGCGTCTCCGTTCTTCGTTTTCCGATTATGACATGTGGCGGAGTCATCTCTTCTTCCTCTTCCATCTCTTCCGTACACCGGAAACTAGTTCTTGACGGTATTCTCACCGGAGATGAAATCCTCTCCGTCGCCGCCGCCGTCGCCTTCCCTTTCTTGTTTTCGTAGTTGTCGCTACTACTCTTGTTGTCGCTCTTCTTCTTCTTCGTGAAATACTCATCGGAAAATATAACCTCGGATTCTTGAAATTCTTCTGACATTGAAAGATCCCAAGAATATGTTTCTTTAAAGAGTGCGGTAGAAAAAAAAGAAGACACAAAGTCACAAACTATGATGAGGGGAAAAAGTTGGAATTTATATAGAACGAGACATGGCAAAAAAGAGAATCTCATGTTTTGCACGTATATAAAGATTACATATGCGTATGTACGTAATTAAACGTGTAAGTTATATATTAACTAATATCTTTTGTGTTACATCAAATGACATCATTGGTGAAGGTGTTTGAGTGAAGTCAAGGGATTCGATCTCATAATTAATTAATCATTAAGGATGATTACCGTAAACTACACAAGTCTTTTTAATTATTTTATACTTTATAGTCATATTTTTGCAATTAAAAATAACCGCGTTTGAGGTACGTCATTAGTAACATGAACGTACAACTCTTTTTATTTCAAATTTTTTTCCTCACATTCAACAATATACGATGGTTTATAACAAGCAAAATCGAATATTCAATAAGTCGGTGTAACGCTGTATATACTGAACGCGACTAAAACTGTTTGACGGCATGAAAGTTTGAAACTGTATGACAAAAGAAGATGAGAACCCACACGTGCGGTAACACGTGTCCAGAGAAGTAAGCAAAAGTTAAACGTCAAAAAACTTTCCGACTAGCGTGTGCCGGTGGTGCTATCACGTGCACGTGTCTGCGTTATCCAGAACTGCCGTCGTTCTCCTTCGTTCGCGTGTTTACGTGGCGGCGTTAAGATCGTTACTTTGTTGCTTTCGGAGAAGAAGAATATTAAGCGGATATATCAACAAAGATTGAGTTCCATGGTTAAACGTAATACCCTTAAAAAAGATTTAATTATTATCTCTGTAACGTCTACAAAGTTAACAAACTAAAAAAATATATATCAATAAGCTAGCTTGAATATATATATAATAGTTAGAGCATCTCCAAAGGGAGCTACTAATTTTAGGGTGTTAAAGAAATTTTAATTAAATTTAATGATTAATAAAAATATGTTGAACTCTAAAAAAATGTTGAATTTTTGTTTCTCCAATGGTGAACTCAATAAAGAATTCTAAAAAATAAATTTTTTAAATTTTTATTAATATAATTTATGTTTAAAAATATATAAGAACAAAATTATATTACATTACTTGAAATACAAAACATACAAAATTTAAAGTGATTGAAATAATACAATGTTTAGTTGAAGAAGAATAATTATGTGAGAGAGAAAGAGAGTATAACGGAGGGTTGGAATTTTTTTTTTTCTTGTGCAGTATTTAGCCACTAAAAACAGGACACCTGGCCTTAAGGAGCGATGTTTCTGCTGCTTCAATAAGGGGCGTTCCTAATAATTATACCACATTTACATTTATTTTTAATCATTTAATTCTTATGAACCCCTCTAATTTTAGTTTTAGAGACTGCCTTTAGAGGTGGTTTAGGTATTATAAAGTCAAAATGTGAAATATAACTAAGTTTTGAAAGAACCAGTGAAGTTTTTAATATTTTTTTTGGCTGAGTGGATTCCAAGGAAATAAGATTTGTTGTTAAAGCCATTTTAATTAAAACACATTCACCCGTAAATTTGTCGAAAAAGCAAGAGAATTTTTATTTTATTTTGTTTCATCTTATTATAAAATTGAAAGACAATTATTAGCGAGAAAGACATGCCTTGAGGAGTACAGTTAACAAAAAAAAAGGGTTATTGAAAGTGATCGAGTCATCCACCTATCATATATTTATAATTTTCTACTATGATGTTGAATTTTACAATATGATTAATCAATGGATTTCAAGTAAATTTTTATTAGGCTATTGTTTTATTTTATTTGTCATTACCTTTTTTGAAGTCGTATAAACTAATTTTTTTAAAATTTGATATGAAAAAATGAATATATAATAAGCGAAACAACATGACTAGTTAATGCAAAAAAAAAAAAAAAGGATAAATCGGTAACCAAACATAATATTCTGACTACAAATAGTTTAACTTTCTTATATTTCAGATGACTTAAACAACTTGTTTTGAGATAAAATTACCCAAATTAGAGTAACATATTTAATATTCAAGCGCGACGTGACCATAATGTTTCTTACAATATGTGTCATGATAATATAAACTGTTTTCTTACGTATACGCTCAACTTTAGAGTAAAACAAAAATTGTATCAATAATGAAGTATGGGTGTTTTGATATATGTTTTCAACGCAAAACAAATGGGATAAATAAATAATACATAATCGCTAATTAATTGATAATAGTTCAATGTTGAAACAATTCGGCCTTAATTAAGATCAAGTTCAGTGTTGGAACAATTCGGTGAAACTGGAACTCGTGCATATCCTACTAGACATATTAATTATATTGAAGAGGGACAATTGAAATAATGGAACAGAGAGGTAGACAGATAGAGTCCAATGAATTGGACATAGGACGAATTTGGGTAATCATAGATGCATAGTCTTGTGCTAGAGACAATGACTTAGCCAAATTTTTGGATACCTTTAGACAAGTGTGATTCCCTACTCCTAGTGGTCCCTTCTGATCACATTTCCAAAACAAAAAAATGTAACTCTCTATGTAGATATATGTATGTTGTATTATTAGAATGGTTTATCTTTTATCATATCATCATTATATCTTGTTGCATTGTTTCTAATTATACTCTAATCTTTTCCTATATATCTCTTAAAGTTCAAATATCATAACATGCATATGAGTCATAGCGACAGTCATCATTAAGGCAACTTGATTGATTTGAAATGAGTTTAGGAGGATATTAATACAGACATTTAATTGGGTGTAAGAGGTGGAAATAGAGATAAGGTGTTCTTTTTCTTGATTAGTTCAATATCAATTTGCATGGGACCTTCTTATAAATATATAACATCGACGTTGATGTTAATTTTGTTTAGATGTTTTATTTTGGGTCGTGCATGTTAGCTTTAATCATCAATCAATCCAAGCCTTTTCACATAAACTCATCTACGTGTTTTTTGCTAATAATCGAAAGTAAGAGTTATATAATTCTGAAATGGTTCACGAAATTTTATATAACATGATAAAAATAAAATAAAAAAACAGGTGTGTCAATATTCGCTTGTCTATGTTGGGCTGATTTTGTTCAATTAAGGCCCATTATTTGGTTAAAGGGTCCATTATAGACATGTTGTAGTCATCATCACTAACCAGGTTAAATTAAAATGATTTCGGTTATTACTCGGTTCTGTAACTAGTTACACGAATTTTCTTCGGTTTACTAAATCGCTTCTTCTCTCTTCAACTCCATCGATCATCACTTCACCTGTAACGAGTTTGGTACTAATCTCTCTTTCGATTCTGTGAAACCCTAAATGCGTTTTTGTTATTGCTGCATCGTATCAGCTTCAAATCAACTTTGGTTTAAGTAAAGGTTCCACCTTTTTTCTTATCTTATCTCGAAACAACTCCAATTTCAGAAAACTTCTCATTTCATAAAGGCCACTATCTCGTAAATTTCAGTTAAAGTTCTTTACTGCCCAGATTGTGTTGCTGGAGGTGAAAGTAATGGTTCTCTGTAACTTCAATCCAACGCAAGGAGCATTCCCATTGCAAGGATTATCAGTGAGTTCCTTTTGTTTTTTATCCATCAATGGTTATATATAATTTCAAACTGTAATTATTTAGTTCTTTCAGATGTGAATTCTTCAAATTGCAGAAATCTCAAGAGTTTGGATTCTTTTCATTAAGTGTATTTTCAAGTTGTGGAAGTTGCTCCACGTTGAAGGCTAAAAGATTTGGTTTTTGCATCAGGGCAAAGGTAAAATGTTTTCATTTTTCTAAGTAACTTTTTTTCTGTTAATGGATAGTCTCGTTATGATCTATCTATTTTGGTTCTTTAGCTATTTCAAAACTTGTTTGCTTGTGATTCCTGTGAAATGAATCACAACATGTCATAATGGTGGATTTTTTTTTTCAAGTTCTTAGAGAAGCAAGCTGGGAAATTGGACAAAGGTTATGGAGCTATTGTGGAGAGGTTTGTTTCTTATATTGCAAGTGATATATGTTGTTACATTATGTTTAGTTCTATATCTTTCTTGAGTAATCTTTGACGTTGTTTGTTCTGAATTTCCGATTGATTCATCAGTAAGCATTTGTGTTGATAATTTAGGAAGGAAGTAAAGAAAGTAGTGGGGAAGAAAGAGCATCATTTGTGGAAGAAGAATGACTCTGCGGGGTCTGGACAGAAGGCACTTAATCTTGTCCGAATGGTTAGTGAGAATTATTGTGTTATAACTTTCTGGAATCGAAACAATATGAAAGTAGTCGATGTTGATTAATTACTCTTTAACTTGTAGCTCTCTGGACTTTCAAATGAAAAAGAGGCTGTTTATGGAGCTTTGGACAAATGGGTAGCTTGGGAGGTTGAATTTCCCATTATTGCTGCAGCTAAGGCTTTGCAAATCTTAAGGAAGAGAAGCCAATGGCATCGTGTGATTCAAGTAAGACTTCCTATGTCAAGTTTCAATTTTTGCTAAAAGTATACTGTCATGAGTTGATTGGGTTTAGTGACAAACTCAGGTGGCTAAGTGGATGTTAAGCAAAGGGCAAGGTGCTACAATGGGAACATATGATACCCTCTTATTGGCATTTGATATGGATGAAAGAGCTGATGAGGCAGAATCTTTATGGAACATGATTCTGAACACGCATACACGATCCATCCCAAGACGCTTGTTCGCTAGGATGATTGCTTTGTATTCTCACCATGACCTTCACGATAAGGTTATCGAGGTAAAACAAGATTCTATCTTTCCTCGAGAATTGATCTTGATGATACTCTTTAGATACTCCTCAAAATACTGTTAGTATTCTTCTCTCTGCTGGAAGTATGACTTGGGTTTTACATACATTTGCTGTCTCTTTTTTCTCTTTTAGGTATTTGCAGATATGGAGGAGCTGAAGGTAAGGCCAGACGAAGATACAGCGAGGAGAGTGGCACGAGCCTTTTGGGAACTCGGCCAAGAAGAAAATCGGAAACTGATCCTTAGGAGGTACCTCTCTGAATTCAAATACATCTACTTCAATGGTGAAAGGGTTAGAGTAAAAAGATATTCATCGGAAGAAGGTTAATTTCATTCACGTGAACACACACGCACACACATGTATATGTAGAATTACTCCCAAGTTTTTCACTCTTGATTGTGATATCTAAAGTGTGAATTCATCAAGAAGATATGGTACTAAAAAGAATCTTCATTAAATAAATTTTATCTTATTGTCTTGATAAAACAAACGAAATGTCAGTGTCCAATGACACTCATGCTTTATAGTGTTCATAATTCCTTGCATGTGGTTGGTGTCTTGGTGATGTAGATATGATCATTTTTTCTGTTTCTTTATTTTTTGTAATGTTTCTAAATTTTGATAACGAATCCAGCATGGCTGCTTTAACTTATTTGCTCTGTCAGAGAACCCCACTAGATCATGCTTCATATTTATGATTCACTGACTTCAAACCTCAAAGTCACATTATAACAACAATTACATTTAAAAGTATCTTATTGGTCCACTCTTCCCTCATTACTAACCAACTCTAATCTAAACTCCTCTTGTTTATGCTTTTGGTGTCTACTTAGCTTAGTACACAAAGGTTGAATCTTTGTGGACAAATGCTTCACAATTTGTTCCCCAAAGTGATTGTTTTCGTAGATTATCACTTAAGAAGACGAAGAAGCATGAGCAAAGACACAGAATTTATGAACTTCAACTACCACATTAAGTCAACCATGATGATGATCATCATTACATAGTCTTTTTCAAAAAATATCATCATGACATAGTGTCTCTTCCTCCTCCCATTTAATGTTTCTTCCATCTACCTCCATTAATACATACATCCATACCTCGACATCATTCTAAACCCTCGATTCTAACACAACCAGAATCAATCTTAGCTGTTCGATTGCTTCCCAGGACACAGGACACATGATCACGACTATGCAAGTGGCCCTTACATTTCTTGATTTGTCTACAATTTGCCATCTATCACAAAACCAAACTATTGTCTTATCCCTTGGCACAGTAGTAAAAAATATGCTAAAAGGGTAAGTTAGTCGTTGTTTGGATCTCACATCTCTAAGCCTTCAATTCAAATGTCCAATCCTCTATGTGATTCTTTCGAACATAAGGTTCCCTGTGAAGACAAAGTTCTTGACTTTTTCTGGCAACTATAATAACAGAATGATCAGATTACATACAAGTTGTTCTCAGTGCTGTAAGAAACAGAGTCTTATTGATCAGATCCATACGTATACAGTTACTTAACATTATCACCGCGTGACATTAATGCTTCTTCAACTGTCTAAAAGATCAGTACTTTTTTTTTGTTCTTTTGTCATTCCCTCCATATTCGTATTCCCTTCATTATATACATCCATTTACATTCTTCACGTTCTCAAACCAATCTCTCTCTTTCTCTCTCTCTCTTCTCTTCTTCACGTTCTCTCACTTATCGGATAAGGGAGTACGCAGAGAGAGATGGCTAGAGTTTGTGTAATGATGATGAAGGTAATAATGATAATGGCTATGGCTATGAACATAGCTATGTGTGATCCAATAGCACCATGTTACTTCATATTCGGTGACTCTTTAGTTGATAGTGGAAACAACAATCGGCTTACCTCTTTAGCAAGAGCTGATTACTTCCCTTACGGTATCGACTTCCAGTTTGGTCCAACAGGCCGGTTCTCCAACGGCAAAACCACCGTCGATGTCATAAGTAATCTTATAACAACACCCTTACTTTAGTTATGTTTCTGTTCTTTGGTCCAAAACATGTAACTGAAACTGAACAAACTTCTTCTCTGTTTACCTTTGCGTCAAATCTATACAGCTGAGCTTCTTGGTTTCGATGACTACATTACACCGTATTCTGAAGCAAGGGGAGAAGATATCCTGAGAGGAGTGAACTACGCTTCTGCAGCTGCTGGGATCCGAGAAGAAACTGGTCGACAATTGGTAAAGAATACTCAATATTGGTTTGATGATATATCATTTAGACTTAAGTTCATATACTAAAAAACATAAATCTCTTTTTTTTTGGTTCAGGGAGCTAGAATAACATTTGCAGGACAAGTAGCTAACCATGTAAACACTGTGTCACAAGTGGTGAACATACTCGGAGATGAGAATGAAGCTGCTAATTACCTAAGTAAATGCATCTACTCGATCGGGTTAGGCAGTAACGACTATCTCAATAACTATTTTATGCCTGTTTATTACTCCACCGGGAACCAGTACTCCCCTGATTCCTTTGCCAACGACCTCATAACCCGCTACACCCAGCAACTTCGGGTCTGTTCATTTAGTTGTGATATCCTCTGTTTCCTTTGTTTCTTAGTCCTTTAAATGATATAGAGCGTTTGATATGAATCTTTGTTTCTTTGGTATGGAGTAGATATTGTATAACAATGGAGCGAGGAAGTTTGCGCTAGTTGGTATCGGAGCAATAGGATGCAGCCCAAATGAGTTGGCACAGAACAGCAGAGACGGAACAACTTGTGATGAAAGGATCAATTCCGCAAACAGAATCTTTAACAGCAAGCTCGTATCTCTGGTCGACCATTTCAACCAAAACACACCAGACGCCAAGTTCACTTACATTAATGCTTATGGTATCTTCCAAGACATGGTATCCAATCCTGCTCGCTACGGTAAGAGTCAACTCTTAAACAACTCGACCACAAAAATGTAAACCTGAAGTTTCTTTGTCAATAGGTTCATCTGACTTCTTTGTTAATGGTTCAGGGTTTAGGGTGACAAACGCGGGATGTTGTGGAGTTGGGAGGAACAATGGACAGATAACTTGTCTTCCTGGTCAAGCTCCATGTCTGAACAGAGACGAGGTCGTGTTCTGGGACGCGTTTCATCCAGGAGAAGCAGCGAATGTTGTCATCGGCGGTCGATCTTTTCAGAGAGAATCTGCTTCTGATGCTCATCCTTATGATATCCAGCAGCTTGCTATGCTCTAGTTCATGCCATTTGCTCCACACAAACACAAAGAGAGAGAAGGAGAAGGAGAAAGATTTCATCTTTTTTTGCTTATATAAGTGTTTGATAATTGTTTCTTTTTGTTGCAAAAGAAATGTTATTGGTTTTGTGGATGAGTTTGGGCCTCAGCCCAAATTCTAGATCATGAAACCTACTGCAACTATAAGAAATCATTTTCATATTGAGATGTTTTATTTACTAAGCAAATCATAAATAAGACATGATATTGGTAATTAAACACAACAGTTGAACTAATTTATAATACACTTATACACATATATAGATGTCTTTGAAAACAAAGTAAGCACAAACAATGACAAGTCTTTAAGATATATAATTTCACATCGATCAACATAAGCAATTTAAATAAAGTGTAGAAATCATCGATACAACATTCATGAAATAACATGCATATTAGCTATATATTGCTCAACCAAGTTCTGGTTTTTTTTTATTCACTTCCCATTTCCTTCAGCCAAATATTACCTGAAAATCAGAAAACAAAAACGAAACAACATAAGAAACCAAACTCATGCTGCTGTATAAAATTTTATAAAAACTAGAATAGTCGATCATCAAGAGCAAGATATTGTATATCTCTTACACTAACTGAAGAGCAGTTTGGTCTTGGCGACCGCCGGCAGATGAGTAATGGTGATTGTTAGGTTGCAATGCGGCGACTTGGAAATAGTTTCGTGAATCAAACGGTTGAGGTTGCGTTTGAGGCGGTGGCATAAGCTGCTCGTAGTTTGATCCTCCTGGCATCAGACTTATGCTTGGATTGTTCCTCTCATTCTCAGCTATCTATTATATATACACATTTCACAAAACATATCAATACAAATTTGGTTTAGTACTTTGCTCATTTTTTTTTCTGTTAAAGAAAATATTGAAACTATATATATATAGCTTACCTTTGCACGTAGAATCTGGTTATCGTTATGCAAATCAACTTCCTGCGCAAACTATTGCAAATGAGTAAAATAAACATTATTAATCATAGCATTTGTAAACTAGATTTTTATTTCTTACTCTCTTCTGCATGTAGTCGATTTCAGAGAATAAGAGCTCATTCTGTAAAAAAAATAACGAATATTATATTACTTTATAAATGTAGCAGCAAGGCATATATATATAGAGAAGAAGATAATTTGATATTGAAGGATTTATATAAAAGTATAAATATTTACCTTCTTGGATCGGATACGAGTAATACTTCTCTCTAATCTGCCTTCCAAATTCCTGAGCTCTTTAGGAGACATTGACCCTATCGTCTCACCCATCAATTGCCTACTCAAATAATTATGAAGATAATATTATTAATAATATATCAATTAGCTAAACAATTAAAAAAAAAATCAAATACTTCAAGTCATTTCGATAATAATATATGACCTGTTGGAGTTTTGTATGCTGATGATTTGTTGACGCAATTTGGCCGATTCTTGTTGATAATACTTCAAAAGAAAGAAAAGAAAATGTTGTCATATATTAGTATACCCTTACAGATCATTTTCATATAACGTTTTTTTTTTTTTTTGGGTCTTAACATCGATCATTAGTGTAACATTAACTTACCTGCGCATTAATCTCAGCCACAGAGCCGGTGTTAGAATTATCCGATATTGCCTTTTTGTACCTCTCAATTGTCCCTTTTACACTGCAAATATTTTTTTTAAAAAGAATTAATTAGTTAATTAGAAAGATCAATCACAAATTAGATACTTAATTCTACGTTTAAGAAAAAAAGAAAAAAAAATTATTAGAAGGGTGGGTCAAATCGGCCACTTGCATAGTTAAGTGAGTCTAATACGAAACCTTAAAAGCAAACATCGGTTCGTTCTTTTGAGTCAGAGAAAATGCAACTCAATGTGACACATGATGTGAAGATATAAATAAAAATATAAGTAAACAAATTAAGCTTGTTAATAAAATACTCCTATAAAAGTTGTAACAAATAAAGAAACCTTTTTAATGAAGTTAATATAATAGGAAACCTAAAATAAATAAATAATATATATTCCTATCTGAAACCTTAAATCCATCGAGCTACTGATTGGCTGCAACTGGCCACGCTGGCAAAATTAGAGTGACATGATTGGTCTGAACAATGTCTCTAGGGTTTTATTATTAGACATGTGACATGTGTCAACAAACCCCAATAAACACATCGCTAAATCCAATATACATTTCATAGTCTCGCAAAATTTTAACCATTGGGTTTGATTTTAAACGTGATGGATGTAACTTATAATGACTTGTCCGAGTAACATCACAACGTTCTATACTTTCCTTATTTGGAATATACTCAAAATTACTATTCTAACCACTTATTCATTTATTTCCTTAGTTTTCTCTGTATACGTACACATATACAAATACGTACTATTATTATATAGACTCTGATGTCTCAACTCTCAAACCAACGATGCAGAGATCACGACCGTCCATTACTCTTAAATCTATTGGACCAGTACCAAAAATCTCACTTTCCTCTCTCTCTGCCCATATTGATGAGAGAGAAGATGAGAAAAATCTAAAATCCCTAACATTACTCTCTCTCTCTCTCTAGAAAGAGGAATTGCATAAATCTATCTACGCCAAAGATGTTGAAGCAATTCCAATGCTATGCTTCTATACCAAATCTATATTATTTTACACAGTGATTACTTCCTATAAATATGTAAATTTAGTATCCTTATTAGTTGCCTCTATGTGTGTAATATGCACACATAATATGAACAATTGGGTATTGACCAAATGTGAAATCTAATACTAAATGGTCAAAAGTAGTAATATGATGACATTTTTTTTTTTGGATTTTTAAAAATAGGTTTGCAAATTAATTTATTATGACATAACCCTTTCTTGTCAGAAGTCAAGAACTGAAACTAACAAAACTTTGTAATAAATAGTAAATATTGTAAGTAAAAAGAAAATAATATCTGAGTGATGACGTGATGAAAGATTCTTTAACAAAGACAAAATAAATCTTACATATATATACACCAAAAACCTAATCTTGTGCTCTATCTCAACCTCTAAAAAAAATAGGTTTTAAAATCATTAAAAGAAAATAAGAAATAAAAACTTTACTTTTCTGTTTAAGTACCCAGTTGATATATATATATATATATATATTTTTTTTTTTAAATGTTATTAGGTCAATGAAAATTAAATTGATTGGATATTTAAAGTCGTGGTTAGCTTTTTCTTGTTTTGGACATGAGAAATATATATTTCAGGACATGAGTTGACAACTGTAAGCGATTAAGAAAAGATTAAAACACCATTTAATTTTGACATGTTTTATGTTTCTTATGTGTAGAGAAGAAATCACGTGGGACTCTAAAATAATAAAATCTGGAAATTTGCGTGTGGAGTTAGAGATTACTAGTTTGAGTAATCTCATTCGAATTGAGTTTGATTGTCTTTTAATTTTAAAAAGAGTAATTTTAAGGAAAAATATAGAGAGACCCCATGAGCTAAATTTTGTTCCTTAATTACCTCCTTGTTTAATTACCATTTGAAATCTCAAATCTTTTATGGTTGGTAGATTAAAACCAACTTTGAATGTTTCAACGATTATTAAAAAAGAGAGCTATAACCACTTCTAACTACATTTTTTTTTTCCAAAACTACAAAATGACTCTTTTAACTTCTTTACATTCACAAGACAAAACCCTTGTAATCATATTGTCTTACAAGTACGTTCCATTATTTTCTATCACTCATAAGTTTAAAAAACTAGTTTCACCTTATTCAACTCACACTTACCATCACATGTGTAGTGTTGTATGATCAAAACTACATCAAATATATATATATATATATATATGATATGATATGATATGATAATACATGAGAGAGAAAGTGAGGGAGAGAGAGAGAGAGATAAGAAAGGAAAGTGAGAGAAAGAAAAAGGAGAGACACAGACATTAACAACAATGGAGGATGGGGATATGATCACAGAACAGAAGATATGACCTCATAGTCCTTACTCTCTCCACCAATTTGTTTCTCCCCAAAACTTACTTTTATAGTCATAAAAATCAAGTTTATTTTACCTATTACAACACCAGATCTATAAATATATCTAAATCTTCAAGTACTTGTTACTAGGGAAAATAGAAACTTATATTATTTTATATATATAGATAACAGAAATGAGTGAAGAAAGAAAACCAAACAAAGTGAATCTTAGTTCTACAAAACTAAATCTAAAACTCCACATTAGAAAAAAATACTATTTCTTCTCATTTATTATCTAACTCTTCACTCAGATCCCTTTTAACTTTGTACCATCTTCCTCACTTCATATATGACTGTAAATCTCATCAATACATATTAAAAAAATAGCTTTCATTATTCTAAGGAAATAGAGACACAAGAAATGAGATCTAGAAAAACTGTTACAAATTCGTAAATAAAAAATCACCAAAGTAATTAAAATAAATATATACACAAATAAAGATTCCTACATATGTTGGTGTGTTTGAGTGTTTATATATATGTTTGGAATATCACGGAAAAAAAGTTAAAAATAATCCTACCCATAACAGGATTAAAATCACAGAAGAAGTAGAAGAATAGAATCAAATCTAGCAGAGAAGATCGAAAGCCCTAGCAAAGACAGTATACAAATAAATTAAACCCTAATTATATTAAATCAGACTTTAAAATATATATATAATTACTAGAATTTATTAAAAACTAATTAGAACAGAGAGCACAAGACTTGAGAAGAAGAAACCTGTTGTTAGAGTACTCGTAGAGACGACCACGGCTAGAGAAGACGATGAGTGCGACTTCAGCATCACAGAGAACAGAGAGCTCATAAGCTTTCTTGAGCAAACCATTTCTACGTTTGCAGAAAGTGACTTGACGATTCGTTGTGTTCTCGATCCGTTTGATTTCGATCTTTCCTCTCCCAGATTTCCTCAGGGGAGAGGAGTCTTCTCCTAGCTCTGCTTGGTACGCCGTGATTGCTGCTCCAACAGCCAAAAAAAAACAATTTAGGGCTAAACTGATTAAATATCCATACTTACACGATTCCAAAAAGATGATTTTCTTGAAAAGAATCAATTCTTCATGTTTTCTATCCTTTTGAATTATGGTTCGAGATTAAACTAAACTATGATGATTATAATTATAATCTGTTGCTTGCCGACACACATATATATCTTAAGAAAGAACTAGAAAGTTGAAAAACTTATTTGATCTTACATTCATATTCTCCTGACAAGAGTTATTAAAAATTGATTTTGCTGCTGATTTTTTTTGTTTTTGGACAAAGATAGGATATATTAATTGTTAAACAAAAGTTAAACTAAAACCAAATCTTCTCGAGTTCTAAAGAAAAACTAAATCTTGAGATTGTGAATGAAAAAAAAGTTTTAAAAGAGTTATTAAAGAGAAGATCAGAGAATTTTGAATCTTGTTTCTCTCTAAATAACATAAAAAGGAATCAAATTTAAACAGAAAAAAAGGAAACCGAAAAAGAAGAACATAGATTTGGTTTAAGGACCAAAAGAAGTGAAGCAAAGTAATATAATGAAGAAGATAATGTTTGAAAGGATTGGGGAACAACAACAAAGATATTAGACTGACCTGTTGGGGGGAGAAGAACAAAGAGGAAAGTTTTATTTTTCTTGGGAAAATGATTTTCTGGAAAGTATGAGATTTGGAGAAGTTGCAGAAAATGGAAGGTAAGGTTGTGCTGGTGAAGAGATGGGTATATACATTTATAAAGGAATATTATTGTGTTTTTATTTTTATTTTATTTTTCACATAATACATAATATATAATCTATCACCATTTTTCTTTCCCACTTTTTACATCCATATAGTGTCTTGTCAATTTGTGTTGATTGCTTATTTTTTTTCTTACTCACTAAAGCATAGTTTTATGAATCGAATCTATGAGATAAGTATGTGTTTCTTGTTTTCTAGGTAGAGATATAATACTTGTATTTTCTATAAAAGTAATTTCTATATATACAAACTGGTTTTGGAACATACACATGATATATTTTTCTGAGGTGTGAAAGTTTTGTTTAATTTGAGTATTGACAAAAGGTTTGTACTTGGTTGATAGTTATATATCATGCATGGGTATAATTAACTTAACTGTTTTGTTTTCTTTTCAGTACATTTTAGACATGTGTTAGGTTATAAAAAAAAAGATTGACATAGAGTAATCTAAAGGTTCACAAAGTATATATGAGCATAATAGCAGCTTTTCTGAAATCACATGAAAAATATTATTAATAAAAAAGAGGATTAATTACCATAAATAACACCCACCATACATACAGACTTTTCATAAATATGATACTTATTAAGGACACCCCCAAATTGAGAAACAGTAGAAATGAATATTGTTTTTTTTTTTTTGGAAATTATGAAGAAAAAGAATGAGTTATTGGTGGATGGTTCTTGTGTGGTCTTTCACAAAGGTCTAAAATGAAAAGAGAGTTCAAGTTGGGCAATCACTCATGAGATGCAGACTCTACTTACCATTACTTGTCTTTCCTTTTCATGTGAAAGTTTTTGAGGCACTCAAGTCTAGCTTCGGGTAAATCTGAATCAGTACATTTTCTTTTTCTCTCTTTGTTACAACAAATATCGATCTTCTTCATTGTTTTTAGTTTTTACTAAATCTTGATCTTTTTTTAAAGAGGAAAAAAATTCAGTTCTATTCCTTTTTCTTTTGTGAATTGTTTTGAATATTTAAGTGACATTTTTGCAGGAAATGTTGTTTCACTAATTACGGAAGTCATATAAAATTATACACAAATGTTGGTGTAAATTTAATATACTTTATATTATTTTGTGAGAATGTATAAAAGATAAATATTAAGGATAAGAATATAATAATTACATGGGGGTGTAATTCATTTATGTTTTATATAGGAACTGATGGTACTTAAATAGTAACATATTAAAGAAAAATGTGAAGTTACTTATTTGGCTAAACTAATCATAAGCAAGAGAGCCAATCTGTTTATCTCTTTTTTTATTATGTGCAAAATAGAGAATCAAAGATGTAAGAAGGGGAAATTACTCAGATAGTGAAGAAAATTAGCATGCTATTTATGTGTAAGTGAGATTTAGAGTTGGTGATGTTTACTAGTTGTGATATTGACATATATTAAAAACAAATAAGATAAAAAATAAGAAGAGATAAATAGGGTTTTAGGGTTTATAGGGGTGGGAAATAGGGAGATGAACCGTACTTTTTTATTATGGGGCTGGACAAGACATAGGGCTTAATTTGGAAAGTTATTTAAGTGTATTGCTTCTGACTCAATTAGAAGGTAACCAGACTTTTCTCTCATGCATCTCCCAACTCCAACTACTTCAAAATCTCTCTCTCTCTTTTTTACATTTCCTTTTGACTTTTGTGTTGCCTCTCTTCATCATAATCACATCTCTCTGTACTTTTTTCTTTATTTTGTGTGGAATTATATGATTTATACATATAGGTAGTTTCCTAAATGGATTCAGAATGGTTCTTGTTTTCATTTTGTTTAAATAAAACCATTCTTGGTTCACCAAAGAAAATATATATCTATGTGGAAGGTAGATCTTTTTAAAGTTTTAAATTTTAATTAATTCATTTTCAATATATGTTGAATAATTGAGGGGCACAATGAGTAAATGGAGTAAGGTTATGCCAAGAGAAGAGGGATAGTAGCATGTGATGTGTAGTCTTTGATCTCCATCTTTATGAACCCATTTAAGGTAATTTGATAGAGATGAGAGATCCTATGTATACAATCCATTTTCATATTTATGTGCCTTTAACTATATACTACCCACTTGCATTGTGCTTTCTTTTCTTTTATAAACTTTTATTTTCTTTTGCAATTAGAAATTTTTTTCTAACTTAAAAAATAGGATTTACCTTCTCTAATATCGTTTTTTTTTTTTGCTAACTAATATCGTATTTATTTGTAACTAATTGTTTAATTATGAACTACCTCAACTTATCTAGCATGTGAACTAATTGACTAGTGTACATATGTATATTCACCAGTAAATTTTACAAACTAGTGCATAGCTAGATTTCCCTAACTACGTCATAAGCATGCTCTTGTGTGTATAGTAGAGAAATTGATTAGGTCATTTATAAAATAAACAACTCAATTGCTTTGTGTCAAGCTTTCATGGTCGAAGTGGGTTTTTAAAAACCATACATAAAAATCTTCTCGTATCTTCCGTGATGGACCACAAATCGAAGGTTGCTTTCTACTATGTTTTGATATCACTTTTTGAGTTTATTTTTATTTTTAAATAAAAATCTGTGATACGGTAGCTGAATTATTTACCGGGTAAAATGATTAATTAACGGTTCAATGATTAATTAACTAAACGTATCATCCAATATGGTAAAGCCTAGAATTCGAAGAAAATATTTGTATAATATATGTATACTTAGATGTAATAATTCTCTACTCGTAGCTTTTTTATATAATATAAAAATTTGGTGTGTAATTAAGTAAACACCGTATTTTTTTTGTTGTGAGTATATCCTTTAGTAAAAAAATTTTAAAAAAACTTACTCATATTATATACTAAAGTCACAAAGACACATATATAATGTGGGTTGGCTATAAGTTCCCTACGTAATAATGATTAAAAGAATTAATTATATGTCAACAAAAAACAGCGAATATTCAAAACATTTGACGTCGAAGCATACATTTTGTGTTGTAGAAGGGATCACTTAAATGAAACTACCTAATCATATTTAATGCATATTCTTTTGCTCCCTAATTTTCTTTATTAATTGTCTTCAAAATCAAAAAGGATGCATTTAATTAACATAACCTATAACAAAAAAAAAAGTTCAGAAAAATGAAGAAAACTAGAACAAAATGTATATGAGGATCTTCTCCAGTGTACACAATTTTTTATTTTTTATTTGCTTGCCAATAATTTGTTTTGTTCATCAATAAATTTTTGCTAATAAATCAACTTTGTGATCAATCGAGAAATTAATCTTATTAAACCTTATGTGGTTATGGGCATAGCCACAGAAAAAAGTGGCAAATTGGATGCAAGTTTAATACAGTTTCCAGATCAAGAACCTGTTCTTGGGACCCTCTAAGAAATGTCTAATATTATACGTGCGTTTTCATATTCTTTGATTTGTATTCTTTTGTGGTAGACATCAAATTTCATGTGATTTTGTCAAATTCACATTTTAGGGTAAGCCCTTTGATATAGAAAAGTAACACTCACATGAGATCCTATCCTATGACAAGAACCAGAGAGGTGTGTTATTTTTTCTTGCAACAAGAACAAATAAAAACCATTTTGATGTAATGACATAATTTTGTTTTTCAAGATGTTTATGAGATTCTATCTTAAATTGAAGAAAATTGCTTCAAGGAAAACAAAAAGATGAGTAACCAAAGTGGTTTTTGAAGCAAGTTGAAGTATCAAGTGCTCCAGTTAAAGAGACATGGCAAAAACACATCTAACTTTCAGATTTTGAAAGTGCAATTATAACCAAAATGCTTAGAATATATGCTTGCAACTTGAACAATCATTATATATTTGGGACTAGTATGGTCGGTTTGGACAGTGTAGGTAACAAGAAGCTAACGTTAGTTGGATCAGGACTGGACCTATTTGAACTCTAGTTGGACCGGACAGGTCTAACTTGATGATTGAAATCATATATATCTTACAACAAATTTTTATACTACAATGAAAAATATACGAAGACTTTCTTGAGTTCTTCAGTGTACATCTTTTTTTCTTTTTGTCAAACTCTTCAGTGTACATCAAGAAGGACAAATTACAAAGTCAAATTCGGTTGCTTTGGGGAAAACCAAACTAAACCAGAAGGAATATAAAAGAATCGTTTTAAAACCGGGTAAAGAATCACAAATGTGAACCGGATGATGAGCCGTCATGGCTGCTCAAATCCCAGTTATGTTTCTTCTTATGCTCGAAGTTCTGAAAGCATGTCAATGGCCTCATCTGAGAAACAACAAAAAGACAAAAAATGTAGAATAAGAAACAGATCAGAGAGACAATAAAAAAGAAACCAAGAAACTCAAATGATATATGTGTGCTATTGTAGAGTTGAAACAGACCCTCCATTGTCGCTTGTGACCCATGTGGTGAAGAATGGACTCAAGCCGTTTAATGATCTCTCTGAAAGTAGGTCGCTTTGCAGGTTTCTCATGCCAGCATTCCTCTATCAACCTATGGAAATTCAAAAATCGGATTAATAAGACAACCAAACCAATCAATGATGCAAAACTGTTCATTAGTATATAGTTTCTTGGTGAAAGAGAGAAGAAAGACTCACGTTTTAAGACCATGTGGGTACTGCTTTGATGAAGCTTTAAATTGTGGCCGCACGTTGCCAGCATAAGCAGCAGAAGCTTCACTGTCTTCCTTTTCAGCAAAGGGCATATGACCTTCGATCATCTAAAATTCCGACATGTAAAGGAATAAGCGACAGGAACAGATATAAAGCAAATCGGAAAGAAGAAAATTGAGAGAGTCTCAACATTTTGTGTTTTATACTTACCTCTTGAACAATCAATGCATATGAGAAAACATCGGCTTTTGTATCGTATTCTTCACTAGTGAAAACCTCTGGAGCTATATATCGACCTACAATGTGGATAACACCGATAAATGTTTATCACAACATATCCGGTAATCAGAATTCTTGACCAAGCAGATCAAGAATGAAAGCTCACAAGTTTACAGAAACTAAAGTGCGAAAAATTACTTACAAGAAGTGTCTTGACATGTGAAAGGTTTATCTTCTTTAACAGTAACAAGCTTGCTTACTCCAAAGTCTGCAACTTTCAGATGCCCTGAATCATCCCGTAATATGTTCCTGCAAATATATATAAACTTACCATTGTCAGAAAATAAAAGTGCTTGTCATCAAGAAAAACCCGCTGATATGGATAGTGTGAACTTACGAAGGTTCAAGATCGCGGTGGATTATAGGGTCTCCCTTGATCTCGTGAAGATAGCTCATTCCCCTAGATATTTTCAAACAGGTTAAGAGTTACAAACGAATCTAAGAGAACATTTACAAAATATGAAGAAGACACATATATAGCTTTAAATCACATACCTTGCAATATCAAGGGCATATCTAACTGCGTTAGCTGGTTTCAATTGTCCTTTTCTTTTGAGCAATTCACGCAAATCTCCCTGAAGTACATATATAATGAGATCATTTCGAGAAAACTAGAGAAAACAATATTTTAATATATATCAGAGGAAAGCAGTAGTACCCTGGGCAAATATTCTGTCACAATCATCATTGGATTACTTTGAGTTACAGCACCAAGAAACTGCACAATGTTTGGATGCCTAAGCCTTTGGAGCAATGCAAGCTCATCGTGAAATTTCCTCCTGCGCACACATATACAACAAGACTATGGTTAGGAACTGGAATCGACAACCTTATTACCCTCTATAAGTCATTAACTTACACTTGATCATCATCGCTCAAAACTTCATCATCGAGCTTTTTCACCGCAACTTGAATACCGCGCCACATTGCCATACAGTAAGTTCCCTGAAACAAGAAGCTCCATACCATTAGACTGAAAGGAATTGAAACACACATCAATAGAAGATCCATTATAGACAAGGACATGTTTTTCACCTTTGTTATCTCTTTGCTTTGAGTGAAATCAAGCTCATTAGGATTGATCTCATATTCAGGGACTTCACGAGGAGTCTTCACGTGCATTGGAGCCATCTGAAATATACAAATGTGTCAATAATATTCCGAAGAAAAAAGAAACCCTTCCAAAGGCAATTACAGCGAAAATTACAATCAAACACCAAACCACATCTAATAGTCAGCTAGATTCTTACCGGATGTTTAGCTCCATGCATCTCAAGAATCTTAATTACATCAATGTTCTTGTAAAATATCGCATCTGCAAGAGGCTGTTTTCAAAAATGTATTAGATATTTGGATTACCACAAAACATCATCATATATCTCTATCCATCATTACTCAACAAAACCAAAGAGCAGAATTAACCAAAAAAAAAACAAATCATCTTCTTACAGTGCTTCCCCAACGATCTTTAGGATCAACATCAGCTTTTCGATCAAGAAGAAGCTCAACAACATCTTTCAACCCTTGACAAGCCGCCACGTGAAGAGCAGTCCGATCATCAATGTCTCTGTAATTAGCATCGATCCCTGAATCAAGTAGCTCCCTAATCCCTTCAATGTCACCTTCATTAGACAAGTACATTAGTCTCACACCACCATCGATCTCATCTCCCTCCTCTAACACCTCTTCTTCCGAGTGAATCGACGGCTCCGGAACCTTATCCGGCGCCATTGACGATTGCCGACCAATCGTAAACCTTGGCTGTAAGTACTCCTCTTCCATCTCCACACACACAATCAAAAACAAAAAAACCCAGAAAACAAATTTGATCCTAAAACCCTGGTTTGTATCCGAATATCTCGGAGTGGGTCAACGAAAAATCAAAGATTTCAATAGCAAAGCTCCAACCTTTTTGGTACCCTTTTGAAAACACAATCCCTAAAAACTCGATCTGAGAAGAAGTTAAACAAAAAATTTCGCAGTAGAATCAATAAAGGTTTATCTTTTAGTCCAGCGAAGATATGAATTTAACAAAGAATGAAACAAAGTAGCGAAATTTATAGATGGGTGTGTGATGCCGTCATGGAGAAGACTAAAGCTGGTCGGTTTAAAAAGTCATCGGAAATGAAAAAGCGAAGAACCCAGCTTCTATTTAGCGCGTGTGTATCACGTGATTTAAAGCGCGTAAATGTTTTTGAAAAGACGTCATGTGTGGCGCCACGGCATCAAAGCGTTGACGAAAGGAGAGTTTAACAGATCTGAACCGTTGTTTTAAACAGCGCCAGATGAAAATCAACGATGAGGATCAATCCGCACGTGTTTGGATTCGATTCGGTTAAACGGCCGCGTTTTACTTGCGCCGACGCATTTTTTTGGTAAGTTTGTAACCAAGCTGGCTCTCGTGAATTAAAGTACTTGGGGACAAAGACAAAGTTAAGATAAGAATCATACGATACATCAGTTCTATTTCCGTTTGAATTCCAAAATGATTCACATGTTCTCCACTTTGTTTTGATATTTATAAATCATCTTATCTTACAGGCTACTTTAGTTGTTTTCTTGATCATATAGCCACTTTAGTTGGCCAAGGAACAAAAAAACAAAAAACACTAATTTGGATAAGGTTACATGCTAAGTATGTGATCCAATTTATTGATGTGTACATTTTGAATAGGTAAAGATTTGAAATCTTCATCCTCATCCTTTTATTTGTCAAATTTCATTTTAGCACAAGAACTCGTTTAACTTACTATATCCAACTTCACAACATGTGAAATTGTATGGTTTTAGTATCTTTTCTAGTTTTGTATTCTTTCTTCTTTTGTCAACCTTTATGCATAACCATTTTTTTCATATGTACCAACAACCTAACATGCAAGGTCAAGGTTTTGACATTCGTATATTAAGACATGGGTATATACTATATAGATAAGATAATCATCAATTTGTTGTCTTCAATGACAAGTTGCCTAAACTAATTATAGCTCATATTTTCCTACTAAAACATTTTAATAATTCTTTTCCCTTGATATCAATTCAACTTTTTGGGGTTTAGTGATTTAGTAGCAAAATGTCAACTATACATTCCATATTGGTTCCTACTCTTATAGGGATATTTTCTAACAATCATTTGGTTATTAATTAAAATGAGAAAATAATGTTTTCACTATATATACTACATCTATTTGTTGAGTTAACATATAACTATTAGATGTTATACCATCATAATAACCATGGTTAGATACATATATACATGCACGTCATATTCAAAGTTTGTTAGATAAAACAAAAATCTATTTTATATACTTGTATACGTATGTAATAGTAGAATGGGGAAAACTCGTTTAAGTATTCCCAGCCAAATTTTACCAAGTCACTTGGTCCAAGTGTCGTATAAATCATACTAAAATATATATGGAAGAAATATTCATATTTAATTTTTAGTTTCAACGAATGACAAGTTATTTAACTACAGCCATGTTCTTATCTTTTTCATTCAGAAAGAAAAATAGTTCTTATCTTTAAATTAGTTTCAATTCAAACTTTTTGACACTTAATTTTCTAAGTATATTTTAGTAACAAATGTCAACTAGACTCCAAATGGTTCTTGGCTGTGTGTGTTTTTTTTTTAATTATTATTTCTTGAATCATCTTATATGATATTATCAGTTTGATAAGATTCCAATAGTTTAAATCCTTGACTAGTTCACCCTTTTTCAATATCTATATATATTATAGAGAATACGACTAGTTAACTAGAAAACAAAAGGAATATTCCTACAAGATGCATATATTATGCTCATACTAACATAGAGCTAATAAATGTCATTTTATTACAAGACTAAGACCTCATCATAAACCACAGGCAAACATACATTTAAACCATACCGAGCCAAATAACATCATAGCACACTAAACCAATCCAGCTGATGATATAAACCGAATAAAGAGGACACAAGATGCACGCGAAGCACAAGCGGAAGAATATTGGAGACTAATCCCCTAAACCATTACATATATATATTTACATGACTTCGTTTAAGAAATGAGATTGTGTTCGTCAATCTTCACCCAAGATCCAACGTCTGCATCGGTTATCCACAATGCAACTCGATTGATCCGAAAATTCAACCCGTCGAGACTCGGATCAAGCGTGTAAGCTTCCTCTAACGCTTTCTTCTTCTCTCCTTCTGTTAGGTCGCCGTAGAGTATACTTATATGTGGCACGTAAACTGCAACGTCCCAACATTTCACTCACGTAAAGAGATAAAAGAGATATAATAAAACACGTACGCGTTTCTTGGTATCTAATATGATTTTTAAATGTTGTTCACAATATATATTAACTGTTCAATTATTATACTTCCCAATAAAATAATAAAATCCGATTAATAATCTAATTAGAGAATATTTGGATCGTACTTTTCCCGGTGACGGGTTTGAAGCGAGCCATAAAATGTCCGGCAGCATTCATTACCTGTAAAAACATGACACAACCAATGTTTCATGTTTGTACAGTTTTACAAAAGTAAATAATGTGTTTGTATAGCTAAATTAGTATTTTTAGAAATTTATGAACTAGATGGGTTAGATTCAAGAGGTGTCATGCATAAAGTTTCCATTTCGGTACATAATTTTGTTTATGTTTTTGCATGTAAAGTATATACGCGGCCTTCCAAAACTACTAATTTTCATATAGTTGTCTCTGTCAAAAATAACTCTGAAGAAAATGTAATTATGTAGCAGCGACGACTTTACCTCCATGGTGTGCCGGAGAGACAAGTAAATACATTTAAAATAAGACGTTCCGGCGGAGACTTGGTCAATGGTGACAGGATACGCTTTAAAACCTTCACACGCCGCCTTGAACATTCGTTTAGCCTCGCTGGCAGTAAGTTTGTAAGGTAAAGGTCCAACGAGGGTTAAGTGTGGATCAGACAATGGACCACCAAACTCTGACCTAAGCCCTTCCATTACCCTCCGAAGCCGATCATCAACGTCACCCTCCGGTACCGCCCAGACCGAATACATGGCCTTCTCCTCCTCATCAGCCTCCTGAGTTTGTGGCGGTTGCAGTGGCCTTGCGTTTTCTTCTGTCATTGTCTTTGTCCCTTTCCCCTCAAAGACTTGTCCCAATGTTGATGTATATAAGAATCAGCTGCCACGACTTAAGGGTGAATAAAAAAATCGTTATTGAAAAAGCCAAAAGAAAAAATATAGTGGATAAAAAGGAAAGCTTTATGAGAAAGTCAAAAGACTCAAAACCATTTCAGTATGATCATATTCAGATTGCCCTCTGGATTGATTATTGTTAACAAAATGTCTTTTCGAGTAATTGACCGAAGCTTTGGGCTTTTGACGCAAGTGTTTATAGAATTATGGAACACTTTAAAAAGACTCAAGGTTTACAAAAGCTTCTGCATAGTTTCTTTTAGTAAAATATGTGTCATGTGAAATTGTTAGTGAGTTTGGTGTAATATCTCGCATGAGTTGTAATGTAACATTTTTCAATCATCTTAGAGATGATACATTCTTGAGAATGTTATACTCTAGCACCGTTTGTGTGTGTTATCTTTCACTCTAACACCATTCTATGTTTGGACACCGTTTTTGGCATACTTTTACACTGTAGTAGAAAAATAAAGATAGAATTACCCTCTATTCTAAAACATACATAAATATCTTACTTATTCTCTCTTCTTTTTGTTCTCGACAAATTTTTTTTTTTTTTCTCCTTTGTTATTTTCTTTTATCTTTCCTCCTTTTTTTTCTCAAAATCAAATTATAGAAATTATTTCTAAAGAATATCTAAACTTTTTTTGCATAATGTATTATATTTATTTTTCTTTACGTTTTAAGATCCATTTTAATATAGTTTAAGTATATAATTATAGTATACATTATCCAATTTCGGTTATGTATATGGTCAATGTTAAATGGATATTTGTTTATGGTCACATATATATATTTTTGTTACATTACCAAACCAAAAATATACATATTAAACTTTATCTTTACACTTAATTGTACACATTGAACATCAAAATTAAACCTTAAACCAAAATTATAAAAAGATTGTTGTTTGACTACTTTCTTTAAGCTTGTTCATACATTATACGTATAAGTGTTGTTCTCCCACGAGAACAATTCTCTCTTTAGATTTTAGCGTCATGGATTTGCTTGTTAACTGTGTTTACTAATCCCCATTATAATCTCTTACCATTTCATACAAGTACCATATATTACTGGTTGGCTTCGATATCGTCAATAGTAGCTTATCCACAAAGCGTTGTCCATATGGATGTCATAATTTTATATTTATTTTCATTAAGCTGTTTCACACATTACAGTTTTCTCTTAGGATTTGTGAGTCATGGGTTTGCTTGTTGACAATGATCATATGTTTTTGAGCCCCGTTATGTTCTCTTTGCAAGGTTAATATGTTACCCAAAATACAAAGAGAGAATACGTTACCTCACATGCAACAGGAAGAACGTATCCACAAAAACAAATCCACTATATTGCATACACACGCCTATACCGAGAAAATCAAACTAACATAAGAGTCTTAGATGGTTTCTAACAATAAAAAAAAACAAGCATAGTATCTAAGTCAATTTTAGGTAGTTTTAACATTGTATCGAAGGGAGAAACTAGTATCAACGAAATAATTAGAATATAATAGGATGTATGTTGTTTTCTCATCCCGAGTATCTTTGTGGAAATGTCTGAATTTGATGGTTACGCTTCAGTGGCTTCGATTTAAAGGCTACGATATGGTGAACATAAAAAATAATCTCGACTATACAAAGTTTCATGGATAACATTAATCAAAATCAAAAAGTAGAATGTATCGACAATTGTTTTTACTTGTTCACACATAATACATATGAGCGTTATTCTCACAAGAGAAAAAAATTTTAGAGTCATGAATTTGCTTGTTTGTATATTTGTGAGATTTAAAAAACGTAAGTATTAATGGTCAATTTACTAATATGGAGATTAGTATTAAAAGATATAGAAAATGAAATAAGATTTTATTGTTTTGAGTAAAAAATCGGGAATGTTACATATTAACATCCTATTAAAGACTAATCTTACATATTAACACCCTTTCAAGTTTGTTAACGACTGTGTTGTGAAAGATGAATTCATTCGATATATATTCTTTCTCTTTTCTATGTTGTAGTTAGTCGTCAACAGTACATTATCCACCAAGTGGTGTCCACATGGATGTCGTGTGTTTTCATTTTTATATATTTTACATATGAAAAATAAAAAGGATTTCTATCACTTTTTTTTGTTCTTGGAATTAGGACTCGAAAGTGAAACTTTATAATTGACAACGAGTAAGAAAAATAAAGAAAATAAAATTAAGAACCCAGAAAATAAAATTAAGAAAACAAAAAACCCAGAAAAGTAAACAACGAGTAAGAAGAAGAAGATGAGAAGTAGAAAAGGCGAATAGGGTACTAGGGAAAGTGGCACTAGGGAGATTGTGAGGCACCTTGGGTTTGATCGATCAGTAAAAAAAAGTAAGCTCTTTTAATTTGAAATGGATGGAACATGTTGATTGTAGAAGATGAAGAGGGGATCTAGAGATTTTTCTGGGTGTTGATGGATGAGAGTTTTTTATTATTATTATATTAAAAGATATAAGTAATAAAAAAAAAAAACCAGTTGTTGGTGGGTGCACGTGAACCGTAAAACAATGTTACCAAAAGAGTTGATAAGTTTACATAAGGAGTTTTTTGTCAAATCACAATCCAAAAGGGTGTCTTGGATGGAAACGGTGTCAAAACGCAATAAGAAAGTTGAAGACGGTGTCCTAGTGCTAAATTTCCTACATTCTTCTAGGCAAGTTGGTTTTTTTATCATTTATTTTGGGCAAACAAGATTTCATTGATTAGCTACTCTTCATACAAGGAGGAAGTGGTTTACAAAGGATGATAACAAAAGCCACCAAGGCTAACAAATCCGCTGCTTCAAAAGCCAAGCGAAAAAACATAAAACGTAGAAGGTAGAAACAAACATACATAAGCAACAAGCATTGTGGAGAAGCAAGTTCTCTGAGACCTTTTATTACAGATGCAGAACCAAACTTTTTTTCTTCTTTAAGGACTCAGATTGCATACAGCCACTCTCTCCCATGACTCTAGAGTCTTGTCTTCGATATCGGTTTTGTATAGAGCGATTCTGTTTAACCGGAAACTCAGGCCATCGAGGGTGTTATCAAGTGTGTAAGCTTTCTCCTGAGCTTTCTTCTTCTCTTCTTCTGTTAACTCAGCATAAAGCAGGCTCAAATGCGGCATGTAAGCTGGAATTAGACAAAGAATGATTATTTCACGAACAAATGGAATCATGAATCTAATATGAGAGATGATTACCCTCCAGAGTACCATCATGGCTTCCCCAAATGTATTAGACTTTAAACCCTTAGATAAGATACATTTCGATTTCGATTTTCGAATACCAGTTTTCATACTTACCCAAGTCCAATATGGTTTCAAAGATATACTTCCCAGGCTAATGTACAACACTTCCCCTAACATTTTCAACTTCTCAAGTTCAAAGAAACATTTTAAATGGACTTCACCTTAGATCTCCCAAAGAATTTAACACTAGACTAAGGTGAACTTAAAAATTCAAGTCAAATGAGCTTACGTGTGTTAGTGGAACCATTGAAATGGTTCTTACAGTGTTCACCAGCTTCCATTACCTGTAAAGAAACAGAACAAACATTAGATTCCAAAACCATTACTAAAGATCTTTATCCAAAACCAAACCCAACATTTTAATTCAAGATGATAATTCTAGTCAAGACCCAAGATTTTAGTTAACGTTTGATTAACAATTCTCTCAGAAAGAACGAATCTTGAAAGGTAAAGTCCAGAACTTTAAATTATATACCTCAGGGGTGGATTGGAGAAGCAAGTAAACGCATTGAAAAAAGAAAGTTCCGGTAGATACGCGATCCACGGTGGCTGTGTAAGGTTTAAGACCGTCGCAAGCTGATTCGAACAACTTCTTGGCTTCCTCTGCAGTCAGACTGGCTACGGCAACGGTGACGTGAGGCTCGAAACTTGGGCCAGTGAATTCAGATCTCAGAGCTTCCATTAGCTTTCTGAACCGCGGCTCGGATTCCTCATCGGGCAATGCCCACAACGAGTATACGTCCTTCTTCACCTCTTCCATGAATCGGTCAATGCTCTTTGATCCCAAAATGTGATGAGAACTGAGAAGTCAGTCAGTCATATTTAAAATTGATTTTATTCATAGACAACCAAAAGAAGGTATTAATACGACGACGCATGGAGGGAATAACGAATAAACTAATCTTCAATGGGCCTTAACTTTTACAAGGCCTTTTAGAAGTTCGATATTGAAAACGTACGACATGAGACAAGTATTACAACATACGGACGCTTATGACAGAACAGAAAAACAAACAAGTGTAGTTCGGGGTATTACCACCATGAGACTTTGTTAGGAAGTTTTGTGTAATATGCCGGGGAGTTGCATTGTAGCATTATATCAATCTTAGAGACGATACATCATCAGACATTGTTCAAAAGCAAGTTTATTAAGACATTTTAATTACAGTTTCAGAACCAAACACTTTGTTGTCTTTCTTAAGAATTGAGATTGCATACAGCCACTCTCTCCCATGACTCTAGAGTCTTGTCTTCAGTATCGGTTTTGCATAGAGCGAGTCGGTTAAACCGGAAACTCAGGCCATCAAGGGTGTTATCGACTGTGTAAGCTTTCTCCTGAGCTTTCTTCTTCTCTTCTTCTGTTAACTCGGCGTAAAGCAAGCTCAAATGCGGCATGTAAGCTGCAATTATTTGTAGACAAACTTAACACTGATACCAAAAAGAAAACTATTTGTAGACAAAGAAAGATTCTTTCACAAACATATGGAGTCATGAATCTAATATCCTCCAGATTACCAACAAGGCTTCCCAAAAGTAACAAACTTTAGACATTCAATTTCGATTTCAGTAACCAATTCTCATACCTAACCAAAGCCCATATGGTTTCTAAATCATAATTAAGCAAGAGTATATATACTGGACAGGCTAATAATGTACAATACCTCCCTAAGCTCAGGTTTCGAAAACTTAAGACTAAACCAGTTTTAAAAGTCAAAAAGAGCTTACGTGTGGAGGTGGAGCAATTGAAATGGTTCTTACAGTGTTCACCAACTTTCATTACCTGTAATAAACAGAACAAGCATTACAGATAATAACATTATGTTCCAAAACCATTACTAAAGCCACATAACGTTATCAAAAACCAATTTTCAAATCTTATTCATGCCATATGATAATTCTATTCAAGACCCAACATTTTAATTAAAGTTTGGTTACCAAATCTCTCAGAAAGAAACGAATTCTGAATGGAAAAGAAAATGCCCTGAATTTTATACCTCTGGAGTGGATTGGAGAAGCAAGTAAACGCATTGATAGAAGAAAGTCCCGGTAGAGACACTATCTACGGTAGCGGTGTAAGCTTTAATACCGTCGCAAGCTGCTTCAAACATCTTCTTTGCTTCGTCTGCAGTCAGACTAGTGGCTCCGACGACGGTGACGTGAGGATCGAATCTTGGGCCAGTGAACTCAGAACTCAGAGCTTCCATTAGCTTTCTGAACCGCGGCTCCAATTCCTCATCCGGTAATGCCCACACCGAATACACATCCTTCTTCACCTCCTCCATGGATCGGTTTGACTTAGAAATGCAATTGCAAACGCTAAATTAATTTGATCCCAGCAAAATAATGAACAAAATTACCAGTTACATATATTATTCTTAGACAAACACGATAACAAGGTATTAAACGACTTCGTATTGAAGAAACATACAATTAACTTTAAAAACTCTAATGGGCCTTGATGACAAAAAAAAAACTCTAATGGGCCTAAGCTACAACTTGTATACTGTTGGGCTACCTTTTTTTTCAAAAAGAGTTTATGATAAACATATGGAAATACTGTATCAACAGCAACATTTGAAGATTAGCGTATGCGACATGTTCCAACGCTCTAATCCGTATAAAAAATGCTTCATAGTTATATAACTAACAATTTAGTCATTACGAAGAATCACGTCAATTTAAAGAATACGTAGAAAGCTATAACATGTGTTTCCACTAAACTGATGTTGATTAAGAGACATATGACTACACCAAGTCTAATAGGCTATTATGGCATGTTACACTCGCAAAAACCACGCTACAAGTCTACAACCAGTATCTTGTAGTCTTATTTGGGATTGTACGTCTATATATATAGAAAAATATAAAGATTTCGTTCCACGTATAAAATAAGGTCAGGGGAAGGGAGCTGTTCTCTTCATATCTGTCTCAACGACATCAAGCGCAAAGCCTTTCCTGAACCGAACCCAGTAATCAGCAACCAGATTCTTCTTCTCCGGTCCAGCGATCCCATCTCTCGACGGCTTCAACGATTCCGTCGAGATTCCATGTTCTTCATCTCTCTTTTTCACCAGCTCCGGTTTGATTCTCCCAAGATTCACATCTTGTGGCGACACCATTAGTGATGGTACTCCTAGTGGTAATCTATCCCCTAAAAAAACATAAACAAACCTACATTATTAAACTCATGTCTCACTACATGGTTGGTTTTGCCTATATTTTACAAGATTAGTTAGCTAATTACCTCGGTCGATCTGCCATGTACACCAAAATTTTCCGTAAGATTTGGCAAGATTTTTAAGCTCCGGCTTAGCAACTAGCTCCGGGACCCTTGGAGTTACGAGAAGTCCCATTTGGATCTACAAACAACACTTAAAATTTCTGTCATTTTCGATTCTTCCTGAATTAATATACAAAACATATAATATTGATCAAAATCATGAACCTCGTAGTCATGCGAGTGCCATAGCTTCTGTTCCTTCGGTGAGAGACTTTCGAATAACTTCTCTGACACTATATATTCGATCCCTAGAGATATAATACAATAACAAACATAATATTCTAATTACAAATGGTAAATATTCTAATTACCAACTCCAATGGTAAATCTTTTAACAAGTATGTTGGTAATATTCTAATTACAAAAAGTACAAAAATTAAAACTAAAAACTTAGGTAAAATTTATCTTTCCAATGGTAAAGTTTTTAATAAGTTACTAAACATTACATTTTAAGTAATCAGAAAATTTGTTTTTTTTTTTTTTTCCTCCACTCAATCATAAGTGGACACATGTATCTAAAAAACTATTTCAAAAATTCTTAGCAAGAACTATTTCTTAGCTTATTACATGTTTTTGATTTATTTTTTTTTCTTTTTAATTCTTAGAAATTTGTTAAAAAACTTGCATTGGAGTTGCTCTAATACGTAAGTCCATAAACAACTTCACATATTTATACTTATTATAGTCCATGTCTATATACTCAAGTAAATATGCTTGATTTTGACCAGCAATTAAATATATACGTACATATATATAGAGTGCATTCCTAAAAGAAGACAACTAGATTATATCACGTTTAGATTGTTTTTAAGGCCGTTTTATACATTCAAATTTGTGTTATAACTACAATAATAATAAAAAGTTTACTTTAAAAAGGTCGAACTGTCGAAGTATAATTAGTTCAAATATTTGGAAAGTATAAACAATATAGTACAAACGATTTAGGTGAAAGTAATATGTACCGATGAGATGAGCCTTAGAGGAATTGGAATCATAGACAGCACACTGTAGAAAGTCCTGGTTTACACGGTGGCCGTAGATATGTACTTCAACCTGACGGCCAGGGTCGTGGCTATAGCAAGCGAATGAACACACGTGGAGACTCATTTGCCTGATCGGTTTCATCGATTGCATCATAGCCGTTCCTTTGTCTAGCATCGCGGTGGTCGTCTTGGTTGGATCTCCCATGGGCTCTTTCCCGTCTCCGGTGCTAGCCGGACACGCCACCGGAGCCTTATCACTCGACGCCATTACTTATACTTAAACTCACCTTTCGTCTGAAGAGCCTTTTCTCTCCTCCTTTAGCTTAGTTTGGTTATGTGTGTTTTGGTCTTATAAAAGAGGAGTGATGTTTGCATGAGGTAAATATGACGTGAAATGATTTTGATGTTTGACATGTCATTAGAGGATAGTGACGTGGCGGATTATAGAGATGCTAAATTTAAGTGTTTTCCGGACAAAGTGATCGTGTCCGGTTTTAAAGCTCTGGACAAAATAATGCACACTTGGCAATGTTTGCGACCCCGGACCTTGTGCTTCGTTTGACGAGTTCGAAATTACAACATTTGACAATTTTGCTTAAAACAAAAGGTCCATAAATATAGCATTTAATACAAACCATATACACTACGCGAGAGTAGGTCTGGTCAAACTCGTTACAGATCAGTTATATATATATATTCGTCACATACATTGATACATACCATAAAATGTCTACCCTTTCTAAGGTGACTTCATTTTTAAAAAACATTTCATAACAAAACACTCAAATTATTATTACTTCTAAGTGATACAACTTAGACTCCGATGACTACAATCTTAAACGTAGCCATGTTCTTCTCTTCGTTTAACGAGAGCTACCGTTTCGCACGGTCTTTAAAAACGAACCGCTTTTGGTTATTTCTCGTAATGGTTTATCTGTATATCTAACCGTGTTATAAACCCACGCACCCGAAACTGCACCAAGTATTGGTGAGACTATGTAGATCCATATTCCTCTGTAGCAACCGTACACCATTGCCGGCCCCAAACTTCTTCCTGGATTCATCGATGCTCCTGATACCGGTCTGATCAAAATATATTTAAGTTTATAATCATATTGCATTTTTTTTTTTTTAAGAGATGTTGTAATTAAGTAATAAATTACCCGGCAATAATCACGTTAAGTAGCACCGTTGATCCTACTGCTAGCCCGGCAAGTTCCCCGATCTGCTTATGAAAACATTTTGAGCTTATTAATGTTAAGTTTCTCATAGATTGAAGGACAAAACCAAATAATGAACAAGGGAAACTCTAAAACCATACGTAAAACAATAAAAACTAGAAAAAGAAGACTTTGGTGACATGAAAATATAATATTAATAAGAATAAGAAAATAGAAACCCAAAAAGGAGCGTATCTGGTCCATATTTCATAAAAGACAACCTTAAAAAGCGTATTATATTTCCGTAACTAGATTGTTCAAAAATTATAAAGTATATAATTAAAAAGACAAATCTCACCAGACACCAGCTAAAGCCTAAAGTTAATGAGAACATGCTTAAAGTAGTAAGACTCGTCAACGTATAGACATGAAATATGATGACTTATATATAATATCCGTGCAAGATAAGAAGAGAGTTTCGAAAGTACTAACCGCTCTATTGTCGGTGGCGACGCCGGAAATGACGAACATTAGGTAGAAAGTGATGATAAACTCTATGACAAACGACTGCCAATTCGTTCCCGACGGTAATGTTCCAACGAACACATCGTGTTTCCCGCTACAAACGTCTTGATCAAGTCCGAACAAGAGCCGTAATGTCGCTGCCGCGAGTGTCGACCCTATCACTTGTGATATCACGTAAGCCGGAACCTATAAGATATCAAATAAAAATAAATTTTAATGACCGATTAATTTAATTTGTGATGTAATAATAATATCTAGGGACCCAATTTTGGAAGATTGTGAATACTTTGACGTTTATATAACATAATTTTGTTTGACTTTTATAAAAAAGATTGTGTTTGGGGGAGAAAAATATATATACAGACAAAAGTTACATGATAAACTAACACTTTTTAGAATTCGGAAACTAGCTAAAGACATGTACTCAAATTAAATTAAAAAAAAAAACAATTTGGGTAATGTAATTAGTATCCGCTATACTCATATACCGTAGACGTATATTGACATTATCCACACTCAATCATTATTACTCACCTATGATCAGAACGCATTAATTGGTGAAAGATATCAGAAATTTTGAAAGTTCTAATGATGCAAGAAAATGTGACTTTAAAAAAAAGAAAATAGATTAATAAATCAATTTTATAACTTATAGTTTCGTGCAAAACAATCAAAGTGCAGGTAAACTAAACCTATCAAACACAGAAACACTAATGTTCTTTGGTTTGTTCATCAAACTCACATAATAAAACAAAACTTTGATGGATCATTTTAAGTTCTAATATGGTTTTTTTTTTGTTTTTGTATGTATTTAGACCTGTTTGAGAGGGAAACGACCGCAAGAGGCGAAGGCGACTGTGACGGCCGGATTGAAATGAGCACCGGAGATGTGACCAAGAGAGTAAACGAGGACCATGACGGTGAGTCCCCAAACGATGGCTATCCCTACAAGAGTCACTGCTTTGTCGTGTTGTGTGTTTACAGCGACCGCTGCACAACCGGCGAATATCAAGAAGTACGTTCCAAGAACCTCCGCCATCAACTGAAAACAGAGCAATTCATAAAAACAGAGTATTTCAGTTTTTAGACTATGGTAATGAAACAGTAGATTAATTCTTATAGATCTGTGAGTGTTTGTGTCAAACGAAAGTAAAACAAACCTTTTGTAAGAAAGGGACAGAGAAGGAGAGAAGAGAGTCTTGTTTCTTGATGGGATGATTAGGATTATGAATAGCATCTTCTTCCTTGAGATTGACCACCACAGCTCCTTCTCTAGCATCGCCACCACCATGGCCGTTTCCCGAGATCTCCGCCATAACTGTTTTTTTGACAAACTAAAGAAGAAGAGAAAGAAAAGGATGGAACTTTAAAACGACTTTGTAGTTGTGACTTGTGTGAATGAGTTTGGTAGCGATGAATCATCTCCAATTTATTGGCAAATGGCTTAGAGAGAGAGAGAGATTGGACTTCTTTGACGATTTTTAATTTGACCATTTTTCATATTTTAATATATATTGAAAAAGATGATGTATTTTAAGAAACTAATTCACATTTGACCATTACTTTCCTTCATCTAGAAATAATACCTTTTTAACATATCACATAATTTTTGGGATGAAATATATATATTTTTAAAAAATTGAAATAAAAATATGTAAAAAAATTATCATGAAAACATATATTTTTGTTTCAAAACTGTAAAAAGTATTATTGTATACTTTTTTCTTAATTGCTTAATCTAAAGATTTTTTCATGAGAACGAATGAATCAATGAATCTGTTAATTTTGAGAGAGATATACTTCCTAAAATAATAGCAATTATATAATAACTCCTACTTAGAAAGTATTCCTTAAATGATTTGCATGCATTTCCTATACAGCAAATGTGGATAAATTGATCTTATCCTTTAAAAAGTATATCATTTCCTTTAAGTTGATAAGGAAAATATAATTCAAAATTTCTTTTCTTCTTCTTTTTGGACATCATGTGGTTAATGTGATCATCATATCATTAATGTGGCAGTTATCCATGTTTTCGGGTAACAACATAACGTTATAAACTTATATGATTATTATATTTTAATATACGATTATGAAAACTTTGTTAGAAATAAACAGAATTCGATAGCAAACGTTATAAATTGCTAGTATCATACCATTTATGAATAGAAAATTTTGAAAAATGTCACTTGATGATGGAATTGATGAAGGCCTCTTCAAGTCTTCAACAACCAACCGAAAATATGGACGCACTTTATTTTAGACTTTTTTTTTTGTTAGTGTATATATATAAAAACTATATAGTATAGGAACTTACTTATTACTCTAAATTTTTCAAAGATATTTGAATCTAGAAACCAAGCCAACGTCACTATCTCAGGTTTATAAAAATTTGATTTCGACCCATATCAAATTTTTTAGATTGAAGATTTAACCTCAGGTTTTATTAGTTTCCCAAAAAAAAATTAAAGTTTATATTACGGTCCTAGGCATCCAAACATACTAAAGTTTCATATACATAGTATGAATACTACTCTAAATTTTCAAGATATTTGAAATCTAGATGCCAGGCCAGCGTAACCTATCTACTATCTACTAGATTCCGATCCATATAAGTTTTGAAAATTGTTACATTAGGTTTTACTAGTTTTCAAAAATTTAGTAAAAAATGAATATGCCAAAAGAAGCTAATGTTTTGCCCCAAAAAAAGAAGAAGCTAATGTACGTTTCTTTACCATTCACAATTGCATTTTCTCTAAACTGAGTATAGTGAATTTTAGCATTGAATCACACAAAAAAAAAAGAGACTTTCAATTACACCAAATCCATGTAGTATACATACTTTTGTTTTGCTTTAATCTGTACGTGTTTCAGTATTTTCATATATATGGTGGTAAATCTGGTTCAAGTAATGTCACGTATACCTAAATTAGTTTTAATGTTGATTCCACAAGTGCCACAAATGTTTGATTATTATTTCAATCGCATGTTTTAGTAACTACACAGCTAAACTAACTAAATAAAATATCAATGCCAAACAATCATATACGTTTTTCTACCAAAAATACATTGGGAAATGATATTACACTGTGAATTAATAAAAGATGATCCGAGAAAATGTCGTCAGATCAACGCAATCACAAGCGAAGAAAGTTAGAATAAAAAAATTGCAACTAATGAATGCACAAGCACAATATCGTATTAAATTCATAATAATTATGTCACAGAAATTTCAATACAGTGATGCTATTAACTATATCACGATATGCTCAGAGAAAATAACGTTATTGGTCGAGTAGATAATTAACAATATTGCTATTGACATGATGCACCAGTTTCTTTTAAACGGAGACTTTGACTAACACGTCCATCGAATTAACAATAATTAAAGACTTTTTTGGTTTAAGAATCATGAATGTAATGATGCACAATAACTATAATTTGTACTTTCAAGAAGTGACTTGGGTGGTTACATTTTTTTTTCTTAATGCGCATGCAGATTCTCTAACCTCCCACTATTTACATTTTACATTCAACAAAGATCCCATTCCCATACGCCACTTTACAAATAATGGTAGAAAAAGAAATGAACTTGTTTGAAATTTAGTGTTTGTTTAGTTAAATTGATTTTAAAATGGATTGTTATTTGATTTGTAATTCACAAAAGAAGTATGAAATCAAATTATTTGCATGCTACCAAATGTGCATGCTTGCATAGATCATTTTCTTCCTTGAGGATTTTTTAAAAGTAATTGATTGTTTATTGCGTTACTATATTAGTATGTATTGTATCAACGACTTATAAATGATACTAATACTATATATTAAAAAAGTTATTTAACAATACCAAAACGGGATTTTGCAACGATCTTAGGCTTTTGACTCTTTTAAGTCATATAACTCATAAAGATAGACGAATTAGTTGTTAAGATTTCGTAAGTTTTGTGGCAGACAAAGACTTTAATTACTAGACGTTGTTGTGTTGAAATTAATTACCTACTGTCGTAAAAGTCGTTTAGTATAACCGTCACTTAATCAACGGTTCCATAATCTATACGTCGAGTTCTTCAAGTACTTACGTATGCCTTACGCTCTAGAGCTTGAATGCATGAAATGTAAACATTAAGAGTTTCATGATTTTTCTTTAATGTGTTCAACATAACACTCGAGTTTCTTATATAGAGTTCGAATCTCTTTCATTTCATAGCATTCAAAATCGTTAAAAGAAATGTTTATGTGCACTTTTTCATCACTTTAAAGAGTTAATAGTCGAATACAATTTGACAAAGGACAATTATTTTATTTGAAGCACAGCAATTAGAAATGCTAGTTCCATAATATTAGAACGCTTGAACTCAAATACATAAATGTGAACATATATATATAAACTTAGAGATTCTTGATAAGTTGAAAAAGACTCTTTGCCAGTTTTAGGAATTCAACACATAAGCTCACACCCTCACACGATTCGGATTGACCATAATATCATAGGAGATAAAACAAGCCTAAAGAAAAGAAGAAAATAAACTGCAAAATTTGGCACGAGTGTGTATGGTCGAATGTAAAGACCATCAAGGCTTCAAAGAGACAAGTGATCCTTGCGAGTCTTTTCAAGATCGCTTGCTCCCATATTTGCGAGCGACATTAGCATCCAAAAGTGTATCCCAAACCTGCAAAACATAAACACAAGTTAGCTCCTAATAACAATGATATGTTCTAACAACATGATCAAATCTTCTTGATCTTATTTCCACTCACATGTAGCTCTCCCTTTGAGCCACCAATAGCAAGCAAGAAAGGGTTGTCCACCGCAAAGGAAATGGAAAACACAGCTCCCTGATGACAAAATCAGAATGGTTAGGGATAAAAGTAGTAGATAGTAATGGGGAAGATAAATGATTAATGTTGATTGGTTCTTACAGCTCTTGGTTGGTGTGAAGCAATGCATGAAGGTTCATTGTTTGAAAGATCCCAAAGCTTTACCGTTTTATCCATAGACCCCGTAGCCAAAAGCTGTTAATAACAACTCATAAATGGTGAGAACTGATTACAAGAAAAAAAAGAATGAAATGCCATAAGGACAAAGAAGATAGAGAACGATGTACATTGGGTGCAGAAATGTTGTATGAGATGGAGGAGACTCCTTTGTCTTGGTCATGTGCTTGGATAGTGAAACTTGGTTTTAAATCAGAATCTGCACCTGACTGTGCGGCACGTATATCAAAGCCCTTCACGGTTCCATCTTCAAGACTTACCTTAAGAGGGAAAAGAAACAACAAACGATCTATTTAAAAATGTCACTGAAACCACTGATTCGTCTAACAGAAGAGAAAAGGCAAGTGTCAAATACCACAAAGGAGTGTTCACTATGAGGATCCCAGGCTAAGCTTTCGACATCAGACATGACAGACCATTTGAAACCCGAGTGTGAAGGTTGTCTTCCGTCTTTCTGTAACATAATAGACATACAGATATTAATGATCACTGTAAAGAGAAAAGACTGGAGCACACGAAAATAAAACCATGGAACAAAATAGTTACCAAGACAACAGTTTGATCAAATGACCCACTGAGAAGCACTTCCGGAGCATAATGGTTCCAAGCAACCGCTTGAACCTGTGATCATACAAACAATAAACAGTGGGAATGCCAAAGAATAAAGAAATTTCTTCTATGAATCTCGTTCTTACCTCCTTTGTGTGATGCTCCATAGTAATCTTACATATTCCAGTAGCCACATCCCAGACCTTAACTTTTTTGTCGGCACTAGCACTGGCAAGTATGTTCCTTTATCCAAATGAATCAAAAGAAAATCAGAGAAACGACTAAAGATTCAACTTTCAAATCATGGGCACTAGTAAACTTAGACATACCGAAACTCTTTGTTCCAAGCAAGACCAAGTACTGAATCAGTATGACTACCTTCTTTGTATATCTATAAAGAAAAAAACAGAGACCACAATATTAATCAATAAATACACAGGTACTTAAACAAAAAAAATTACAAACTACAAACAGACGAGTTTGATGCACACACCTGTTTCTTACTCTTCTTTTTCTTACTCTTATCTTTCTTATTCTTCTTTTTCTTACTCGCTATCATCTCCTCTACTCCTCCTAGTTGTATACACGGTAGCACCTCGTCCCTCTGAAGCATTATAATAACCTTATCAATAGACTTATAATCGATAGAGGCAAACATAAAATACAAAGTCAGTTATATTTACATACAACGTCAAGATCCCATATCTCGATTGTCGGCGAATCCTTTGAACCAATAGCTACAAAATTCCCTGACAGTACCAAGGCAAAAACAGAGTAAGAATGAAATTTCATCTATAGCAAGAAGGAACAAACCTGCCTCATATGAATAATAAGCGTACACTAACCTTTTTCCCCTCCTTTAAGAGGACAATCAAGCCATGCAGTACACAGTGGAAATTCTGGTATAATTATGTGGTGATGAACATACATGTTTGGCGAGCCAGATGATTCCTCGTATACATAAACCTGTACGTAAATATATAGCTTTTATATGAGCCCCAATGTGTAAGATTTAAGCAACAGAGTAAGAAGGATTGACTATACCTCTAGATGGCTGACTTCATCTTCATTTCTAGCGCAGATAATCACCGAATCGGTTGGCTTGATTGTCGTATCATCAATATCCTCTTCATCATCCTCTTCCTAAAAGACCACACATTTACGTTCTATACAAAAGGAATTTAACCACAATAAGTTTCAATGTAGATAGAAAATAGTTAGATGGCTTACATCAACATCCTTCAGATATGGATCCATCTCATTACTTGGATAATAAAGATCCCCAAGTCCAGAACTGAAAAGTTCAATTTCTGAGTCCAACACAACCAAAAAAAAGAAGGTAACTTTACATAAGGAACTGACACCAAATTTGATCTTCTAATCAAAATGATCACTAGTAAAAAATTGCAGAAGAAACACCAAAAGAGCCAACAAAAACGTACCATCATCCTCTTCATCATAATTATCCATGTCAAGTTCTTTCAATCCTTTAGATACCTCATCAACCTCCATGGAAGAAGAAGCAATCGTGCTTTTAGAAGATTTACCAAAAGCTTCAGCTACAGCCTTGGCATGATCAACTTCACTAATCTCTTCTCCATCCTCTTCAATCTCTTCTTCATCCTCATTACTACCATCCTCGACGCTATACATTATAAAACCAAAATAACATATCACAATCTCCTCATGTCCTAAAATAAGAGAAACGGGAAAAATATTAAGGTAAATGAAAAAAATCTCACCTTCTCGCAAAAGCTCCACTCTCAATGAGCTCTTTGAGTTCTTCCTTTGAAGGAGGCTCAGCAACATCAGGAACCGCTTTTAGATTCCCTTTTGGTATCCATGACACTGCAGTTATCATTCTGCAAATACGCAAAACCAATGAAATGAAAACGAATTCAAATACTGTATAAACCCCAACAATTATTTCGAATTGAACAGAGAGAGAGAATCATCAAATCAGTGAGAATCTCAAAGGTACGTTTTTGGATACAGGGCAGCTCGAAATTAAGGTTTTTTCTTCATTTGATCAACCCAACACAACGATTTCACAACTGGGTTAAACTTTCGATTAGCTTATCAAAACTCTAAGACCACTGAAGAGGAACCAAAGAGAACTTACGTTTAGAAACGGGACCTAACGCGGCGTAGAACGAAGATGAGCGACGCAACAAAAGGTTATTTTTTTCCCTTTTCGTGTAGGTTTAGGGTTTAACGATTAAAGACTTGTTGCTTCTGGAGATTTTTTTTTTTTCCCCCAAGAGTGAGATGTAGCGGCGCTAAACCGCCGAAGAAGAAGAAGAAACAAATTAAGGGAAAAATACATAAAAACCCCAAAACTATTTAGTTATTGTATTAAAGACCCTAACCTTCAAAAAAATACACAGAAAGCCTTGAGCCAATGAAACTTGTTTTTTTTTCTTTTTTTTTTTTGTATACGAATATTGTTCATCCTTTTTTTTTTTCCCCCTGCTTTACGAACTAGAAGCATTGTAGAAAAACTCATTTTTTCACGCATCAAAATAGTCATAATTGAACATCCCAACACGGCGACACCTAACATATGCTTGTAAGTTGTAACTTGCAACATATCCTTCTAATAAACTAATGGGCTTTTGTTATTGGTCTGACAAAAAGTTGAGCCAGAATACAAGAAATAAAAACAAACCGTAATGAAAGAAAAAAAACTACTACAAAATTTTGGTTCATGTTTGTTCGAAATTGACGACCAAATCATAGATTAGCTGGACTTTCACGGTTGGACTGGTCTGGTTCCGTATCTACCGGAGACAATAGCGTCCGAAAGTGTATCCCAAAATTTTAACTCCCCTTCGGAGCCACCCATAGCGAGTAAGAAAGGATTGTCCGGAGAGAAAGCAATGTTAAACAAGCCTCCCTGCATGTGTGATATCACAAGTTTTTTTAAGTCATAGCAACAAATATTAAAAAATCAAATTAAAATAAATAAACCAATTACTATTGGTTCCTTACAGCGTTTGGTGTGTGTGTCGCAATGCATGAAGGCTCATTGTTTGAAAGATCCCAAAGCTTTACCGAATTGTCCGTAGATCCAGTTGCCAAAAGCTGTTAATTACAACTCAGAATACCAGCTAAAACAAACATAACAAAGAACAATGACACAAAAAGAGAGTAGACATAGGGGCTAAAAATCAGTATAGCATATTATTATTACACATGCATATTCGACTATTCATCGTAAAATAGATGTTATGTTTTGTGGGATTTGTACTACTCGTCCTAACATCTATTGATTTTTAATATTCACTAATTTGCACTATAGAACTCGAGTTATTCCAAGAGTTTCGAATCGAATCACTTGAGAGAGAAGACTTACATTAGGTGCAGAAATGTTGTATGAGACGGAAGTGACTGCGCTAGTTCCATGTTGGATAATGAAACTTGGATTCAAATCAGAAGTTGAAGTTGAGGCTTGACGAATATCAAAGCCCTTTACAGTTCCATTGTCGAGACTTACCTACAAAGAAAGGAAACAAATTAATGAGAAGATCTTAATTAAGACCACGCTAATTAATTAAAAAAAAAAACAGATCGTAGTTTAAAGTGTGTAAACGCACCACAAAGGAGTGTTCGCTATGTGGATCCCAGGCTAAGCTTTCAACTTCGGCATTGACTGACCATTTGAAACCTGAGTGTGAAGGCTTCCTTACATCTGTCTGCAACATATATAAATTTATACACAAACCGGTCGATAATACTTAATCAATGATATAGGTACGTAGTGCCGTAGTGATAAAAACACTTACTAATACAACAGTGCGATCAAACGACCCACTAAGAAGTACTTCTGGAGCATGATGATTCCAAGCAACCGCTTGTACCTGTGAACCGCACAATCAATTTATACATGATCATATAATGCCACAGAATAAAGAAATTAATCTCGTTCTACGGGAATCTTGTTCATACCTTGTCAGTGTGATGCGCCATAGTAATCTGGCATGTTCTAGTAGCAACATCCCAAACTTTAACTTGTTTGTCGGCACTAGCACTAGCAAGCATATTCCTAAACTCCATGTTCCAAGCAAGACCAAGAACTGATCTAGTGTGGCTACATTCTTTGTATTTCTAAGACAATAGACGAGAAATCAAATTAACTTAACTGATACACTTTCTTGTTGACATCAAACCAAATTAAAAGTAGTACTCACCCTTTCCTTGTTTTTTCCTCCTAGCTCTACACAAGGGAGCACATCGTCCCTCTGAAGTATTACATATATACAACTTAAAATATTACAATAATTTCTAACATAAACAATACTACGCAAAACAAAAGTTGACTTTCTACATACGATGTCAAGATCCCATATCTCTATCTTGGGCGATCCAAAAGAACCAACAGCTAGAAAATTCCCTGCCAACACAAAAACGGATGAAAAAATTAATGAAAATTTTCATCCATTTTGCAAAAATGAAGAAGAAGAGTCCCATTGGATCTGATTGATAAAACTTTTATTTGTGCATATACCACTAACCTTTTTCTCCTCCTTTAAGTGGACAATCAAGCCAAGCAGTACACAATGGGGTTTTTGAAAGCATTATTTGCCGATGACTATATACGTTTGGAGAGCCATTAGATGTCTCCTCGTATACATAAATCTGGTCACATATTCATTTAAATTCCTTGTGAGATCACTACTATATATTTTTACAATTAATCACTAATTATGTATACCGACAAGGATTGAAAAAACCTCAAGATTACGGTCGCTCTTAACACAAGCAATTACTAAATCGGTTGGTGATATTGTTTGATCATCATCCGAGTCATTACCACCATCCTGGAAAAAGACATGTTATATATTTATATATCCGACAAGTTTCTATGAAAAATATATTTTTAAAAAAACATAGTGATCATATACGTACATCATTGTTGTTGAGATATGGATCCATCTCATTACTTGCGTAATAAAGATCCCCACGCCCGGAGCTAAAAATTTCAATTCCTAAATTTTCAAACAAACACACAAAAATGAAAATATATCATTACACAATGAAAACAGAAACTGAGATATTTGAAAAGAGAAAAAAAAAGGCCTAACTTACCATCATCCTCTTCATCGTAATTATCCATGTCAAGTTCTTTCAAACCATCAGCTACCTCATCATCAACCTCCATTGAAGAAGAAGCATTCTTGCTTTTAGAAAATATCCCAACATCTTTTGCTATGGCCATTGCATGAGCGACTTCATCATCATCCGTCTCTGCGTCCTCTTCTTCTTCTTCGTCATATAATTCATAACTCTTTTTGAGCTTTTCGATTTCCTCCTTAGAAGGAATTTTAGCACGATCAGGCGTGGCCTTTGCAGCCCCTTTTGGCACCCATGAAAATGCACTTATCATTCTGCCAAATTAAATAAAAAGAATCGATATAAACATAAACCCTTTTGTTTAGCCACGTCATGGAAACCTCAATATATAGAAAAGAGCATGTAACAGCTAGTACAATAAGCCATAATGAAACGTTACGACCACTAAAACCCCTAAATAAGATTAATGTATACAATTCTCTTTACTCGATTCTACTTTTGAGATTGAAAAGGAGCAAAAGAGAACCTACATTACAAATGAAGCTAAAACTTTAACGCTGGCGGTACAATCTATCGAGAGGGAGACATAGAACACTTATAAACCCTTTTTTAGTTGCCATGTAAATAAGTTGTTCAAAAAAAGAAAGTTACCATGTAATAAAAATACATAAATGGGCCTAAATTTTAGCGGATTTAGATCATTTGGACATGTAATGGATCCACTAAGCAATTTATTAGACTTGTAAAATAGTATATCCAGTTGAAGTACACAACTCATGTTATTCGTGCAATTGCGTACGAATTGTGATCTTTATTCAGATTGTAAACTTTAACGTATACGTTAATGAAAAACGAGCAATCACATGTGGTCGTCATTGTTATAGTTGACTCTCACTTTTCTATTGCGTTACGTACGACTTGTTTGGACATATCTTTTTAAGTCTTTTAACGAATGCACAATTTTCAACGATTTATTTTCTCATGTTCACAATGGTTGCGAAACTCCATTTTGGCTTCAATATTTTATACTGTATGAAGCCAATTATGTATAATAAAATTAAAAGCATCACTAATCTCAAATCATTTCCAAGAACTACAATTAAAAAAAAAAAGAAAAACCTATTTGATAGATAGAATAGATTCTAACTACAACTTTAGTGAAAAACCAACCAAAAGAAAAAAATAAGTAAAAAACAGAGCTCAAAATGTCCTCTTTTCTTTTCTTTCTTTTCTTCCTCTCAATCACCTTTCAACATCACACCCAAAAAACAAAAACAAAAAACAGACCCAAAAAAAGAAGAAAAAAGGAACTAATATGATAAGAGAGTTTGATTGATGACTGTTCTGTGAAAGCAAAGCATCATCTGGTTCTTGAGTTTCCAAGTGTAAGTTCTAAATCATCTGAAACACATTCTCCATGTATCCTTTCACCTTCCCAAGGCTTCACCATTCCTATCACGGCTGTTGCGTTACAACCAAAGGCAAACTCAGCCGCCATTCCATCAGACATTGGCACATCAGAGTTCTGATCAGCACCAGCAGGAATAGCTGGAGAGCAGTTTCCACTTTGTCCAGGAGTCCACATTGGCGAGTTACTATCTCCCATTTTAAATGCCTCTTTGTCGAAAAACGGGTTTCTTGAAACTAAACTGAAAGTAGGAGAAGACGGTCCGCTCTGTGGGGTTTGCATTCCAGAGAGCCATCCAGAGTCAGGGATGGTCACTTGGTCACGAGTAGGGCTTCGAGCCAATGGCGGAGTCACAGGAGCGCTTATCGAATTTCCATGGAAGAATGGAAGCTTGGAAGGCGAGTTTGAAGAGAGGTTCTTGAGCCAAGGGATTAGTGAGTTAGCATCACCAAATGGGTTAGTAGGACTCGGGAAGGATGAAGAAGAAGGGCTTGGATTGTAGGAAGCACGAGGGCTATGTTGATATGATGAACATGGACTCGCTGAAGTAGAACCATTCATGAGTTCCATTCGATCCATTGGTTTGCATCCCTACACAAGAGTTTATGCAAAGTGTTAGAAATATCCCAAACGTATAGCCAAAACAATCCATTAATTCAAGCTGAGATTTTCTAAAAAGAAGCAATCAATCTTTTGCTAGTGGATTAGTTACATAGAGGAGAGTTTAAAATATGAGTTTTCTTTTCACATAATGTAAAAACTGGTGAGCAACAAACAAAATGACATTATGATTGATAATTAAAAAACCAAATGCACCAAAAAAAGAAGAAGTAAAGAACAATGATTTTGTTTGGTTTATAATCGTCAAAAGAACAATATTAGCTAATGGATTATTTTCATAAAAGAGAGCATAAAATGGTTTTTTTTTTTTCCTTTTCACGGAATGTAAGAGCTGGTGAGCATGAACAAAGATAACACTATGATTGATACAGTTGAAAATCAAAAATACACCAAAGCAGAAAAAGTAAAAGAAGAATGATTTTTTTGGGTACTACATAGTGGTGGTCTTAGAACATTTGTTTGCTAATGGATGGCGAATAAATCTATACATAAAAGAGAGTTTAAAAATGTTATTATTCTTTTCCCATTTTACGAAATGCAAAAAAGCTGGTGAGCAACGAACAAGATGACACTATAATTGATAAATTGAAATTCCAAATGCAACTAAGGTAACACAAAAAAAGGTAAAAGAAAAAAACAATAATGATTTTACTTTGGCATTTAATGGTCAAACAATGGAATAATTCTAATTTATATTTTATCCCCACACAAGCAAAATCCAAACATTCATCATTAGATGTTGGCAAAAGTGAAATCATTTCCCCAGTCTCACCATTGACTGGTTAAAACAAGAATTAGGACTATTAGTATAAATTGAAGATTAACAAAAGTATTTTAACACTCATGGAAACTATTGAATCACACGAGTCAAGAATCAATAATCTTTTATTTTCAGTATATTCTATTCCATGTTCCTAACAAAAATGTAAAATAAACAATAAACACGGATTTAACTAAATGGAACGCACTTTAGTGTAAAATAAGTGTGAATGTGAGCAAATAAAGAAAAAGTTTTGTCGAGAAAATTTTATGAACCAAGGAAAAAAGAATGAAAAATGTGGAATTTCAGAGAAAGCGTCAGTCTGAAAAAGTGAAGGGAGAAAATTAAAAAAAAAAGTCTCCCTCGATCGTTGTACTAAGGAATCTAACCCATTACCAAACAGCAGTTTCGTGAAACAGACGTGTCCTAAAGTTGCAAAATTTACATAAAAGCTAAAGGTTTTGTAATGACCAAAGAAAAAAACACAAAAAGAAAAGAAAAAATATCTCAAAGCTTACATTTCCTATTTCTAATGTACCTCACTAAAATGACGATGATACCCTGAATTTTTATTTGCTAGAGCGTGTTGAGTACTCATCAATTAAGGGTAAAGTAGTCATTAGGTAAATTCTAATCTGAAAGTGAACAGAGAGTGTCGAAGCAAGAGAGAGCATCAGCGAATCTTTAAGACATTCATACTTTTTTGTTTCAGTTCACCGGAACGGTTTCGATCTGACATTTGCAAACCCGGTCAAATATTAAATCACAACCGTTCGATTTAATTTTCTCCCACCCGCCCCAAAAAAAAAAAAAAAAATCGAACGCTCAGATCTATTAACAAGTTTTTTTAACAAGCAAACCTAAAAAAATCCTAAACCCAAAAATCAACAACAATATTTCAAGAAAAGCGAGTTATGTTATTGTTTGGTTTTACCTTGCGGTAAGTAGTTCCGTCTTCTTCAACAGTCCAGCCAGCTTCATTGCACAAGGCTTTGAGGACTTCGTTGTTGTCGCAGTGTTTAGGCAGCTTGAAGTTTCCATGGATCCTTAGCCCTGCGAAGATCTTAGCCGCAATCGCTCGTCTTCTCCGCTCTCTTCGTTTGTTGTTCTCTCTTTCTTTCCAAGTCGGCGTTCTTGTCCCCGACGTCATTTTCAGATCACCCGGAACTTGAAAAAAAGCGTTTCTACTTTCTTCTTCTTGTTATAGCTTCGTAGAGAGAAGAACAAGAAGAAAAAAAAAGAACTCGCCGGGTAAAAAACTAGTTTCGCGCTTTTTATGTTTTGTTATTTTTCACGATTTCTTGTTCTGAGTTTATTTTGTTATGGTGAGTAACAACAATAAATGAAGAAGCACTTAAACTTAGGCAGAGGGTGGAGAAAGAAAACAAAAAGCAAAAGGTAGAATTTTTCAAAAGACGAAATTACCCTTCAAATGTGCTGTAATTAACGAGGATGCACCTTATGTGTTAACACGTGCTCTCAGCCTTTTCTTTTTTTTTCTGTAATTTAATAATATAAAGCAGGAAAATCGAAAATGTGTGTTTTGACCACAAACGACGTAGTTTTGAAATATATTATGGAGTTGGAAATTAAAAATAAGTCAAGCATATCAAGCTGCTTTTTATAAATTTATGTCTATTTTTTTTGTATATAATAAATCTAGCTTCAATGTTATCAATTTAAGAAATTTAATATATATTCTGTGACAGCATTTTCCAACTGAGGACTATCCACATCTAATAGCCCAGGGACTATGAATTTACAAAACAATTACTACGTAATTAATCTATAGATTAAGCTAAACAAATATGGGGACACCAAAATGCGTGGCAGGGATTGCGGCAGGAATGTGACATGTCACCACAAGAAGCACAAAATCGTTTTCTATGTATAATAGAAAATCTAATCATGACCGTTAAATCGGGTGGGTCACGTGATGCTCTCGATCTGCTTCCCATCAACTTGTCATTCCTCGTGACTCTCTTTTCATTCCTTAATTACTTTTATTTTTTTTAAGTGTTAAGTTTTATCAAAGTAATTAGTAGCATACACACAACCTATTCTTTGACATTTTTTTTAATATATATCACATATCCTACAACATATTCGTACCACTAGTATTATCGAACACACTAAGCATATATATTTGCATCTTTCAATCTTTGATTCCAAGTTTCTTTTTAATTGAACAACAGTTTGTGTGTCTTGTCTAATGTCTATGACACACATATGCCTTTTATTATCCGACACTAAATATTTGTAAGTACCACATTCCACATTCCACATTCCACATTCCACGATTGCCTTTATGTCTCTATATTTGGTATTATGTGGACTTATGTACATATATACTAACCAACACACACACGTTATGTAATATGTCAAATTTTGTGTATTATATGACTTGATCGAGTACGAAGGAGACACTTCGTTCGACAGCAACAGTCTGCCCCCAACGTTGAAACTATATATACACTTCAAGAACATAGTTATTTCCAACAATAAACATGGTCTTATAATTTCTGACCAATTTCCGATTTTTCGTAGAGTTACTTTCCTCACAATTTCGAAGGATATTTCATTATTGTCAAACAAATTTTTTAGTTCCATGTATAAGTTAAACTACTGGTTATCAAAACGAATATAAACCACATTACTTATGTTTCATATTGTTATTGCATGTTGGGTTTGGGTATCATAACTGATATTATCTTTTCTTTATTTATTTATTTTGGTTTTACTATTATAGTTTAGTTAGCTAGACTCTTGTTTTTTAAAAGTATTTTTCTTAATTGAAGAAAATTTAAACTGATTTCTACGTATAGGATTATTTTGGAATATAGCGTTGACGGGGACAGTGAACTAAGCACATACGTACACATTATTAAAGACAGATATTTTAGTATAGTTTTTTTTTTTTTTTTTTTTTTTTTTTGCAAATTCAAGCACATCTTCGTTTCTAATCAGTAATCAATAATCACGCCGTTGCAAGTTAGAGAGAGAGCTTTAAACATGTTCTTTCACGAGCATGTTTCGTCTAAACAGATTGAGTTATAGTAGTAAGTAGATTATAAGTTTCATAAAAATTAAAAATAAAAGAAGGCGTGAAGCATGATATTAACCAAATGAAAGAAATAAAAATCAAACTGTCGTAATGGTTCATTCAAAACAAAAAACAAAAAGATTGTTAACGAAATGCCATCACAATAGAATATTCAAACTGACCAAGACCTGTCGATTTCGTTTCGTGTCCTCCAAAAAATAAAGACTTTTCTTTATACTTAGATATATATATATAAAAATTGCAAAAGATAACAACGAATTTTTCTCACGGTCATAAATGGTTCTACATTACCACAAACAAAACAAGATCTCTAACATTTTATTTTATTATATTTTTCTGTTATATTCATTTGACTATTTCATATTTTATATGAAAAAAGAAAAAAAAAAGCAACATACTAAAAACAGCTCTATCATCATCTCATGGGGTGATTTTGATACAAATAATAATAAAATAAATAAAAAAAATTCCACCAAACCCAATCTTTACAAAAACAATGAAACAGCTGTTCTGTTGTGATTGATTCGACCGCGCCTTCATAAGAAGAAATAAATAAAGAAAAAAAACCTTATGCGAATCAAAAGCTAAAAATCCAAACTTTAAAACTAACACAAATCCCCAGATTTTTTTACTTATATTGTTCTGTTTTTATCATGGTTACGCGTTTTAATCGTTCATCATTTTTTTTTCTTTTAAACGACGAAAGGTTTGACGAATCTTCGTCTTAATCTCCACCTCCACCGGGTCAATCGTCTCGTTTACTTTTCTACGGTCTTCTCTTCTACACAGAGAGAGAGAGAGTCTCCCCGATTTAACTTTTGATAAATCAGCAAGCAATAATGGCTGGAGAGATTATTATTACACAGAAGAAGACAAATCATTACTCTTAAATACCCCAAGTCGCAGAAGCGTTTCTTTTTTTAATTTGTGTGTTTGTTCCAGAAGCAGAGAGGGTTCGAGAAGCAATTAAAAAGGTTGTTCCTTTTTTGTTATCTGATTAGGTGAGATTTTAATGCTTAAAAGTGTTCTAGATTCGTTGAATTTTTAAGGGGGTTTATGGTTTTAACGCTTCTTAGAAGCTTTTGTTTGATTGGCTTCATTGAGAAAAACAGTGTTGAGCTGAGGTGAGAGTTTTGGGGTTTCTCATTTTGGAGGGAATCTTATCCAATTTTGATCGAAGCTAGTGAATGAATAGTAACTTCTTTTAACTCTAGTTTTCTGGGTATACTGAAGTTATTGGCTTGAAAGCTTTCATCTTTGCTTCTTGAAGCTTATACTTTGTTATAAAAGAGTCTCTCTTGCTCTGCTTTTTTGTTGTTGTTGTGGCAGTAGATTGATTGAATCAAAGGAGTTGATAGTTGTGGTTTTTAGAAAGATTTGAAAGTGTTTTAGAGATGGATGATAATAATCATGGAGGTTCATCAAGCTCACTCCCACCTTTTCTTACCAAAACATATGAGATGGTTGATGATTCTTCATCTGATTCGATTGTCTCGTGGAGTCAGAGCAACAAGAGTTTCATCGTTTGGAATCCGCCCGAGTTTTCTAGAGATCTTCTTCCGAGATTCTTTAAACACAATAACTTCTCAAGCTTCATCCGTCAACTTAACACATATGTAAGTGTTGGTCTTTATTATGCTTTGTAATTGTGTCTGTATCAGTCATCTTCTTGGTTGGTTTGGTTTATAGTTTAGTTTTGGATTTTGTTCTGTAGGGTTTTAGAAAAGCTGATCCTGAGCAGTGGGAATTTGCAAATGATGATTTTGTGAGAGGTCAACCTCATCTTATGAAGAACATTCATAGACGCAAACCTGTTCATAGCCACTCTTTACCGAATCTTCAAGCTCAGCAAAACCCCTTGACTGATGCAGAACGTTTGAGAATGAAGAATCAGATCGAGAGATTGACAAAAGAGAAAGAAGGATTGCTTGAAGAGTTACAGAAACAAGATGAGGAACGTGAAGGGTTTGAGATGCAAGTTAAAGAACTTAAAGAACGGTTACAACACATGGAGAAGCGTCAGAAAACAATGGTTTCGTTTGTTTCTCAAGTATTGGAAAAACCAGGGCTTGCTTTGAACCTCTCACCGTGTGTCCCCGAACCAAACGAGAGGAAAAGAAGGTTTCCTACGATCGGGTTCTTGCCCGATGAACCGATGCTGGAAGAGAACCAAACATGTGTTGTTGTGAGAGAGGAAGGCTCTACAAGCCCGTCTTCACATTCAACAGAACATCAAGTAGAACAGTTAGGGTCATCAATAGCGATTTGGGAGAATCTTGTATCGGATTCTTGTGAGAGTATGTTACAATCAAGAAGCATGACGACACTTGATATGGATGACTCATCTACTTGTCCAGAAAGCCCTCCTCTCTCTTGCATACAGCTAAGTATCGAAACACGTCCCAAATCTCCACTTTCTCCAAGGATCATCGACATGAACTCTGAGCCTGATGTTTCGAAAGAACAGAACAGTACTGTTGCTGCTGCTCCTCCTCCTCCTCCTCCTCCAGTAGCAGGAGCCAATGATGTCTTCTGGCAGCAGTTTTTCTCAGAGAATCCTGGCTCAACCGAGCAACGGGAAGTTCAATCAGAGAGCAAAGACGATAAAGATAGAGCCGAAGATCCTAGTGAGAAATTGTGGTGGAATTCGAGGAATGTAAATACAATTACAGAACAGCTTGGACATCTGACTTCTTCAGAGAGAAGTTGATAAGTCTGTTTTAGTTTCTTGTAAAATAGGTTTTGGCAGTATTTGGGTCTTGTCTAGTTCAGCTGTTTATATCACACAGGTATGTTCTTTCACAGTTCATTGTAGCAGACTACACTATGTAACATTAAACTTGCGAGACTAGGAGCTTAACCGAAAAAACTTATTGATGGATTCAAGAAGACGTAGTTGTGCTTCTTTTAACTTTCAGTTACATTATTTACCTTCTATAATAGAACATAAGAGAGAGATCGAGAAGAAGAAACTAAGAAATAGTTACCTTATTTTTAGAATTAAACTATTTGAATTATGTGGATACGTAAAGAGCTCATCTCTCTATCTCGGAAGTAAAACAATTGCTACAAATGTTTTGGGTTTGATATTTGAACAACAGTTGTGCCAGTATATATATATTGCAGCTGATTTTTCTTCTTTTTCTTGTAGAGCTGGTTAATTATTAAGATTAATTAATATTATTTGTACCGAAAAGAAGAAGAAGGTTATAGTAATATTAATAATAATAAAAAGGACTTAACAAGTAGAAAATCCAAAGAATCAAAGTGAAGCCAATATAATGTCCATTTTATTTCTTACTTATCATAGTATATATAGGTATTAAACTATAATTTGGAAAATATGATGATAATATACTAATAAAGTCGCCATTAGGCAAGTAATAATCCATAATTTTCCGGATTAGGAAGTAGGATCGAAGCGTCTCATGGTTTAATCTTTGTTGGTGTCACTGTCAGAAGCGTACATTAGTTAACCTATCTTTGGCTTCTTCTCCAACAGGAGGTTCACGGCGGGTGGGTGGGCCGGGTGGCGCTGGTGCTGCCACGGGAATCTGATCTTCGTCGTCAGCCGCCGGAGCCTTTAGTTCCTGCCAGTAATCAATCAGTAGGTGTAGGTTCATGCTTCGAAAAAATAAAAGACATGTTTTCTACTTATTTTTAAATCGAATTTGGGTTGTAACACTCTTGGATTGCACTATTTGTACCACTAGACTAAAGAGAAATTATGGTATAAAGGAACGAATTTTGTATATATTACGGAGAGCCGGAAGCTGATGTTTTATGAGCCTGGCCCATGGACCAGTTCTGTGTGCATGCATGCATACATTCATCAACAAAGAAAATTAATAGGTCATCTTCGAAACTAACTATAGATTATCAGGTTTATATGTAAAAAAAATAAACGTATATAAAATCCTATACACTACAAATAAAACAACATGACTTTCTACACATTTACGTACAAAACATTCGGTAAGAAATATTTCATACTAAAACCTATATAGTTTTGACAAAAATCATTGTTTGTAGGAAATTGGTAATAAATTCTCTACGCTAAATAGTATGATAAAATCATAGGAAATTTCTTTCAAAAGTTTTCAAACAGTTTTTTCGTAGGAAAATTGGAAGGAAAATAAAAGAAATATAAAAGGAAAAAAACGTTTAAAAAAAATTGGTAGAAAAATTTCTTTTAAATTTCCTACGAAACAATAATCGTTGGAAATATCGTAAGAAAAAAGAAAGAAGTTCATGCTTGGTTCGTATCCTCAATCTCTTTGAAAAAAACTCTCGAAACCGTCGAAGTCCCTCATGAAGCTCTTTCTTAACCCACGTAAGGCCTTCTTGCCTCGCCATTCTAGCGGTGGCTACTAATTGAATGTATTACTACAAAACTTAGCAAAGAAAATAAGAAGAATTGTGCTAGTTTGGTGTGAGAGATATATGATGATGTTGAAGGTATGATGTGTGTTTTTTTCTTTTTTGATATGATGTGTGTTTATATAGAGCCAATTGTAATATTAATTTTCCACTTAGTAAAAAAGAAAGAAGACCCCAAATTTTTTACCCAACCATTGTTCTTAAATTACTCTAATTTTGAATTATCTTTTCTTCCTACTTAAGGTCCGTTTAATTCATCTTTTTATTTTCTAAGCATTAATTCACCCAGTTGCAACTTGCAAGCACCCTTTATATATTTTTAGAAATTTATTCCAAAACTTGTCGACGTTGAAAACCATTAGGCAATTCCCAAAATACATAGAGACTAGAAGACTCCGGACTAACCCATTTGGTCTATTTGATAATTTTATGAGTCTATATGTTGCTGTGAGGTCTCCATGGCAACTTGTGGTAATTGGATGACATTTTCCAGATCCACGAGATATTAATGGAAGTGTAAGTGCTAATTAGTAGTGTTGGACAAGAAACACCATCAAATTATGCATGTAAACACAGTAAACACACAAAATCTTAATGTCAAACATGAGTTTTAAGATTATTTTTCCATAAGACGTTTTTTTTAATTAAAAAGTCAATAAATTTTCTTTTCATCTACTTTTTAAATGCCAGAGCAAATATAATACATATGTAAATTTTGAATTCGATAAAAGCGTGTCCTAATTAAGTTGGACCTGCAGCTCTTAAGACTGGATCGTATATATATACTGTATCCCTATATTAGTAAAAGAGAAGTACAAAAAGTGCTTTCGGGTCGGGTCAATTTCAAAAAATTATCCAAAATTTGTAATTGGATCTTTTAAAATTGGATAGATTAATGGGTTTGGATACATACACCGGATACTTTCCAAATCTAATTTTAGGATTGTATTATTTCCATAACTAATTATAAGATTTACTAATATTTCTCTAACTAATTTAATACAATCTATTTAAAAAATATTATTCTTCTTTCACCTTTATTTGATATTATTTTTAATTTATGATATTATACTATATAATATAAATATTTAATAAAAATTTAACTTTTTTTTGCATATGTTGCAATTT